TCACCCCACCGCCACCATCACCCCGCCGCCACCATCACCCCGCCGCCACCATCACCCCACTGCCACCATCACCCCACCGCCACCATCACCCCACCTCCACTACGCCCCCCTTCCCCCTGGGCCCTGAGCCCTTACCGTCCACCGCCACCATCACCCCACCACCACCATCACCCCCTCCCTTACCATGCCCCCTTCCCCGCTGGGCCCTGAGCCCTCCCCATCCACCGCCACCATCACCCCACCACCACCATCACCCCACCGCCACCATCACCCCACCGCCACCATCACCCCACCACCACCATCACCCCACCGCCACCATCACCCCACCGCCACCATCACCCCACCATCACCCACCGCCACCATTACCCCCTCCCTTACCACGCCCCCTTCCCCACTGGGCCCTGAGCCCTCACCGTCCACCGCCACCATCACCCCACCACCACCACGCCTCCCTCCTCGCTGGGCCCTGCAGCACCCTCCCCACCTGGGCAGTGGCTAGTCCTGGTCGCTCTCCCGCCCCGTAGAGTGGACTCAGGCCTCTGCTCCCACACCTGCAGCTCCACATGGGGAAGGCTCTGGGCCCACGGGGATCACCAAGCCATGGGGATGAGGTTGGAGCCCTAATCCTATTGTCGGTCCTTCATCCCCCTCCCCCCCAGCTGGTGTGACCCACCAACCAGGGCCCTTTATGTGACGCTCTTCGTGCAGCTTCCCCTAGAGCCAGAGCTGGACAGAGCGGGTGCCAGCCCGGGACCGCCTCCCGCCTGGGGAGGAGCCTGATTCCCTCCCTCCCGAGACCCCATGTTCCTACCCGCCCCCCCACCCCGCTCCTACCCGCCCCCCTCACTCCTACCCGCCCCTCCGCTACCCCCCCCCGCTCCTACCCACCCCCCCCGCTCCTACCCGCCCCCCTCACTCCTACCCGCCCCTCCGCTACCCCCCCCGCTCCTACCCGCCCCCCTCACTCTTACCCACCCCTCTGCTACCCCCCCCCGCTCCTACCTGCCCCCCTCACTCCTACCCGCCCCTCCGCTACCCCCCCCCGCTCCTACCCGCCCCCCCCCCGCTCCTACCCGCCCCTCCCCCGCTCCTACCCACCCCCCCTCCCTCCTGTCAGCTCAGACACAGGTGTCACCAGCAGTGGAGCCAGGAGCCTCACTGCCTTGTGTTTGGAAAGACCACCCTTTCTTTCCTTTTCCTTCTCTGGTGACTGACAGGCACACACCAAACTCTGGGCCTTGGGCTTAGCAGGTCATCCTCAGTTTCTACTTGATGCGTTTCCTGGTATGATTTTTTTTTTAAACAATTGATTTTAATACATTTATTTTAGAGAGGGAGATAGAAACATCAATGAAGAGAGAATCATGGATTGGCTGCCTCCTGCATGCCCCACACTGGGGATTGAGCCGCAACCTGGGCGTGTGTCCTGACTGGGGAATCGAACCATGACCTCCTGGTTCATAGGTCAGTGCTCAACCATTGAGCCACACCAGCTGGACGTGGCTTGATTTTTTTTTAAGTGAGACAGAAAAAATTCCACTTGGGAAAATGAGCATTTAATGACCTTAAACAGAAGGAATGCATTTTAACCAGATCCCACCTCACCCCTGTGCACTGCACAGCTGTGCCTGGGGTGGGGGTGGGGGGGGAGACTGTCCCTCCCCCACCCGCCCCCCCACTCCCTGTCCTGCTGGTAGTGGGGGCCGGGGGCTTTCTGGGGATGATTTCGGTGACAGACGGGAAGGCTCGCACCGTGCAGGAAGCCATCGCGTGGTGTCGGAGGTCTCTGAGCGAGTCCACAGGCCCTTCCCCCCTCCCCCCAGGAGGCCCCGTGCATTCCCCCTCCGCTGAGCGCCCAGACGGTGAGGACAGCGTCCCTCCGGAGCAGCTGACTGTCGGTGTGGTCAGTCTGTCGGCGGAGACAGACACGGTGACAGAGCAGTAAATTAGGGTGTGGGGTATCGTGTGACTGTGGATAAGCTACTTCTGTGGTTGGGGTTTTGTCGTAATAGCTGTCTGGGCGCACCGAGGTGACCATGACCCGGCTCACCCGCCTGTGCCCAGGTGCCCGCGCAGCCCCTGGCCGCTCACAGCCGGAGGGGCCCCTGGAGGGGGGGGCAGAGCCCGGTGGGAGGTGGCAGCGATGGTCCCCACACGCTGGGCGTTTGCCCTGGGAATTGGTTTTGCCTCCAGGGATTTCTACGCCCCCTGGGGTCCGGCTGGCCCAGGTCTAACCTCCTCCCGGGACACGGAGGCCGGGCCACCTCCTCGTCATACGTCCTCCCTCAGCCTGGAGCTGGCCCTGTGGTGCCCACACACTCCCACTGGTCTGCACAGATGATCCCACAAGGGGATCAGGCGTGAGGAGCCGGCACTGCTGGTCCCCGTCACCCTGTCCCGGCCTCACCGGTCCGCAGGGCCAGCAGCGAGCCCCGTCCTGCCCACGCTAGCCCCCCTCCCAGGGGCTGCCCGCCCGGTGAGAAGAGACGTCCGCGCTCGGGCCGAGAGGAGCAGGAACAAGGTGTCGGGCGAGTCTGGGGCTGCGGGGACGTGGCCTCACCTGTGAGCACTGATGGGCCCACACTGGCCTCCGTGTGCGAAAGGCAGGAGGAGGGGCCAGGGGTTCCTGTCGGACAAGACGGAACCTGAGGACCAGACGGGCGTTCCCACAGGACGTGGCCCAGGGATGCTGCTCTGCGTCTGCCGGCCTCTAGCTGGCTGGCGGTGGCCGTGGGGGCAGGATGTTGTGGTCCCAGACGAGGTGTTGTCCATCATTAAAATGTGCAGACCTTGCTGGTTGGCCGTCCCTGGTGCGGAGTCTGCCTGGCGGGGCTCAGTCAGGAGGCACGCTGTGGATGACACGTGCCCGATGAGGGTTGACACCTGCCCTGAGCCTCCTTTCCGTGGCATGTTTTCCGAGGACGGAAGCACCAGGAGAGGTTGCTACGTGGCTTGGGAGGACCTGGCAGGGGGCAGAGGGCAAGGGACAGGGGGCAGAGATGAGCACCCTGTGTGACCACCACGGGGCAGGCCCTCGAGGCAGCAAACAGTCCCTGTTTGTGTGGAAGGGCAGCCCGCTCTGTGTCCGTGGTCCTGGGGACGGTTTCTTTATAACATGGGGTCCTTCCCAAGCTGTGCGCCTCAGAGGAAAGCCTGCTGGTTGCTCTTCTGAGGAAGGGAAGCTCATCGGCCCAATTTAAAGGAACAATCTGGGCGGGGGCGGGGCCCTGATTTTATGGGTGGCCAATGAGTGAGTTATGCTCAGTGGGTAGGTGTCTAGAAGGAGCAGGGTCCCAGGTAAGCTCAGGCACAAGGCCTTTTGGGGTGCCCCTGCCCCTGCCTGAGGTTGGGGTTGGCAGAGCTAGGACAGCCCCCATCCTGGGCGTTTGAGGGGAAGGCAGGTCAGGGTGCATCTCCAGTGGAGGAAGTGAGTGTCGATCAGAAACCCAGCAGCTGCCTGACAGTGGTGCCCTGCACCAACGACTCCAGTATCTCTGCTTCTTCCTCGCACTTTCCCATTTCATAGGCGAGGAGACGGAGGCTCCAGGATTGAGGCATTTTCTAAGCCCCAGCCTCCAGCCCCAGGACATCCAAGGCGTCTCTGCACACACGCTCCTTGTGGAACTGCCTGCCTTTGGATGAGGCGTGCGGGCCTGCCAGAGGAGTGTGACCTGCTGGCGTCAGCCTGGCCCGCTGGGACTTCAGACCAGCCTGGCCGAGGACTGGGGCAGCCGCAGCCCAGCTGTGGCCTGGACACTTCACAGTCACAGCTGCAAGCTGTTGTCCTAGGGCCCGTGAGCCGAGTCCTGAGTCATGGCTGCACAGACCCGCCCCGGGGACTGGCAAGTCGGCGCCTATAAAATTAGCTCCCGTCCCTCAGGCCCCCTGCACCTTGCAGGCAGGACCAGGGTCTCCCGCAGCCGTGGCCTCCGGTCCGGCTGCCGTTGGGAGTCGGGCACTATTGCCGTTTCGCCGGGAAGTTCCTTGTGAGTCATTGCAGAGCCCTGGGTCATGAGGACGCCCGTGGTGCTCACACACCCACCCATTAGGCAGCTCGCTGGTGTGTGTGTGTGTGTGTGTGTGTGTGTGTGTGTGTGTATGTGTGTGGGATGAGCAATTCAGGAAGCACTGGAATATCAGAGATGAGACAAGGCTCTTAGAAAGTTGATGGCACCCTTAAATAGTCTGAGAGTGTCTCATTTTATACTTTTTTGTTCTTTAGAACAAAGTAGTTATAATTGCATGTTCTTACCTAAGTTTTGTAAACTGGAATACAAAATAGAATTATCTCTAATTTTAGACCCGTTTTCTTCAAGGTGGAAAGAGACCCATTCAGACTCTTTCCACCCGTCAGCAGACCGCTTTCGGGAAATAAGGTCCTTGTTCAGGAGGCTTCACTGGGAAGCTCGGCCACCCGCCCCGTCCCACCCCGGGAGTCCCCGTTAACAGGGCTTGTTCTTCAGAGAAGCGAGGTTGAGGAGGCGTTGGTAGGCGGTTGGCAGCTCTTCAGCGCGGGAAGGAGTACATGGATTGTCTAAAGGTGCCCCTATGTGCCTCATTGGTCTCTGAGTCGTCCTTGTTTCTAATGGCTTTTGAAATCCAGGCCATCAGACCATCACTTTTTTATCGCATCCGAATGGTGTTATTGCACCCAATTGCGATTCCATTTAACATGTCTTTCACATGAAATACTTACCAGGTAGCCTCGTACAGACCACTAACATGCCAACACCAGCAGTGCTGTCTGACTCGGTGCCTGAGGGCGCGTGGTGAGAGACCCCTGTCTTTTGGTCTCAGGGAAAACGGCAGCAAAAACGGAGCAGTCGCTTCCCTGATCGCCACAAACAGCCCTGCAGCTGGGCCTGGCCAGAGGACGCAGGCTGGGAGCCCAGGGCCTCGTGAGGAGGGCTGTGGTCCGGTCTCTTTGGACTTTATTACAGGAGTGCCTGGGCCCTTTCACAGGCGGTTTTAACGCCCAGTTTCCTCCCTTCTCTCCGCAGACGTCGGCTCATCTCGCAGAGGTCCTCGCTGGAGACGCTGGAAGACATTGAGGAGAATGCCCCCCTGCGCAGGTGAGTGTCCGTCCGTCTGGCTGAGTTTCTGTGTGTGAATGGCTCCGCTTGCTGGACAAGGTCACAGCCAAAATTAAAATTCCTGGTCTGCAGAATTGAGTGTTAAAATGACCTCTGAGCCCCAGGGCCAGAGTTTGGCTACCCCTGCCCTTAGGCGATGAGGACTGTCTGCTCCGGCATCGCGCCCTGGGCCTGTGGGGACCCTTCTCCCATCCCCGGGAAAGCTGCCGGCGACCGATGGAGCATCCCAGCCCGCCACAGCCCCCGGCTTCCATTTCTCCCTGGAGATGGGAGGTGCCGTCAGGCCCCTCTTGGGGTGATTGTAATGCTAAGCTGTGCCGCCTCCTCTAACCCTCTCTGCTGCCCTCCGGTCTGCACTGCGGGCCAGCCAGGCCCCTGGAGGAGGCGGCACTCACTGCCTCCTGGCCAGTGGCTGGTGGGGGCTCCTCCTGCAGACGGAGCTGGGCAGGCTGGGCACTGGCCTCCCGGGCACACTGGCAGCGGTGGGGCGGGGAGAGTGCGGGGGAGGGGCGCCTGCGGGAGATGTGCCCTCAGCTCGCACCAGCTCCTCTGGGAACCACACCTGCACCGTGTGTCAGGACGGGGGAGTCTCGGGCCCTTCCCTTTAGGCCTGGGAGGTGCTGACGTGAAGGGAGGCTCACCGTGGGGCCAGCTCCTTCCCGACCCAGAGCCTCACCCAGGTCCTGGGTCTTGTGCACAGACCACCGGGGGGAGGAGGGCATGGACAGGCCTGGGTCGGGTCAAGCGTGTCAGACGCTCGAGTCTCATCGCTGACTTTATTCCAAAGAGGTGCGGGGCTGGCCGTTCACTTTCCACTTGGATGTCTCGGTGAAGACGCTGTGAACGCTGGGCCCGTCCCCGTGAATGGCGTGTAGCTGCTCTTGTAAATGCTGGGAGGGGCTGCTTCCTGGAGGGGGCGCTGCAGAAGCTGCACCGAGGTCCGTGAGGGCCAGTGCCGGTCCAGGTGGTCAGCGAGGGGGGGAGGGCGGTGCTCAGGAGACACTGCGGCTCTGGCGTCCGAGCAGGTGCCACAGGGACACCGGTGCGCGGAGCTGGAAGCCCCCGGGTGTCCCAGGGCCCAAGCAGCTGGTCCTCTGGGGACCTGTGGCCGTGCAACAAGGAGGCCCGGAGGGAAGACATTGCTCCCCGTTAGGGGCTCCCGGTGGTTAAGGGGCCAAGGACGCACTAGGCACACGCTCCTGTCACTCCCGTCACCCTGCCCCGCTCAGCATCGGCCCTGGCTGAGCCCCTGGTGGCACCCACAGGCAGAGTGAGCCCGGCTTCTCCCTTAGCTCTTCCAGAAACTGCTGAGCTCCCAGCAAATCTTGTTTAAATCCAGCATTTCACTGTCAGAAAAAGGAAATCGAGGCAGCTTAAGAAATCTTCATTTTTCCATGGACTTCTTTCTTAATTAAACATTTTTCTTAGAAATGTACTTGTTCCTAGGAAATAAAATTCGCATGGCAGGAGGGGCCCTGAGGTTGGGAGTCAGAGGACTTTGCCGGATTCTTCTATGAACCAGTCACATGTCCTTGGAAGTTCACTTAGTTTCGCTGGGGCCTCAGTCTTCCCATCTGTACAATGGGAGGGGCTAGGAGCTGCTCGCTGAGGTCCTCCCAGCTCCCGTGCTCTGTGAAATGAACGTATCGTTAATGGCACTGGTTTGGGGGGAACCGGGGGTGGAATGCTAATGCCCAACTTGCTTTTAAACTCAGCACATTGAACAAATGGCTCCAAGGCATGTGTTAAAAGCCGTTTGCATCACCAAGTGTGTCCGTAATCAGTGCTAACAAGAAAGAGCTAATCTTTCATTAAATTAGCTTTTAATTTAATCCTACTAATTTAATTTTGCCTCACTTAAAGTGTATGTTTGAAATGGATGTTTACATGTTAATTCAGGCGGTTTCAAATTAATTCATTCTTGCTCACCCTGCGCAGCACGAGCTGTCTTGCGGTTTCCGTGGCAATGGTTGCTAGCGCCACCGTTCCAGGGCGTCCTTAGGCCCCCTGGGGTGGAGCTGAATGCTTAGAAAACGCAAGACAACACGGCTTCTTGACAGGGAGCCCAGGCGCTGGGACTGGGCGTGAGAGCCACAGAGAGCACTTTTGTTAGCTCTCCTTCTGCAAGTCCCGCTCTCTCTGGGCATCAGAGTTTGTGAGTAAGCATCCAGAACTGAGCGTTCACACGGAGGGGGTTTCCTCTGGAGGGTGGGTCCCTCGTGTCCGAGAAACTAGGACCCAGGACTCCCTCGGTGTCCAGAAAGCCTCTTTCCCTGCGCACACGTGGCAGCCGCCGCCACCCCCCAGTCCAGCCTGTCTGGGCCCGTGGGGACTGCCTGATGCCCTCCTCCTTCCCCTGCTGGTGCCAACAGCCACCGATGGCTCTGTTCCTGCAGAGGACTGGGGGGCTGGCCCCCGACCGGCAGCCCTTTCTGCAAGCCCAGAGGCAGGGAGCACTGGTGTTCTCCTCTGGCCGGAGAGGGCGCTCAGGGTGGGAAGGTGCTCACAGCAGGGGCGGGTGTGAGGCACAGCTGGCCCCCCGCCCTGTGCAGAATTCCCTGGGAGCTTCCTGACACTCTCCGAGGCCCCCTCTCCAGCAACTGCACTTCGAGAATCTTCTGTCAAGTGGGAGACAGACAGTTGGGAACCTTGAGTGACTGCAGACTCCAGCATTGATTTCTGGGGAGGAAGGGAGGCCATTGGGGTCCTGGGTCTGCTCCTCAGAGCTGGCCAAGAAGGCAGGAAGAGCCCCAAGGAGACTGAACTGGGTTAGAGCCTGAGGAGTGTGGGGTTTGGGGTGCTTCCCCCCGAAGTCCAAAGGAAGCGCAGCTAAGTGCCCTCCGGCAGGCCATGCAGGTCTTTGAAAGAATCTATTTGAAACCAAGAACTCAGGTCCTTGACAAGGATGCACTTTGAGCATCGGCCGGGTGGTGACAAGGTGTGCTCCCTTGGAGGCTGATGGTCTCAATAACCACAACACACATGTGTGTGCATGTTTGCATCCATGTGCCAATGCGTGTATCATGCGCCACCTACAGCTGGCGAAGCTCTGTTACATGCCACCATGGGAACCCTCACAGCCACGCCAGGGAAGAGACGAGTTTATGGGGGGTGGGGGAGGCCTGCGGACCCTGCTCGGATGCAGCGACCTGACAGACCCAAGGCCAGGGAACCCCCTTTTCCTGCAGAGTCACCCCCACATACCTGATGCCACGCCTTTGCTTCTGCCGCACTCCCGGCTCCACTGCGATTGCTTGCCAGTGAAGTCACATTTGAAGGGACTGCTTCTTAGAAATAAGTCGGTGTCAGTGCCCTTTGGCGAAAGGCTTCTGGAAAGACTGGCCTTTCCTAGAGGTGGGTACAGGGGCTCGGGGGACGGACACCCCAAGGCCTGGACCTAATTCCCTGAGCTTGGCCTTCGGCGTATTTGAGAGGCTGCGTGGCTGTGGGTCTGTGACCCCGCCCGTCCGGTCCTCAACCGCCTGCCCACACCCACCTGCATGTTGGTTCCCTTGTTACCCAGTCCCTGAGGCCTCAAAGCTCAGACCTGACTGAAGTTGGGGACCCAGCCAGGACCTCGCTGTGGCTTTAGCAGTGGGCACAGCTCACGCACCTTCCTCTCTGAGGCTAAGTTCTGGGGTCCCCTCTCCCAGTGGCAGAATCAGCCCTGGGGGCCCGGAAAACTGCAGCTCGAGAGCCACAAGCGGCTCTTTGGTCCCTTGAGTGTGGCTCTTCCACAAAATGCCTGGGGGAGTCTATTTTGAAGAATTTACATTAGAAGATTAAGTTTAAAAAATGTGGCTCTCAAAAGAAATGTCAATCGTTGTGCTGTTGGTATTTGGCTCTGTTGACCATGGAGTTTGCTGACCCCTGGGCTGAGTGAACAACAGTGTTTGGTAGCAAAAACCCGAACAGAAAAGTCATAGCTCCCTTCTCCAAGGAAAGACGGACCCTGTCCTCTCGTGTGCTGGGTGTCTGCCTCCATGTTGTTGCAGCTGCGGAGCTTGGCCTGCACCCGGCAACTGTGAAAACACACAACAAAAAGACCTTTCAGCCCCGCTGTGCTGTCAGCCCCGCCATGCGAGCCCGTGCCGTTTGTTCCAGGAAAAATTAACTTCAACCCAGGTTGTCCTGTCCAACAAATATTTATTTAAAATTTATCTTAGAAGGAAAAGAAGCCACTCCCTCTCATTCCAGTGCAGCTCCAGGTGGAGCCAAGCTGAAACCGAAGCGGCTCAGGCCCGAGGCTGCTGACGAGAGGGATGGATCCAGGCTGTCTTACCCCATTTCCCCCCACTTTGCACCGGGCTGCGTCCCCTCGCACCCTCACGTTCAGTCTTCTGTCCCGTTCCCGTGCTGGTGCAGGAGGCGTCAGGAGGGCGGGAAAGGCCCGTGTGTGGAATCGGGAGGCTGCGCTGTTGTCACTGACGGAGGACAATGGTTTTCAGGAGCCTTTCAGGAGCCTTTGGAGACTCGCATAGACTGCTATCGGCATCATCACGGAAGCTGTCTGTCGTCGTTTTTTTTAAGCTTCCTCCTCCCAGCCATATTGTCCTCATTATCCCGGGGTGACTCACCGTGTGTCTGGTCTTTCCTTCCTGGCTTTGTGTGGCGATGTTCGGCCGTCCAGCAGGCCACTGACCGCACTTTTAAACGACCTTGTTTTTCAGATGTCGGACTCTCTCCGGTTCGCCCAGACCCAAGAGCTTCAAGAAGATACATTTTATCAAGAACATGCGGCAGCACGACACGAGGAACGGCAGGTACTGCCTCCGGCGGCCTCCGTCCCGGCTGCAGGAGGGCAGGTGGGGGGAGGGCGCGGGGACCTGATGCCGGACCGGCCAAGTGAAGCCAGACTCTCCTGTGACCTTTCACCCCCCTCCTGCCAGACTCGTCCCGAGAAGTCTGTAGAAGGCAGTGCTCCCTCACACTGCCCAAGGCTCGGTGAGATTTAGGTTAACCACACACTGTGTCTTTTCATTTTTAAAATATGTTTTTATTGATTTCAGAGAGGAAGGGAGAGGGAGAGAGACAGAAACATTCATGAGAGAGAATCATGAATGGCTGCCTCCTGCACGCCCCCCACTGGGGGATCAAGCCCACAACCCAGGCGTGTGTCCTGGCGGGAATCGACCCGGGACCCTTCAGTCTGCAGGCTGACTGGCTCTATCCACTGAGCCGCACCGGCCAGGCCGCACTGAGTCTTGAATACAACACAAACATGTTCTCATGGAAGCCTTTGAAGAGAAAACCAGTTGGATTTTCGTGTTTTGTCTTTTCCCTTTTCCTGCTTTGTTGGGCTGTTTTCTGTTCCACCTGGGGGGTATGCCTTGCTCAGCTGATGCCCCCAGGCCTGGGGGGGAGGGAAAAGGAAGGGGCCGGCTGTGGAGCTGCAGGAGGGGAGCCGTGGCCATGCCTGCAGGCACCCTGGGTCCTGGCCATGCTGCCAGGCTGGTGGTACCTGTTCCTCCAGCTTCTCCACGGGGCCTTCCGGAAAGCGCTGTCGTGAGAGCCACACGACCCCGACAGGAACACGGTCCGGGACACGCAGGTCGGAGTTGTCTCTGCTGGAGCGTCGGCGAGGGGGGCTGCGTGCATTCTCAGCAGCGAGGGCCACGTCGGACTAGAGCCCAGGGCGGCTCGGGGTCCCTGGTGCTGCACCCTGAGGGGCAGCTCCCTCTGCTGACCTTTGACCTGGGCAGTGGGTCCCCCAAACGGAGGCGTTAGGACACCGTCCCAGGGCCGACCATTCTGCTTGATCTTCTGGTTGCAAAAGGCCCCGTATGGCTAGTACAGTGGTCAGCAAACCGAGGCTCGAGAGCCACATACGGCTCTTTGGCCCCGAGTGTTCTAACGCCACTTGTTCACAATAGACTGGCCCAGGCCGGAAACCGACTCCTGCGCACTGGCCACAGAGTTTCACTCGCACTGTCCGTGTGCACCCGCACGTGGCGTTTGGTGGGAGAGCCACACTCACGGGGCCGGGGCCGCACGTGGCTCCCGAGCCGTAGTTTGCCAACCACAGGTCTAGTCCACGAGACGAAAAGGCTGTCAGACCCCGGGAAGGAGGAGGCCAGCTGTACAAACGCGAGGTGCAGCATGAACAATCATGACGACAGCCTGCAGGCTTGTTTTCCGGAGTTTACACTCCTTTCTGAGCCTTGTGTAACAGAGAACGTAATTAAGGGCTATTCAGTAATTTTAGAATAGCAACACTGAGCTCTTTTGTCCAATAACGTTTACACAGACAACGTCTTTTCTTATTGTAAGTACAAAGTTTTTAGTTAAAAATACCAACTGGATTTGCTAAATGGACTATTCTGACTCGCGCTCCCCTTCTCCCTCACGATCGTGTGCCTGGCTCCTGAGCACTGGAAGGGCTGCATGGAGAAGAGTCAGAGGGAGCCTCCTGGAGGGTGTGGAAACCCTGGCCTGAGGGAGCTCAGCCCGGGGCGCCGCGCTGACGGGCCTGTGTGGGACCATGGTCTCGAACTCCCCGAGGCCCAGCTCTCAGTGCCTCTTTGGAAGCCCTGCCTCATGTTCTGCTTCTGCTCATCCTGACGGACACGGCTCCGTGGGCCCCTCGCGCTGGAGGAGTGCGCCCTGGCTGGAAGGAGACGTGGAGGCGCCGGTTCCCGAAGCCATCGGGACGGAGTGGGCTGTCACGTCGTCCTGTGCTGCGTCCGAGCTGCTTCTGCAAATGCACACGCATGTAGGGGCCGAGAGTCTGACGTCCGTGTGCGTGTGCAAGACGGACACAAGCGCGTCAGCACGCTCACAGGAACCCCGGGTCGGGCCCCACAGGCTCTGGAGTCACAGCGTGGAGCTGCCGGTGAGGGAAGCAGAGGCACGAGCTCGCCTCCCGTTGGTGTTTGCTGCTCAGGCTGAAGCCTCCCGCCCCGGATCCAGAACAACTACTTTTACACGCGTGGGACGTGTTCTCGGCTCCGTGGGGCGGGAACCGCTGCACCGTGGACTTCTCTGTCCCTGGGAAGGCGGGCGGGTGCTGACAGTGGCTGAGAAAGGGAGGCGTGCCCAGAGGCGTGTGGTCCGCCCTCGCCTGCCCCAGCCGGCTGCTGGGCCAGAGGCGCCTCTCGCTGCTGGGCCTGCCCTGTTGGCGGAACGAGCTTTTCTGAATGGACACGAGCTGCCAGCCGCCCCAGGCTCCCGGCCAGACCACAGCGCGATCTCGAAGCCGAACAAGCAGCTTCTTGACTGAGGGCCTCGGTGGCGAAGCCGTGGAGAGAACGCCCGCGTTCCGCAGGCGTGTGCGTGCGCTCACACTCTGGTTCCGGTGGAAATTCCCAGCCAGCCTGTGGCCCCGAGGGAGGCGAAGCCTCGCTCAGCCGACAAGTCTGCCCACACCTGCCTTCCTCCCGCCGGGGAGCGGGGTTCCAGGCTCTTCTCCTGTGGAGAGCGGGGTGGCGTGGGGGTCAGACCCTCTCTCCTCCCGCCTGGACGGGGCTCAGGCTGTGCAGAGCGGGGAACGGAGCCCTGATGTCTCGGCTGTTGTGGGGATCGGTCGCCTCTGTGCCCACCCCGTGCTCTGCCTGGTGGCCAGCAGGCTGGGGTGCAATCACGTCCCACGCGTGATTCCTCAGCCCGGGGGAGTAGGGCACTGGGCGTCTGTCTGTCGTCCGAGGAGCCCTGGGTGCCCAGCCCTGCCCACAGGAGGCACCTCTTCTGGTCTCAGAGGAGCGGGCCTCAGGCCCACGGGGGATAGGCCCACACTCAGTCACCTCCCGTGTCCCCTTCGCTAAAACATTTAGAACCCGGCGTCGGGTGGACGCTTGTGAGCAGTTGTGTTACGTCTGCTTGAGCAAGTCAGCACGGAGCGGACCAGAGCGGCGGGGTGTGGCCCACAGGCCTCGGGGCTGGACAGCCAATGAGAATCCCCTCGAGGGAGAAGAGGAGCTGTGAGTCGTTCACAGACAGGCCACACGTGTGGTCCTCGTCTCTCCGTGGAGCACAGACCTCAGGGTTCTCGGTGCGAGCCCGCTGGTGAAACTGACCCCTCCCCCACGGGACCTTCTCTGACGGGCTTCCTGTGCTCTGTGCACTGTTGTGCGTTCCAACCGGCAATTACAGTTCCTCCCGTTCCCCGTGGGGCCCGGCTCAGGAGCCCCATGTGTGAAGCTGGGTCCTGTCAGCCACCGTGGATGGGGGTCACTGTGCACTGAGCGGCCGCAGTCCTGACCCCGTGGCGGGGACTCGGGGCTCCCAGGCGTGGGGGGCCGGGTGCCACATTGCGCCCACGGTGGGAAGGTTGCGGCCCCTGGTTAGCCACTCGGGGTCCGTACCCCTGAGTGGGAGTCGGGAGCGGAAGCAGCCTGGGGGGAATGTGTAACTCAAGGACGGGCTCCCTGGGAGGGGCCTGGGAGCCAGTGCTGAGGGACATGAGTGTGCCGTGTGGGCTCAGCAGGCAGAGGAATAGCAGAGGACAGGCAGGCAGGCGTGGGCAAGTCCTTCTGCATGGTGACTGAGGGGCGAGGTGGGCGAGGGGTGAGGGGCGAAGTGGGTGAGGGGAGTGGTGGGTGAGGGGAGTGGTGAGTGAGGGGGCAAGGTGGGCGAGGGGCATGGTGGGTGAGGGGCGTGGTAAGGGGAGTGGTGGGCGAGGGGCGAGGTGGGCGAGGGGCGTCGTGGGTGAGGGGAGTGGTGGGCGAGGGGAGTGGTGGGTGGGAGACGTGGTGGGCGAGCGGCGAGGTGGGCGAGGGGCGTGGTGGATGGGTGAGGGGCCGAGGATGCCATGGGTGAGGACCAGAGAGGCCAGAATGGAAGAGCAGGAGACGGCCGTTGCCATGCTGGGAAGCCTGACTCGGGAGCATGAGAGCCGGGTCACGGAGACACGGTCAGAGCCCGAGCCTGACTGTGGAGCTGCCTTGTCCGCTGGCTCCCGGTGACAGTTAGGAAGGGGAATAGGTCAGAGTCTCCACGCTGGGACCAGGGCTGCGGGAGCTTGCGATGGCCATCTGCGTGCCCTCCGATGGCGGGAGAGCCGCCGTGCCGAGCCGTTCCCTAGGGGTGTGGCCGACTGAGGCTGTGGTCCTGGGTTGGCCCCGAGCTCAGGTGTCAGGAGAGTCATGCCTGATGAGCCCTGTGTGTGCGTTTGCGTGTGCGTGCGCACATGCGTGTGCGTGTGCACATGTGCGCGTGCATGCGTGCTTGTGTGCATGCATGTGTGTGTGTGTGTTTGTGTGTGTCTCCCACTCGGGGCTGGCCCGTTGCTCTGGCTCCGGGTGCAGGCGGAAGCCGGGTTCCGGTGGCTGCGGGCACGCATGGCACCAGCTCAGCCCGCATTGTCTGCCTGGGCAGCCACAGCCGGCAGGTGGCACGGAGGAGGACTCGCTGTCGAGCGGGATCAGAGGCAGCGTCAGCGGGCGGCGGGAGGGGCAGGCTCGGATCCCATGCGCTCTTCATCTCGGGGATTTTTTAAAATATATTTTATTGATTTTTTACAGAGAGGAAGGGAAAGGGATAGAGAGCTAGAAACATCGATGAGAGAGAATCATTGACCAGCTGCCTCCTGTACACCCTCTACCGGGAATGTGCCCGTAGCCAATGTCCTTGACCGGAATCGAACCTGGGACCTTTCAGTCCGCAGGCTGACGCTCTATCCACTGAGCCACACCGGCTTCGTCCGTCACGGGGATTTTAAATGTAAGAGTCTTGCATTCAGTTTGTTCTCTTCTGTTCTGTTGGTAGAATCGTCCTCCTCAGCGGCAGGCGGTCCTTCTGCAGCGTCTTCTCCGTGCTGCCGTATCGAGACGGTGCCCAGCCCGGGTACGTAGCATCTCGCCGTGCTTGGGCGAGCGGCCGCGGGGCCACGTGGGGAGGTGCTGTGCTGCCCAGCCTCTCGCTGACACTGAAATGGAGTGTGTGACCGTCACAGGAAACGTTCTACCTGCTCTCAGCCCGAAAGCGTCCTGCAGGGGTGTGTGTGTGTGTGTGTGTGTGTCTGTGTGTATCCCCGTGTGTGTCCCCGTGTGTATGGGGGAGTGTGTGAGCGAACATGTATGTGTCCTTGCCATGCTGCCTGCTGCTTCTGATATGCATGTTGGCATCTCCCGATGCTGTGAAGGACAGTGCAGGGCCCACCCCAGCCAGCCAGCTCTGGAGACACGAGCTGTGTGCTCACTCTGCCTCCTGTGCCTGGGCTTGGGCCGGAGTCTGACCAGCCCATGGAGCCAGTTCTGACCCGAGGGGGCGCAGAATTTAAACGTGCGAATTCTTTGTTTCTGGAATTTTCCATCTAATATTTTCGGGCCACAGTGGCCCAGGGGTCACTGAAACCGCAGGAGGCGAAGCTGTGGGCGCTGAGGGGAGTCGCCTGGGGCTGTTGAGAGACCGTCCCGTCCTGGCCTCGGAGGGGAGATGGAGGCGGAGTGGGCAGGGCTCACCGGACACCACCTTACATCTTGGATATGAACAGTCCAACTCGCACTCCCTCCGCTTTTATAGATGAGAAACCAAGATGCAGAAGGGGTAGATTCCGTAACAAAGCCCACGGCCAGGTCTCCGGGTCCCCCGCAGAGAAAGGACGCACCCACTGGCAGCATACCCTGAGGTCCTCGGGAGAACGGAGCACACGGCAGCTTGAGCAGCAGGACTGAGAAGTGTTCTGCTTTTCATTTTTTAAATATATTGCCGAAACCGGTTTGGCTCAATGGATAGAGCGTCGGCTTGGGGACTGAAGGGTCCCAGGTTCAATTCTGGTCAAGGGCATGTACCTTGGTTGCAGGCACATCCCCAGTAGGGGGGTGTGCAAGAGGCAACTGATCGATGATTCTCTCTCACCAATGTTTCTCTTTCCCTTCCTCTCTGTAAAAAATCAATAAAATGCATTTTTTTTTATAAAAGGCTCATTTTAAAAATATATTTTTATTGATTTCAGAGAGGGAGAGAGACAGAGCCATCAATGATGAGAGAGACTCACGCATTGGCTGCCTCCTGCACGCCCCACACTGGGGATTTGCCCTGACGGGGAATCGAACCATGACCTCTTGTTTCATAGGTCAATGCTCAACCACTGAGCCACACTGGCCGGGCAGTCCTACTTTTTAAGTGTTTTCATGAACAGATATCCTATTTATAGTAACTGCCACTTATGATTTTTAAACTGATAATTGGGAAACAATTATGCTCTGATGATAAGTATTTATGCTGGTAAATTTACACGTATACATGTTTTTTAAACTACTGTAGTTCACATACGTATTAACCAGCATGTTTTCACTGTGACAGCTTCTTTCCTTTTACGCTAAAGCCCTCTCGTGGCCAGGACCGAAGCCCTGAAGCTCCTGTGGAGAGGACGTGAGGGATGCGGTGGTGGCTTCCCTGCCCGGCAGCCGAGCCCATAGGCACGGGGGACGCTCCCCACTCCCAGCTGAGCCGGTCCCCCGACTCCGCCACAGGGCTGCTCACCGCGGTTTCTGGCTCCCGTGGTTCCGTTGTACGTGGGCACGTGGACCAGGCCACGTGTGCCCGATTGTTCTGACAGGTGCAGACCACCCTGGGCGGGTGCATGTGCAGACCCAACTTCATCCCAAGAATGTTTTAAAAACAGGAAACTCGGAAGTCCCTTCCCTATGCACGGGAACCCCTGGCATGGAGAGCATCCTTCAGGGTGGCCTTGTCTCTTCCGGGTCTGTGCTGGCCTCTGCAGCCGCCCCCATCCAGACCCCCGCTGGTTTGTCCTTGGGTCTAAGCTCAACTGGACCGACTGGCTCCTGACTTCTGCGAGCCAAGCAGACAGGCCGGCTACGGGGCGTGGGGGGGGCTTTACGTGCGCCCCTGACTCGTCCTGCTAGCCCCTCCCGGACACCAGAGTCGAGTCCAGTCGGAGGGAGCGCTGTCCCAGCCCACCAGCCTTCTCACGTAGATGGATCAGTAGAGAGACCTCAGTGCGCTGCGGCCAAGCCCGTGTGTCAGAGCTGTTGACGCTGCGCCTGGCACGCAGCCCACCCACTGGCTCACGGAGCAGCGGGCTCTCGGCTGATCCAAGAGCAGTTAGGGGTCCGAGGCCTGACAGGCCCTCCTGCCCGTAGGTTTCCCAGTTCCCTGCTGACGGTCTTGGTGCAGATTCAGTCTCAGGCCCCTGTTTACTTGGCGTGGCCTTCCCAGAATTCCTGCGAAGCGCCTGCCACTGGCTTCTCTGCTGGGGAGTGACAGGCCCGTCCCCCCCTCCCTCTGCGTCCGCTCCTCAGCGAGGTTTCTGGCCCCTGGCTCTCGTGTCCTCGGTGGGGACACCAGGCTTGTTAGTGACAGACTGGCTGCCAGTGCCCCTCGCTGTTTGGCCTGGTTTTTTGTTTTCTTTCGTTTTGTTTTGGTGAATCCTCACCCTGGGACATTTTTTCAATGGTTTTTAGAGAGAGTGGGAGGGAGGGAGGAGGGGAGAGGCAGAGAGACACATGGATTGATTCCTCCTGCTGGAGCCCTAACCCAGGTGGGGGTCAAACTCGCAGCCCTGGTACGTGCCCTTGGCCAGGAGTAGAACTCGAGACCCTTTGGTCCGCAGGCAGATGCTCTATCCACTGAGCCACATGGGCCAGGGCTGTTTGGCCTTGCTTGCACTTTGCTGCTCTGGCATTTCCCCGGCACCTACTGCCCTCTTAGGTAGGAGATGCTTCTAATAACTGCCCTCTTTCCCCGTTCTTTCCTGTTGGGAATTCAGTCTTTCCCGGGGGACGATCAGCATGGAGGGGGTGCAGGGCGGGGTGCATGCAGACAACACGAGCTCCCCGTCTCTGCCCACACCCCTCGGGTCTCTGGCTGTCAGCAATTTGCCTGCCTCGCCCTCCCTGGCTCCGTGTCACTGCCCGACCCAGCATCCTGTGGTCAGCAGCCGCGTGAGATCAGCCAACCTTCCGTTCCCGTGTGCTGGCCTGCCTGAAGCAGGGACGGTCCTGGCTAGAATGGGGCGTGGGGGTGGAAGGGGGTTCTCCCAGGTCATTTCCTGCTGGAAGTTGGGAGGGGACTTGTCCCTGGAGCGGCGTGTGGACTTGTTCGTGGGGTGGCGTGTGGATGGCGTGCTCAGTGGGAGCCCGAAGGACTGAACGCTGCTCTGATCGTCCGCGGCCTGGCGGCCTGGCCCGTCCGATGGTTTTGAACTGGGGTACTGTCTGCTCTGGACCCGAGGGCAGATTGCCCAATGGCGGCTGTGCCAGGGGCGACGGCGAGGGGTCTGTAGGCCATGTCGCTGAGCCTGGTGGTGCAGCCCCAGCAGTGCCAGCCTCACGCTCTGCACTCCGTGAAGCACATCTCTGGCTGCTGTCAAGCATCTGGAAAGCCTGTTAATGTGTAATTAGCTTCTAAGTTATTTACACGCCGACGTGTTCAGCGCATTGTCCTTCAGGAGCGATGCCCGGGGGCCCTGGCTGCCCCCCCTCGAGTCGCAGCCGTCACAGACGTGGTCCCGGCGGGGCCCCTCCCCCGAGAGCACGGCGTGGCCCAGGCCACCGTGGAGCCCGGGCGGACGAGCTGCACGCGGAGTGCCGGACGCTCTCAGCGGCGGTGCTGCCCCACGGTCCTGGGAGAGGTCATGTGTGACGTTTGGAGACATTAGTGTCTGTCCACAGAAGCCTTGTCAGTGTGCCATGTCCTGTAACTGCGTGCTCTTAGCGTGCTGTTAGCGTGCTGTTAGCGTGTTTTATAAGCAGATACTCATGTCCGGGGGCCTGGCCGGGCGGGTGGGTGACTCCTGTGGCTCAGTGGTTCGTGGCCAGCAGTAAGCTCGAGCTGTTCAGGAGGGAGATTCTTTCTCCTGACTAACCAAGGGGGCGAGAGGGGTCCCCGGGATAACAAGAAGCCAGCAGCGCCAGCCCAGAGAACCAGTCCCTGTGCCAGGGCGCCGCGAGGGGAGGGGTCCCTCACTCTGCACCCTCCCTCCCTCAGACGCTCGTTCGACTGCACGTCCTTCATGTCAGGGGGCGGGTGGAAGGCCAGGGTGGCGAGAGGGAGAAGGGCGGGGGGGGGGGAGAGTGGAGGGGGAGGGCGGAGGGGGAGAGAAGAGAAGGCGGGGGGGGGAGAGAGGAAAAGGGGAGGGGAAGAGAAGGCGGGGGGGGGGAGAGAGGAGAAGGCGGGGGGGGAGAGAGGAGAAGGCAGGGGGGGGAAGGCCGGGGGGGGGGGGTAAGAAGAGAAAGCGGGGGCAGGGCAGGGGGGCTGCCCTTGAGTCTGAGCCCGCCCAGCGAGGGGCAGGGGAGGCCCGGCCGTCCTGCCCGTTCCTTCCGTCAGCACCACTGGTGCCTCGTGTGGTGAGCGTCCCCGCGTCTCTTCCGGGTGCAAACAGCACGTCTCCTCTGGCTTGTCCTCCAGGGACCTGAAGTCGGACGGAGGGCGACAGTCAGCGGGTGCCGTGAGCCTGAAGGAGGTCATTGGCCTGGAGGGCGTGGAGCTTGGCGCTGACGGGAAGGTAAGCTGCCCGGCTCCCGTCGCGAGCCTGTGCCCAGGCCTGGGTTCGGGAGGCGAAGGGGGTGGTGGGAAGGGGGGGGCAGGCCACCCGCCTCACTTGGGGGGTGGGGACACCTTCCTGGGCTCCTGACACCAGCCCTCCGCTCCCAGCGGGCCCCCAGGCGCCACTGTGCGCACACACACACACATGTCCACACGCACACGTGTCCACACGCGTGCTCTGGGTGCAGGGATGTGGGTTGGGTGAACAGCAGTAACGGATGGTGCCCACAAGCCGCCTCCCCACGACCAGACGGGGTGTTGGCTGGCCTCCTGGGGCCCTGAGGCTGCGAGCCCCTCGGCTCCGGCGGAGCCCCCGCTGCCACGCGCGGCTCACCAGGCTGGGGTGAGGTTCCTCATGAGCCCAGAAGCCTGTTGGGGAGGCATGCAGGGTGTCCTTGAGGAGACCGTCCAGCAGTGAGCATGCAGGGAGCTGCCCCCAGGGCCTGACCCGGGGTCCCTGGCAGCAATTGAGAAGGCTGAGTGTCCACCCGGGAATGGGGGGGGACAGTGGAGGGGAGCCCCGTGGATGGACCTGCCCAGGGCACAGGGCACGTACCTCATCAGGGACTCCAGCCGTCAGGGGCTGGAACACTGCAGGTGCCCGCCTATGCCAATGCAGCTCACCCCATCCCCACAGCCCCTATCCCCTCCCCACCCCGTCACCCAGCCCCCCGTCCCCACGGCCCCGTCCCCTCCCCACCGCGCCCCCACAGCCCCCGTCCCCACACCCCCATCCCCACGGCCCCCCCATCCCCACAGCCCCGTCCCCATAGCCCCCATCCCCTCCCCACCCCATCCCCACGCACCCCCCGTCCCCACACCCCCATCCCCACAGCCCCCATCCCCTCCCTGCCCTGTCCCCACAGCCCCGTCCCCACAGCCCCCATCCCCTCCCCGCCCCGTCCCCACGCCCCCCCATCCCCACAGCCCCCATCCCCTCCCCACCCTGTCCCCACGGCCCCCCGTCCCCCTCCCCCCCCCCGTCCCACGGCGTCAGGACAACACGCCGTGTTCTCTCACACACATCTGCTGCGGGACCTGAGCGTTCTCACGGGGGCGGGGGTGGGGGCAGCGCTTCGGTCGCCTCCAGTTGCTGATGGCCAGTCGCTGAGAGTTGTGGATCCGACGCTGGGTTGGTTAGCCCTGCCCCTGGGGGTGCCCATCACCGCCCTCCGCCTTCCTTCCAGACGGTGTCCTACACCCAGTTCCTGTGGCCCACCAACGCCCTGGGCGCCCGGAGGGCCACCATCGACTCCACCTGCTCCTTCTCCCACCTCCGCACCCTGAGCCACCGCAGCCTCTCGCTGGGCCGGGCCAGCAGCACCCAGGGGAGCCTCGACGCAGGTGGGCTGCCGGGCCGGGAGGCGGGAGGGTGGGTCCCCGTGAGCACACTGGAGGCCGGTCCCTGAGTGTGAGCTCGTGCCGCAGCGAGTGATTGGGCGAGAGGATTCCAGGCCACGGGCCTCACAGCCCCACAGGGGCCTCTCCAGGGAGAGCCTCCGCCCAGCCCCTCGTGCGGAGGGGCCGGGCGGGACCTGCTTCTCGCCACCTCCCTGCGCCTCGGAGTCGCCCGTCACCCGGCCTTGCCTGCACTCCTGCTCCGGCCGGGCTCGTCTTCACACAGCCGGCGGCAGCCCGGGTCCGAGAGGACGTCCTGAGGGTCTCCGGAGGGGCTGCGGGAGGAGGCTGGAGCTCCCGCCGGCCTGCACCCCATGGGGTCGCCGGAGCCCTCGGGGAGCAGTGTCCTCGCTCGGAGGCCCAGGCGGTCAGAGGCTCAGCCTGTCCAGGTGCTGAGTCGGACACACTGTCCGTGCTCCGGCCATGCTGGGCCTGGGCCTGGCCCCGCTTTGGGCCATGTTAACGTGGACACAGCAGTCGCCCAGGAGGGTCCCCCAAAGCGTCCTTCTCTCAGGCTCAGCGGCCAGGGACTGCGGGGTCAGGGACGAGCCGGGGCCCGGGCTCTGACCCGAGTCCCCGCGTGTCCGTGCTCCGTGGGGCTCCGTGCTCTCGGGCTCGGGAGGTTCACACATCACTTCCTGAAGCCGGGAAGGCCGTCGTCACGCTGAGAATCTGGTGTCCCTGTTGGGAGGACACGCCTCCTTGGCCGCAGAGACCGTGACGACACGGCAGGCAGTGCCCTGACCGGCCCTGCGCTGCCCGTGGCCGGGCCCTCACTGTCCCTCTGCTGTGCCCGCAGGCAGCGACCTGGGAGACTTCGTGGACTACGACCCCAACCTCCTGGACGACCCCCAGTGGCCGTGCGGGAAGCACAAGCGGGTGCTCATCTTCCCGTCCTACATGGTGAGTGGCTGGAGGGGCGGGCAGGCCCTCAGACCCTGCTCGGCCGGGGACCCTCCGGGTGCCTTGCCGACAGGGTTCTGGTCGCTGGCTGCACACGTCACGCTAGCTCCCGGCTCTCGCCAAAGCGTGGCGTCTGCAGACCCTTGAGGAGGAGGGCAGCCGGCTCTGTGGAGTCCACGGGGGGGGGGGGGGGGGGGGTCTGCAGTGCCGCTGAGCAGCCACGTGGCCGGGCTCGGGGTGGCTGAGCCCTCGGGAGGGTGGGAGCAGGACGGTGGGGGTTACGCTGCTGCTGTTCCTCGGGCTTTTGCTGTTTCCCTGTGTATGTGGTTTCGGCTCCTGCTGACCACCTCCCACCGCTCTGCTCCGGGCGGCCATGCCCCGAGATCAGAGGCCTTCTTAGGGAGACGCGCCCACTCGGAGGCAAGCAGAGCCTGGACGCCATGGGGAGAGGCGAGGGCTTTCGGGAAACCCGCTGCCCCGGGCTGCTCACGGGAATCGGCGGGAGAGGGGGACCGGAACGCCTGGCGCCCCCTGCCGGCTGGAGGGCACAGCGAGCAGGGAGCCGGGCCTGCTCCCGGGACAGGCTGGAAGAGTCCTGTCTGGAAGCCTGTGGCCCAGCTACTGCAAAAGCTGCCTGGCACCCACTCGGAGCTGAGCGGCCTCACACAGGGCCCCGCCCTCAGCCTCTCCTCACGGGACATCTGGCCACGAGCGGCCGTCAGAGAAACCCGGGCCTGGCCCGCATGTCTCCTCCTGTAACTGGGCGGGGAGCAGACGTTCCGATGGCCAGAGCCGGCATGGATTACCAAAGGCATTTAGCGTACTCATTGTCAAAATGTTTTTATTGATTACAGAGAAGGAGAGAGGGAGAAAAGCATCAGTGATGCTAGAGAATCACTGACTGGCTGCCTCCTGCACGCCCCACACCCAGCCTGCAGCCCAGGCATGTGCTCTGACCGGAAATCGAACGTGACCCCCTCGTAGGATGATGCTCAATCTCTGAGCACGCAGGCCGGGCCAAAGGCATTTAGTTTAAAACTGCCCCACTCCGTGCTCTTCCCTCCTTATTCCCCAGCTGCTGACACGGAAAGTGAACCAGACCTGTGGGCAGTTTTTTTCCACTCTGACCTGTGAGGTCAATTTTTTCTTTAAAAACAACCACCAGAGCTCATTGGTATGAGCCAGTGCACAGTAGGGAGCTCATTGGTCTGAGCCAGCGCACAGTAAGGAGCTCTTCAGGCTGAGCCAGTGCACAGTAAGGAGCTCATTGGTCTGAGCCAGCGCACAGTAGGGAGCTCAGTGGTCTGAGCCAGCGCATAGTAGGGAGCTCATTTGCCGGTGTGGGGTGACACCGTGAGCGCCCACGGTGTGCGAGTGGGCCTCCTCCCCGCCAGGCGCTGACCCCGCAGGTCAGAGGTCGTGTGCTGTGCGTCCGTGGTCCTGCCGAGGCCCCTGTCTCCGGAGGCGGGGCCTCCTCGGGCCAGGCTCCCGGGCTCCCTGTGGCGTGCGCGTGGGTGTGGGCGTCGCCGTGGTGTCCTCTGCAGTGAGGGCTGGGACCGCGGGCAGGCGGGCGGGCGTGACCTGGCTGCCTTCCCTGCAGACCACGGTGATTGCCTACGTGAAGCCCTCGGACCTCAAGAAGGACATGAACGAGGCGTTCCGGGAGCGGTTCCCCCACATCAAGCTCACGCTCAGCAAGATCAGGAGGTACGGCTGCTCGCGCCCTCAGCCCCTCCGGTGCCTCAGACGGGCTCGGGCGGCCGTTCAGCAGAGGCTCCTGGGCCCTGGTGGTGGCTCGGTGGTTAGAGCATCCGGGGTGGTAGTGGGTTTTGCATGTTTGCGTTTCAGTCAAGGGCACGGACCTGGCCTCAGTGGGGGCGTGTGGTGTGGCACCAGGGCGGAGGGCGGAGGGCGGAGGGCAGAGGGCGGGTCTCGTGGCAGGAGCTGGCAAGGACCAGCTGCCATTCCTGCTGCCATGCCTGCAGCCCGTTGTTCAGCCCGATTTGTGAGACGGGAAGCGGCCTGGGAGACACGGGCCCTGTGTCCTCAGATGCAGACAAAGCAGGGGAGGAGCTGGGCTCCTGGTCTGGAACGGCTCCCTGCTCATGGCCCCCTCAGCAGGCACGGCCGCGCCCTGTCCTACAGCAAAACGAGGCCGTTTCCTGGTGGGCACTGGGCCCATTTGGGGGACACGTCTGCTGGCCACCCAGTCTCTGGCTGCGCCGGAGGAGACCAGCGTGTGGTGCCTGTACTAGGAGAGCAGTGCACATATGTGCATGTGTGTGAGCGTGTGGTAATGGGGCTGGACTACGTGTGGCAATGCCATGTGGGAATAAGTGCCGGCATGTATGTCCGCACGGACCTCGGTGCTGACTTGGTGCTGGCGTGTTCGGTTTGACAAAGGTAAGCAGAGCTCGGGCTCCGTGCTGCCCTCTCGCCGCAGCCGCCCTGTGTGCTCTGAGCTGACCTCCTGACGTCGGTAACGGACTCCGACGCCCACCTCATGCCTTGTCTTCGTCTCTGGCGGGACCTGGTCCTCCATGGGGTCCCTCTTCCATCGGGCAGCTCTCCGAGCGTCCAGGGACCCCGCCCACCCTGGGGTCCCGTGTGCACCCACGCCACGGGGTCTAGACCACGGCTGCCACCCTCTGGGACCCCACGGACCCTGGTGGGCGGCGGCTGGCCCGGACGAGTCTCCCCGTGATGCAGCGTCCCGCTCACGTGTCAGGCCGTCCCCTGGGGAACGGGAGGAGGTGCTCTCGGGCGAGCCTGTCCGGGCCTGTGCTCAGGCTCAGCAGGCCCCCCCGCCCTCCAGCCTGAAGCGGGAGATGCGGAAGCTGGCGCAGGAGGACTGCGGCCTCGAGGAGCCCACGGTGGCCGCGGCCTTCGTCTACTTCGAGAAGCTGGCCCTCAGGGGGAAGCTCAACAAGCAGAACCGCAAGCTCTGCGCGGGGGCCTGCGTGCTGCTGGCCGCCAAGATCGGCAGCGACCTCCGGAAGCATGAGGTCAAGCACCTGATCGATGTGAGTGGCCATGGCCGTGGCCGGCTGCCCCGCCCCCGTGTGACTGCCACGGTGTCTCGTGGGTGCTCACCCAGGTGTCCATCACACACGGCACTGACCTCGGCCTCCTGTGGCCTCGGTGGTGGTCTCTTCGGGGGAGGGCCTGGGCTTCTCCTCTCAAAGGACATCCCCGTGGCGTAAGGAAACTCCTCTCCTCAGCTGGTGCCCACATAGCCAGGACCCACACGCCATGGCCAGCGCCCACACGCCACGGCCGGCACCCACACGCCACCTCCAGCGCCCACACGCCACCTCCAGCGCCCACACGTCACGGCCGGCGCCCACATGCCATGGCCAGTGCCCTACATGCTATGGCCAGTGCCCACACGCCACGGGCAGTGCCCACACACCACAGCACTAGTCCCGTGTGAGGCCTCCCTCTGCTCCCGAGCTCTCACGCCCTCACGCCCTCCACGGCCATGCCTACCCCCTGTCTGTAAACCTCCATGGCCGTGGGGAGGGGCTCACGGGGAGAAAGCTGGGGTGCAGTCTTCACGCTCACGTGCTCTCGTCTCCTCTTCCTTTGCAGAAGCTGGAGGAGAAGTTCCGGCTGAACAGACGTGAGCTGATTGCCTTCGAGTTCCCCGTGTTGGTGGCCTTGGAGTTCGCCCTGCACCTGCCGGAGCACGAGATCATGCCCCACTACAGACGCCTGGTCCAGAGCTCCTAGCACGGCCACGGCGCTTCCCGATGTCGGCGCTTCCTGGTGCCGCGGGGCTCCTAGCACAGGTCCCGGCTGATGCTTTCCCGGCAGAGGCCGTGCTGCCACCTGAGACTCATTCCCGAGCAGAACTCAGCGCACGGCCTCTCCTCCCAACACGCTGGAGCCGAGCAGGGCAGACGGCCTGGACATGTTGGAGGGAAGCTTTGCAAAGGCCCTCACGGTGTCAGAAGATGGGCCAGTGTCTGCCAGCTGTTGGAGGGCTCTGTCCCCGGGGGCCTATGCCCGTGTGTGTGTCAGTGTGTCTGAGCAAGGCTGCCTCGGCCCCGAGCCGCAGCCAGCCTGCCCCTCAGCACAGACCTCGCCGGGGCCACCTCCCTGGGGCCGTGAGCCCGGGTGGGTTCACGTGGTTTTGGAGAACCTCGAGGAGCCATCGCTCTCGGTACCAGAGTGTCTGACACGTGTGCCCCAGACAGTGACCGGGCTTCTGTCACTGCCCCCCTCCCCCATGGGGCAAAGGTTGGTTCTCGTGTCGGGGCCCCATGGGAAGGGTGCAGGCGGCTCCACACGTCTGGCATCCCACCTTACACCCGTGTTTCACCCCCCGCCACAGGGCCGGCGGGGGCAGCGCTCCGTGGTGGGCTCGGTGCTCTATGTTAGAGTGCACGCTAGGCACTTTGTTGTGCTGTATGTACATACATTCCGTGTTTTATAGAATCCAGAACAAGGGTAAGGCACACGGTTCATGTTTGAGGCGTTCAGCCAGCTGGGACCAGCTGCCTCGAGCTGAGGCTGTGCCCGTTGGAGAGGGTCCCCCTGTGCGGGCGGTGCTGACAGCTGGGACCTCCTGTGCATCACCATCTAGCGTGTCACCATCATAGTCACCACGCTGTCCCCTAAAGCCCACGAGGAGCCCCACCAAGGTTTGCCGCAGGGAGGCCTGTGGCCACGTAAAGAGAATTAAAGTATTTTATTGTTTCTATATCCGTGTGTGTGTGTGTGTGTGTGTGTGTGTGTGTGTGTACACACGTGTCCCAGTGGTCACCCCCGCCCTGCATCACTGACTCACCTGCCGACCTCACGCGGGAAGCAGAGCCTCTCCCTCTCCCCGGGCAGGGGCAGGGACGAGGGAGCTGGGTTCAGCCTTCCTAGCGGCCGGACCGAGCTCGCTGTCCAGAGGTTCCTGTGCCGTTGGGGAGAGTGAGCAGGAGGCTCCCAATGGGCTGGGCTTGGTGCTAAGTGTCTGCTGACACGTTTCCTTTGCTGGATTGCGCGTCAGAGATTCTGTGGAGGGTTTGGCTGGACCCACCGAGATTTAGGGCCCAGCGCTCCACGAGTCTCCATCCTGAGGCCCACGTGCCCGGGGCCCTGCCCCCAGCTCCCAGCGGCTCTCACCCGGCCCCCCACCACCTCCGGGTCCTCAGCTTCGGGCCAGCCTGGCACGTCCGCTGGGGGCCAAGCCTGGTCCAGCCGAGGGGAGAGAGCGGGTGAGCTTGGACGTCCCTGAATGTCCGTCGTTTTCTTCTTGACGGGCGTTGGTCCGTTGGTTCAAGTCTCACCCTGTTGTGGCCCGAGGGTGGTGAGAGGGCCTGTCGGATTGGAGTTAGTTGGGTGCCGGGGGAGGATGATAAAGGTTTGTCCATAGATGAGACCATCTGTGTGTCAGCCGAGCGGAAAACAGCCAGGAAGGGAGAGGGGGTCTGGGGGAGGAGGCGCTCGCTGCCAGAGCTGTGGGGGGAGGGGACACGGCCTCAGCCCTGGGCTCAGAAGGGGGTCGGAGAGCGCTGAGGGCGGGACGGGCGCACACAGACTGAATCGGGCCTCACAGGACTGAAGGCTCAGGAGGCGGCTCCCACGGGCAGCTGCGAGCGGGGAGGGGGGGTGCCTGTGGGGGGCCCCCAGGGGTGGGAGGCAGTGAGGTGAAAGCTGTAAGAGGAGGAAATGGAGCCCAATGAGAACAGGGATGCTCGGTGCTCCGAGGCCCGTGTCCCCATGTCGTTGTCATGGGTCCCGTCCCGTGTGTGTGTGTGTCCCCCCCGCTCCCCCCCCACCCCGCTGCCCCGATAATGACCGTTCAGACACAGACTTTCTGGAAAGTGCGGACGGGCTGGTTGAGCTGAACTGGGTGAGGGTGGCTTTGCCACGGATCGCTCACAGGAGCACAGGCGCTGACGGAGCCCGGGCAGCATGCTCCCGGAAGGGTCATGGGTTCGGTTATGGTCACAGGCAGGGGCCTGGGTTGGGGGTTCGATCCTCAGTCCTAGTTGGGGTCCGTGCGGGAGCAGCCAATCCAGGTGTGTTTCTCACATCGGTGTTTCTCTCTCCGCCTCCCTCTCTGCCACTTTCTCTAAAAACCTTAATGGAAAAAGTACCCTCAGGTGATCAGTGAAAAAAAGAACTGAGGGGAAAAGGCAGTCTGGCTGCAAAGCCCGACCCACCCCGAGGTGTCACCCTCCCGCCACGCGGCTCTGCCCCCTCCCTCCCCCACCCCACGGCCTCGGAGCCCCTTTCTGAGTGGCTCCGGAGCTGGGCTCCTGGGTGGACGGCGCTGGAAGGGAGGCTGGCGCGTTTCTGCCTTTGGCGGCTCCGGGGATCCTGGGGAGACCTGCAAGCTTTTGTGGGATCTACGTCAGAGGTCACTTTTTCCTGAACCGCTGCCTTCGCTCAGAAACCAATTTTCATTTTTATTTGCAAAAAACAACCCAGACTCCATGGGACGGCCGCTCTCCCGCTCCTTCCCTGTGCGGGACGGTGTCCGAGGAAGGAGAGCAGGAGGGCCCTCTGGGGCCGGTAGAGGGAGGCGGTGACCCCGAGGTGCAGAGGGAAGGTGTGACCCTGGCAGGCTGGCCCAGGACGGTGCCGGCTGCAAAGGGCGCACGGGGCGTCCGGAGGATACGTGAGCTGCCGCTGACTCCTGAAGGCGCTCGGTCGGGGAGCGATGTTCCCACCCCAGAACTCGGCTGAGCTGGCAAAACTACATAAACTCCTGCTTCATAGGGACCCCTGTGGGGCACAGATGTGGCATTGGGGCCATACCGGGACCATAAACAGCTCGTTTGAATTTCCCGGGTCCAGGTGCCCTGGGGTCACAGGGTGCAGCCAGACAGGTAAAGGGTGATTGGGGGACAGTGGGGGGGCAGGAGGCAGGCTGGACACAGCCTTCACAAGCCCATGGGTGGCATGGCCCAGAGGAGGGAGCGCCTTTGGCTGTTCTGCCAGTTAGCTGGAGCGAGCAATGACCACTCCGGAGCCTTCCAAGGGCGGGGAGAGGGCATACCTGGTCCCTTGGGAGCCAGACGAGCCTCCCCCTCCCCAGGTCCCCGGGGCGGCTGGCTGCTGGGGCCTTGGGGTGCAGCAGGGAACATGGGCCTCTCAGAGGCCTGGGCTAGGGATGGAGAGCGGGATGTCCCGAGGTCGAGCAGGGGCGTCAGGAGCTGCAGCAGGGACCCAGCTGCCAAGAGGAGAGGGTGGTAGAGGAGGGGAGGGGGCAGGAGGACCAGGGACCCAGCTCCCACCTCCCCACAGATGGGGTCAGGTCAGGCCTGGAGAGGCTCCTCCTCAGCCCTGGGAGGCGTTGAGCACCGATTTCCCAGCTCCTGTCCCAGAGCCTCACGTTCCCCTCCAGCCTGCGGACGAGGTCAGAGGGGCAGACCCAGCCCTCCAGCTGTTGCGCTTCGCACAGGAGCGGGCGGCACGCTGCTGGAGGCACCTGTGTCCCGGCCTTCCTATCGCCTCGCTGCCCACGTCCAGAGGAAGGGCCTGGTCCCTGCCCCCTCAGTGCAGCGGGAGTTGCACTGGCCTCTGAGCCGCTCACAGGCGGGTTCCAGGCCCCCACCCAGCAGCCTGGCACCAGCTGGATGGACCCCACCCGGGCTGCAGAGCGTGGGTGGTAGGCTGGGAGGGATGTGGCTCACCTGATGGTATTTTTCACTGATTAAGAGAGTGGGAAGGAGGAGGAACGATGAGAGAGACGTCCATGTGAGACACATCGATGAGGTGTCTCCTCATGCACCCTGACTGAGCGGGGAGCCTGCAACCAAAGTCCGTGCCCTTGACTGCAATCGAACCCGTGACCCTTCAGTCCGCAGGCCGATGCTCGGCCACCTTGGAGCCACACAGCCAGGCCCGACGAGGCTCTTGGGTACCACGTGTGCCAGAGTCTTGGTCTCGAGGAAAAAGCCGTCTGCTCGTCAGAAGGACGGGGAGCCTCACACCGAGACGGGAACAGGATTTGCTGGGAAACGCCGTTGTGGCGCCAATGCAGACGTCCTGCCGTGCAGAGGCTGTGCTGGCGCTGGCACTTCACTGTCGGCTTCAAAAAGGCCCATCTTCCCTCGGAGCTGGCAGGAGAGGGTTAGAGCTAATACAAGGCCACATGGGCAGGAGCCCATTCCTGTGGAGCCTGGACAGGGTCTGTGGTGTGGACAGCGCCCTCTTGGTCAGCAGGAGGGAACGGGGTAGGGGGGACGGGGGTGCGGTGGGTAGAGGGTGAAATGCGCTGAAGGCGGACGGTGGTAAAGCTGCCAAACGCTGTGATGCACTGAGAACCACTGACCACCTGCTTGTCCTGGGTCACGTCCAGGCACATCGTTACAGCTCCATAAAGGGGGGTTTGTGGGTGTTTAATTTCAGTCCCTGGGTCTTCGCGCAGGCCCGGCATCCTGCCCCAGGATGTGCGTTGCTTAGGTCTGCGATTGCGTGAACGTCCAGCGCCTCCCGCTGGGCAGTCGGCCTGCAGCTCACCCACCTGAGGCCCGGACACTGGGCTTCTGCTGATGGCGGCCGCTCTGCTGGAGACAACGCCGAAGCCGTGGACAGGCAGTGGGTGCTGGAAGCAGGATGGCGCCAGTGAAGGGTGATTGACACCCCTGGCCAGAGTGGGGGACAGCCTGGGACAGACCCTGGGCACAGCTCTGACTTGGTGTCTGATACTAAGCAGCTCCCCCCTCCCCACCCTCCCCTCCCCCGCCTTCCTCCCCCATGCCCTGCCTTCTACTCGTCCTGGGAATCCTCGGGCCAGGAATGGCGCCTGGCCACGTCCCCGTTCCCAGGGCCACGCTCTCCCTGAGGTGCAGGCCGTGCGGGTGAAGACGGGGGCCTGGGGGCCTCGTGCTGTGTGCTCCTCTGGGGTCCCCCTCGTTGCCAGGGAGGGGGCTGGGGCAGCTCCTTCCACCCTTTCCCCTCCGTCTGAGAACCCATGGAAAGAGCTTCCTCGGGAGGATTAGAAAGAGGGAGAACTCTCTCCCAGAGCGGCTCCTCTCTGGGGCTGCAGAGACGAGAGGCAGATCGCCCACACACAAATGCCAGGTTATATCTCCTCACGGCCACAGCCATCAGCAACCTGCCTCTCGACACAAAGCAATTCCTTGTACAAACAAAACCCTCTGGCAGCCACCGAGGTCTCCAGTCACCACGATCCAGAGAGGACGTGACCACACGGTTCTTCGGGGGAAGGGTGCTTGGGTGCCGAGAGGGGGGCCTGGGTGCCGGGAGGGGGCCCGTCTGGGGCCTGGGTGCCTGGAGGAGGCCCGCCCGGGGCCTGGGTGCCGGGAGGGGGCCCGTCCGGGGCCTGGGCCGGGGGCAGCCGCAGTGACGGACCAGCCCCTGGTTTACAGACCCCAGGCCCGCCCTGTAGGCCACCTTTGACTGATGTCAAAGCAAGAAACCAGATCTTTAAAAACAGGACTCTGGGACATGAGGTTAAAGATCAAACAACTACAGAAACCCTTGCTAGAGATGCTTTTATAAAAAGGTCCATGGCACATCACTCTGGGGCAATGGCGTCCCTGGCCTTGTGGATGCCCTCGGGAGGGATCCTTGTGGAGGTGGGTGAAGCTCCGACCAGCCCACAGGGGCTCGAGGAAGTGATGTCCCAGGAGGCTCTGAAGATGTAAACACACAAAACAAACCCCAATGCCACGCGACGCCGGGCGGCCCCTGAGCGTGAGCGGAGAGCAGCATCTGTGCAGGCTCCAGAGGTGAACAGCACCTCCACAGGCGTCCCAGCGTCCACACACCCGGGGGCACGGCGAGGCAAGCCTCTCCAGGAAGAGACACGGGTCCGTTCTCTGCGGCCAGAGACCACGAGCTTCTGGCGCAAGGGAAGCGGCTCCACCATGCTTGGCTCCGTGCTCTGTCCCGTGCTTGGCTCCGGGCTCTGCTCCTCACCCTCGCTGGAGCTCTGCCGTCTTCCTTCCGTCGTCACCTCGTCACCTCGGGGTGCCCCTCCTCTCTGCAAAAACCAGCACGATCTCGCCCAGTCCACCGAGCAGGAGGCTGCAAGAGAGTCAAGAGGTCAGGAGGCTGCCAGGAGCCACGTACGTGGGTGAGGGACGCCCTGGTTCTGCTGTGGGGGCTCCCCGCACCCCACTTCCAGGTCAGGCCCAAGAACCGCCCATCCTGCAAAGTCCCCCCAGGGCTGGGGGGAATTGCAAGGTGGAGGAGGGGCTATGTCCAGGACAGCACGCACCCAGGGTATCAACACGCACCCAGGATAGCATGCACCCAGGTTAACAACACACATCCAGGGTAACAACACACATCCAGGACAGCACTCATCCAGGGTAACAACACACACCCAGGGTGGTAACACACATCCAGGACAGCACACACCCAGGGTAACAACACACATCCAGGACAGCACACACCCATGGTAACAGCACGCACCCAGGATAGCACGCATCCAGGATAGCACGCACCCAGGGTAACAACACGCACCCAGGACTGCACATATCCAGGATAACATGCATCCAGGACAGCACACAGCTGGAAATCAGTAATTTTCTTGGTGTGGCCCCTCAACGGCACCACCGCAGGCTCCGAGCAGACACCATAGACCTCACAGTCACCTTGTGCCCAGTTCCATCTCTGTCCCCATTGGGAAGGAAGCCGTTTCTCCTGCTGCTGCTCCCCCACCCGCCTTGCTTCCCCGCCGCCTTCACACACACACACACCCGGGTGGGTCCAGGGCCTTGATTCACAGGCGGGAGCAGGGGCTGTTCTCGAGTTTTCCGTCTGTCACGATCTTGCTCTGGGCTCCAATAAACCTTGTGAAGCCTTCTCTAGTCAACAGATGGAATGCTCCTCCTTCCCATCTATAGTTCAGACGGTTCTGTTCTTTCCTCATTTCCTCACCAACGTGTGCACCTGACACGAGGACCCGTGAGGGACAGTGCGCCTCCCGCGGGCCGGCTGTACAGGAGAGAGCAGGCCTCCGAGCGCTCTGGAGGAGGCTCCCGTATGCAGCCAGCACTCCAGAGAGGAGGGTCCCTGTGCTCGACGGGGAGCCTCAGACGGGCACAGGGTGCAGCTCCCAGGCCTGGCTGCCTCCCCTCCCCTCCACTCAGGCCGAGCCACGCCCACCACAGCCTTCATGGCCTCGCCAGCCTCCCTCCTGCCCTCTCCCTCGCCACGGCTCTGGTCACCCCTACCGCAGGCCTCTGCACGGCTGTCCCCCCGAACCCCACGACTTGCTCCTCAGTCTCTGCTCGCCCTCAGAGGCCGTGCCATTTCCCTGCGAGGATGGGTCCTTCTAAACAAGACGGTTGGAGCTAGTCTGAGAGCCATAGAAATGGAAGACAAAGAGACCGCACAGCCTCACACGCAGACATGGCTGCCGCCATGCGCTCCTGTGCACACAGGCGCTAGGGGCTGCGTGTTCAGTGTTTCCGGCCGCACAGCATGGCGGGGAGAGTGTGCCCAGCCACACAGCCTCCTGAGTGCCCACGCCCATGCCTCGCCCTTCCCGTGACACCCGGAGAACCCCACCACCACGGCCACTCACCATCCCACGGCCGCCCTGGTCAGGATGCCCTCGAACAGCAGCACCGAGCAGCCAGCTGTGGTCACCTGCAGAGAGAAGCCCAACAGAGGCATCAGCGTGGGCTCCGGAACCTTCTCCAGCCCTCACAAGCCAAGCGCAGACTGGGCCAAGTCCGATGCTGCTCTCCCCTCCCCTCCCTTCCCCTCCCTCCCAGCCACGCCAGTGCCTTGGTCAGTGTTGCTGAGGGGAGCTCTGGTGGGAAGACGCTGAACTGTCTGTGTGGGAAGTGGGCGCCTGCAAAAGCATTTCATTCCCAAACCGGTTACTGTCGGCAGCAGGCAGCCCCCCTCAGGTCTCTCTCCCCCGCAGCGCCCCCTCCCCGCTCCGAGGTGGGCAGAGCAGACCCTGGTCTCCGTCCAGTCCACGTGAACCCAGGTCCGGGTGCACGGCCATCCCAGGTTCTCCAGACAGCACGCCTGTGTCCTGCCTTGGCCTGCGGTTTTTTGTGGGGTTTGGGGGGAAGGGGCACAAGGGGAAGAATCGCTGAAAGCAGGAGGCACACAGGCGCCTGCACCCCTATGTTCATCGCAGCAGCTCAGACACCACTGGGAAGCGCCCCAACAGCCCACTGAGGGCGAGTCGACAGCACCATGTGACGACACAGATTCCTCGGCCCTAAAGGAAGCGGCTCTGCAGCGGAGGAGTGAGGCCGGGACCCTGTGCTCGGACACCGAGATCCCACACTGAGGTGCAAGGCGTCACTCAGAGACGGGCAGGGAGGTGGCGGCCCGAGCACGGGCCACTTCTAACGGGCAGTTTCCGTTTGGATGATGGAAAGTTCTGGAGACGGATGTCCGTGAGAACAGGGCTGGTCTTGAGCGTTAAAGAGCGAGAGTCTGTTTGTGAAGACCTCACGCTGCTCCCAGAGCTGACCCTGAAGACAGGAAGCAGCCGCTGCGCCCTGGTCCTCCTCACCAAGGGCACCTGGAGGGCACGTCTGTCTGCACACAGCTCTGCGGCCTGAGGAAGGCTCCCTCGCACTCAGAGTGAATAGCAAACAGCAGGCCCCACGCGGAGGACGCCAACGGCAGGCACTCGACCCTGCGTCTGCGGCCGTGAACTTCCTGCTTCCGGACAGCGGTCACAGCCTCCTGTTATTCAAACGGGTCGGGTTTGTTTTAGAAACACTCGTTCCAATCCAAAGATAAATGTTTGTGTGGGTTTTTGTAAGAAAATAAAGTGCTGTGAGCGAACCTGCCAGAGTCCTGTATTTGGGGGAAGAGTCGAGGTTCAGGCTGATTGGTAGGATTTGCTGCGATCTGCGGTGAGTTTCTAACCTGCGCTGAGTGGGCCCTCCCCAGGAACTGCCGGGGTAGCCCACGCCCCCACTTATCGGCTCCGGTTTCAAACTCGACTTCATCCCAGCATCTCACCTGTGCTCCAAGTCCCCTCTGCCTGTAGACCTCACTCACATTCCTCCTCGCCCGCTGGAACCCACGTCCAGACCTTCCCCGGCCAGTCTGCCTCAGTTAGCAGACGAGACCCCTGGGGGCTCCCACACCTGCTCGCCTGGCACAGGCCACGCCACTGCCCGTGCCTCCGGCAGGGACTGCACGCAGCAGCAGCAGCGCTGTATGCCCGGCTCCTGCAGGGGGCCTGGGGCCGGGCCCGCTCCCCGGCTCTAACAGGCGTCACCCACATCTGTGCTCCTCTCGTCCAAGGGGCCAGAGGAGCACGTGGTCGGGCCACACAGCTGTGATGGGAATTAAATAAGAAACGTGTGAGAGTACCAACTACACGGCTGCACACGGGGGGCCAGGTTGGCGGTGACCTGCCCGCACGTCCGTTGTTCCAGGGACCAGGGGCGTCGGTGGACCGGAACCTAAAGCCGGGCTAGTGGTGGAGCTGCTGTCTGTGGAGCAAGGTTTCTCTCTCGCTCCCTCTCGCTCTCTCTCAAAATCAATAAAGACACATTTCCTAAATAAATAATCTTGGGTCATAACAGCATTCATATAAGACCTTGCAGGCAGGAAATTTACAGAAATTCAAAGTATTTCCTCAATAAGCAAACTCATTCAGGTCAGAGTTGTGAAACCAGAATTGTTATCATATTTATGCGGCACAGAACACTGGGATGATCAATGGCTCTAAAAATAGCCCAGAAAAAAAATCATTGGAAAGGAGAAAAACAGCTTCATCCAAAACAGCAAAATGTCCACGAACAGGCCTCGGTCCCCGTGAACTGTGTGACAATGGGAGATGGAATTTTAATGTTTTCCTTCAATCCGCCCACGTCCCTCTGGGAACGCCGTGCTCATGAGGAATAATTCCCAGATATCTGTGCGCGGCCACGGGCTCCGCAGACGCCTGGAAGACGGGACGTGCCTGTGGCTGCCTAGCGAGAGGCTGAGAGGGGAATATGCCACGGCCAGGTTTCATTTTCCACGAAAAATAATTCTCCTCGCCACAGTGGCTCCAACGTCCGCAGAAACAGCTGTACTGAGGTTTCCACGGGAAGCCCCTCACCGCGCTTGTCGCCGAGTCAGTGCTGCTCTCGGCCTGGTCCAGGGCACAGGGAGGCCCGAGCGAGAGCGAAGGAGAGCACTCGGGACTGGCCAGGCGTTGGGGTGAGACTCCGTGTGCGACAGGAGGAAGGGGTGGGGCCTCAGGGAGCAGAGCGAACAGGAGGGCCTCCTCCTCCGAGACTGACTTCCCCCAGGAGGACAGCGTGTCCCCACCCAGCACTGTGGCGGAGATGGGGAGACCGGGGTGATGAGGACAACAGGGAGAAAGACACTGCAGCACAGACACAGAAACTAGAACGACGCGGAGGCTAGTGGCCTCGGAAGGCCGCTCCCCACCCGAGGCGCCCATGTCCTCCTGTGTGTGAGGAGGGGTCCTGGCTTACCTCCGTGTGATCCCTTCACACCACACACACATTGCACCTTCATGTCACACGTGTGACACTCGGCACTGACGGGGGCCGCTCAGCCACTCTGCTGCCTCACTCAGAGCCCCCCCATTCAAAGACACCTTCAATATCCCCCAAACTGTACAAGCCCAGTGACCCTTAAAACCCCGTCACACACAGCTGCTCTGCAGGCAGCACACCTGACCGTGTCAGAGGAGGGCCTGGGTGGGGTGAGCGAGGCCCCTTCCCTCCCACAGGCCCTGAGAACCCGGCACACGCAGACATCACACAGACACCACGCCGCCCGCAAGGCCAGCCACCGACAGCCACTGAGTCCCGGCCTTAGAGATGACACTCGAACAATAAAGTAACCAAGTCACCAAGTTTCAGACGCTCGTAGGCAAGGACAGCGAGCTGCTCCCGAGGTCACAGGAGCAGAGGAAGCCGCTTCCTGGGCTCCACTGCCTCCGGGCGTGAAGGGTGAGGACATTGCATTGGCCTGCGGGAGACTCTGCCCTCCTGGGGAGCAGCTGTGCGTGAGGAGCAAACACTGGGTCGAGAGCCGGGCCAATGCTGCGTCACCTCTCCTGGTTCAGCCTCAGCTGCCTCTTTCCCGGACACAGAGAACTGCCATCCATCGGAAGGATGAGACGAGACGCTACTCGACACGTAAGAATTCTCAGAAGGTAGAGCTGCTGGAACCACCACCAGTGATCACGTCTTCCTTACATGCCTGTATGTCATCGCTTTTCTCTTACACGCAACCACTTTTCCCTGCGTCAATGCTTTTCAGCACAAGCTGGAAGGGACCTCAAGATTGTATGAGGCTGTGTTAGATTTCACACAGCTGCTTCACCAGACGAAGGAACGGAAAAGGTTGCTAAGTATTGTTGTTTTCAGCTTCTTAGAATGCCCTCCAGTCCCCGAGAACAGCAATGACTGTGATGACAAAGTGACTGAAAAGGCACCTTTCCTTGCTGAGCACCGAGCCCAGGAAATAGGCAAAGAAAGACGAGGAACAGAGAGCAGCACAGATGCCTCCTCTTCCAACGCGGGCGTGATGATGCGATGTGACACCTCCTTGGAAGGGGAGGAGCATGGGTGCTTTTGGGACGGGGAAGGTGTCCCAGGCCCCTCCAAACGGCCTCTCGGCCTGTGTATCTCTGAGTGTTTCACGGAATCCCAATTCTCCTCTGGGCCAACGGAGCAACCTTCCGAGTCACTCCACACGGGCGCCGGCCGACCCAGTGACATCATGGGAAGGGCTGCGTACAGCGTGCTGCACCTCAATGTCAGCACGTCTGGTCTGTAGGAAAGTGCATATCAGGATGGGTAAACATTATGCATTGGGGGTCACAGAGTTTATTTTTAAATAGAAAAGAAGAAGAGAGGAGGGAAGATTGTTTAATATATTGAAGCCAGAAGAACCCTTAATGGCTTTTGTTCAATCCTTCACATTTAGGAAGAATTAAAAATCCTTCATTTTTTAAGGAAATATGTTTTTATTCATTTTTTTTTAAGAGAGAGAGGAAAGGAGGATAGGGAATTACAAACATCAATGATAAACATCAGCTATCAGCTGCCTCCTGCACGCCCCCTACGAGGGAGCGAGCAAGCACCCAGGCATGTGCCCAGACCAGGAACCGAACCAAGGCCTGTGGCCTCCTGGTTCCGAGGTTGACGTTCAACCACTGAGCCACACCAGCCAGGCTCTTCACCTTCTTCCATCCAGTCTCGCTCCCACTTTCTCTGACAGCTCCATCTGTCCCATGCATCAATGCCCCGGTTCTCTTTTGTTCATTAGATTCCACATGTAATTGGGACCACATGGTATTTGTCTTTCTCCAGCGGGCTTATTTCACTAAGCACAACAATCTCCAGAGCCCACCATGCTTTCACAAAAGGTAAGACTTCCTTCTTTTTTACGGCCAAGTAGTAGTTCATGATGTGGATGTACCACAGCTTTTTTGTCCACGCGTCTGCTGATGGGCACTGGGCTGTTTCTCGATCGTGGCTGTTGTAGTTAATGCTGCTATGAACATAGGGGCATGCGTATTCTTTGATTGGTGTTTCAGGATTCTTATTCCTAGAAGTGGGATCGCTGGGTCAAAAGGCAGCTCCATTTTAATTTTCTGAGGAAGCTCCTCTGTGTTCCAGAGGCTGCCCCGGTCTACACTCCCACAGCACTGGAATCCCAGCTGTCACTGCTCCTTCTTTCTGCTCTGTCACTTGTTGCTTCGTATGCTTTGGGCTGCTGTTATTAGGGGTGTTTATAACTGTTACATCTTCCCAACGTATTAACTTTCTCCAGGCATAGTTCCTATCGTGAAGTCTAGTTGGATTTTAAGTCACTTGGGCTAGCTGCATTATGACTGCTGTTTGCACGGTTATGTTTTTCCATCCTTTTACTTTCAACCTATCTGTGTCTCTGAATCTAAGACGTGTCTCTTATAGACAGCATACAGTTGGGTCTTGCTTTTTTATCCAGACTGACAATCTCTGACTTTTGAGTGGGCTATTTAGTCTATTCCCATATAATGTAACTATTGATAGGACTGCTAGCAAAAAATCCCTTTCTTTAATTGGGAATGTCTTTCTTTCTCGTTCATATTTGAAGGATAGTTTTGCTGTATAGAGAATTTCTGGTTGGACATTTTTCTCTCAGCACATTAAATGTGTTATCCTCCATTGTTTTTTTTGAGAAGTCATCCATTTATACTATTTTTTTTTCTACCTCTCTTTCCTCTTCTTCTGGATTTCTTGTATAGACGTTGCTGTGGTTGATGTCCCACAGATCGCTAAGCCTTTGTTTATATTTTAGGGTTTTTTTAGTCTTTGTTCTTTAGATCGAAGAATTTCCTTTGTTCTGCCTCCTGGGTCATCTCCAATCTATTATTGAATACCTTTGGAAAATCGGTCATTTCATGTCAGTTACACTTTCAACGCCAGATTTCCCATTTGGCTTTCTTTTTCAAAATCATTTGGCCTCTTTACTGAGGTTCTGTATTGTCTTTCCTTGAATTCTCTGAATGTGGTTTCCTTTCTGCATCTGAATATATTTGAACAGCCGCACTGCAGTCTTTTCCTGCCGAGCTGTAAATCTGAGGACACAGACAGGTTTCTCCTGACGGCTCTTTTCCTGGCATAAATCACGCTTCCTGTTTCTCGGAAAGCGTCTAATTTCCGCTGGACACCGGACACTTTACGTAACCACGGCGGCAGCTCTGGCGCTGACCTCCGCAGGAGCGCTGTCGTCTGTCTGTCCTGCTTCTCAGTCACCTGCCTGGACGAAGTCTTTAAGGTCCGTCTCCCATGGAAGGTACAGCTCTGAGGTCTTCACCGCGTTTCCCGTTTTCTCAGCTGCTTTCCTCGGGGTCACCCCGGCTGCACTGCTCAGAGTTCTGCAAAGACTAGGCAGAGGGCGCACTCACACACCTGGAGCCGGAAAGACCTCTCTGCTTCTGGCTCTGAGTGGCCGGGAACACACCGAATCTCAGGGGGCTCATGTGCCCGGCCTTCCCTCCCATGAGTGTGCTTGGGCTCTGCGGGCGGTGTGTGGGGGTTCTGTTTCTAGTTCACAGACAGGGTCAGCCGGGGCACATGCAGAGCTGTCCAGTCCCCAATGGGCCTCTCACCCTCGAGCTCCCCACATCCCCAGCCAGACCCTGTCCACTGTGTGTACCACGGAGGGCTGTGAGCCCAGGAGAGTGGGGCCCTGGCTTACAGTACCTTTAACTGAAAATACTGTGCATGGAACATTCTGGAAGCACCAACAAGGCCATTGGTTTTCGCAGCCACCCCGCTCTGGTTCCACTATTACACAGATAGAGCTGGGGAGGAAGGCACGGGAGCAAGAACGCGCCACCAGAGCCGTCCCCACCGGGAGCAGCCACTCTCAGGGACCAGGCTGCTGTGTGCCGCAGGCCTGTGGTCAGCGTGCCTTGGTCTGGCTTTCAGTTGACATGAGGAGGGTGAGTCCACGTGCTCCTCCATCATGGGGAAGCCAGCGTCTCAGCCATGCCACCGTCCGTGGGGCCAGAATTAGTCATGCTCTCACACAGAGACCACTCGGGTGAAGATGCTGCTGTGGAATCTCCTTTCAGAGATGGGGGACGGGGGGACGGGGGGTTGGGGGGGGGTAGCCAATCGATCAACATGAAGATGACTCTGGGCACTAGTTCCGGTGACTGTCACTCGATTGCACTCATTAACAACGGCCACATCTGGCAGGCAGCCCCCGGGCGACACGACGGATGAAATGTTCCACCAGGATGGCGCCAGGACCTCCCGGGGGTCCCGGTCCCACAGCTGCTTCCTCTCCTGTCTCCTCCCTCCCGTGGAGATAAGCCTGACAGTGCCAGCTCAGCCCAAGCTTCCCCTTCCCCCACTTACCTGAGCCAGGAGCAGCCAGGCCGCACACTGCCCAGGGGCCGCCAGGCTCTTCAGCTTCAGGGCGCTGAGCGTGAGGAGGAACCCCAGGAGCCCGCTGGAAGGAGAGACACTGTGAATGAGGCTGCCTTCTGTTCCCGGTGACACTGCATCTGCCGGTTTTAGTCCCATACCCACTTCCTCTGCTCCCAGTGGTCTCCAGTTTAAAACGATATTAGAGGCCCAGTAAGTGCTCCTTCCCTAGGGGCTGTGAAGAGAGCATTTCACTAGCTGAGGAGCAGGGTACAGAAATCTGGCCGGTCTCTGTCAAACCACGAGAAAGAAAAGGGGGACAGTACTCCCGCCCTCCGCTATGCTGGAGCAGAACACATGGCCAGGTCAGGTTCCTAAGGGAAAGCACCTCTGAGGGCAGAGGGTCTGGGTTCGAGGTAAGATTCTAAAAGGGGAGGGCTGGCCCATGACATGCCCCCCAGGAAGGCATCCACACAGCAACTGCACTCCAGGAAGGAGGCGACGCCGGGGTGACCTGCATGCCCCACCCTGGGGGCCAGAGGTGGAGCACCTGGGGCCGCGAGGCACTGATAGCCGTGGTAGGGAGCAGTGGCCGCACCAGACCATCTTCATGATCACGCTCACGGTCACCGTAGCCATGGGCACAGCACAGGGAACTCCTAGCGGAACAATTGCTCCCCCTGGCGTGGGGCAGGGCTGGGGAGGGAGCACGGCAGGGACGCCAGCACAGAGGCCGGCTCAGCACAGACACGCAGTGAGGGCCCGTGTGGCTCGAAAGGAAGACTCACGCCTGCAGCTGTGCCCCAAGCCACAGGCGGCCTGTGGGTTGAACCGTTTGCACCCCAGGCTGCCCTCTGACGGGGTGCAGGCTGGTGGTGGCTGTGACCTGATGGGAGCTCTGGGGGGCGGGACCTAGCCTCAGCCACTCTGTGTGTCCCCAGCCGGGACTTCAGGGAGCACTTGCTCACGGTCTCGGGCACTGGGCCCACAGGTAGCCTCGGCAGGTGACAACGGTGGCCATCCTCACGGGGCCAGGCAGGTGCAGGCTTCAGACTCCCGCCTCAGTGCACACAGCCCTGTCCTGCGAGCATTCCCCTCCTCCGGGCGAGTAAACAAGAGAGGGCGGGAGAAGCAGGTAACTTGGCCAAGACACGCGGTCAGGGAGCAGCGGGCTGGACCTCACCCCGTCGGCTTTCCCGCCACAGAGCACCCACAGAGACCTACCCCCAGAGCAGTGAAGTCAGGCTGGGCGGGGGCAGGAGAACAGGGAGACAGGATGGCCCACCTGCCCAGTTCTATCCACGTGGCTGGTCCACGTCCCTGAGTACTTCCCAAGGCCCCGTTTAAGAACACCTCGTCCAGCCAGCTCTGCTCAGTGGTCTCCACAACCTGTCTCATAATGTTGGGGCTCAGTGGAGGTTTTTATTTCTTTTTGGAGGCTGCCCTTCAGGAGCAAGAGGGAGGCCAAGGTGGAAGTGGAGAGGGTAGGACTGTGGACCACAATCTCCCCTTGAACTCAACTAGCTCAGATTAAAGTGGAAAGAACTGCTTGTGGAGAGAAAAAAAAAAAAAAAAAAAACATCGGGAAATCCCAACTCTTGGCAAGTTTGGAAACCACTGCTGGGGTGTAAACTCTTCCGCAGGACGGGGGTCCTCGAAGGCCCAGGCCAGCTCTGAGCACCCAGCCTCCCCCGCAGCACCCCTGGCCACGCAATGGGTGACTACCAGTGCCTTTGGCTTCGCCGGAGCGAAGACACAGCTGGGAGCACAGAAATGGGAATGAATAGTGTGAGGGCCGTGAGGTCAGATTACCTGGCGCAGCAGCTGCTGTGGAATCCGTAGAAATATAACAAGGGGAAGTCCCGGGCACAGAGGAGGTCACCTGCGGGCACAGCGAGGGTGAGACGGTGGCCCATACGCCCGCGCCCGCGGTCCCAGCCATGCCGGCCAGCACCCTGAGCAAGGAGCAATGGCACTGAGTTCAAACAGCGTCCCTGGGCTCCTGGTACGGCCCTTTCTCACAGTAACAGTGACAGTCACAGTAACAGTCCCATAGAAGGATTCACTGGGGAGTCGGCCTGGCAGGACCCCTGCTCAAGCCCTGCACACCACCTCTCAGGGCTGTGATGACGTCTCCCCCTTGGCCTGGAGCTCAGGAGAGATTTACCCAAGACGGCACCACTGGAGCTGGGAGCCTCAGCAGGAAGCTCTTCCTCACAAGCTTGGATCCTCCCCTTCCCCAGCAGCTCCTGCCCCAGCAGAGGGGGCAAAAACAACCCTCTTTTCAGTGACTGTCCTGTTCTCTTGTCCTCAGACCTAAAGCCAGGCTGTGAGAGCCCGCACCCTCCCGTTCCAGGACAGGCCCGGCCCAGGGCCAGGCCGGGTGCACGCTCGTTTGAGTGCCGGTCCAAAGGGCACATGCATTTCGAGTGAAGTCAGTTCATTCTTTGAGTCCCACTTGGTGGAGAGGAAATCATCACACATACCGGCTGCTTCCCTTTCTGGAATGTGAACTTGGTCACAAACAAGAAGTCGGGAGATTAAAAAAGCAGCAAGTCTTCCAAAAACACCCAAGGAAAGGCACTGAGCGTTTCCACAGCAGATCGCTCATCCCTCCACACCGGAGTCAGAGGGCGCAGGGGCGCCGGGCCTCCACTCGCTCTGCCTCCTGGGCCTGCAGCCCTGAAGCCGGGGGTCTGGGGGTGTGGGGGTGAGGGTGAGGGTGGGAGGGTGGAGGGGACCGGGCAGCACGGGCGCTGAATGGGCCGCAGGGCACTCGTTAACCAGGAACTCGAGGACACAAGGCTCTCGGCCCTCCCTCAGACCCTAACCACTCTATGATCACTGCCTCGCGTGGGAAGGAATGCTCTGAATTCCATCTCTCAGAGGTTGTGTGTGTTTTTTATCAAGACAACTGTTTTGTTCCATTCATCACGTGTGTTTGACTGAAGGAAGGGATGAGAATGAATGCGGGGGCGATGACTCTGAAAGGTTCCAGGCCATGTCTAACCCTGGGTGTGACACCCTGGAAGGCAGCCACGTTCCCTCCAGCATGTCCTCGGAGACATGGCCAGGCCAGGGCCTGCACGGAACAGACAACAGAGGCAAACACACAGACAAGACGAGCTTACCTGTGGGATGAGCTGTGGAGGCCAGGAACGCCACGCTGAAACAGAAACAGCAAATGAAGGAGCGCCCGCACCGAGAACATGCATTTCCAACCCTTCTCCTTGGAAACTGAAACTGCACGTGACCTCGCTGATGGGCCACTCCACCTGCGTCCAGCTCCCGGGAGTGCAGCCTCCGAAAACGTGGGCATGTCCACATCCACACCCACATCCACCCCCCAGGTCAGCCATGCCCTGGCCGCCATTACACCCACCTCCTCCACAGTCATCGCCACACCGAGCGGCCTCCGAATCACGGCAGGCTGCGTGCTACACCGTGGCTATGCAAAGTGAGCTAAGTCTGTTTCTGCCACAGAATTAACTGCATAGCAGGGAAGCTCAATGTCCACGAAGCCAGCCCACAGAATGACCCAGCCCATCCACCACGTGCCTGGAAACTCCTTGGACTGGTTTGCAATGGATGCCAGAAAGGATGAGGAAGAGGGGGAAGCCATATTCTTCCTGGCACCCTCCTACCTTACTCTCCGGAAGCTTCTCCCCTGTCCCGGGCCCGTGGACAGCGCCTCTTGGGCCTGATCCCACCTCTGTACTCTGTCTTTCTCCATCCCAGCCACAAGGCAGCTGGTCTAGTCAGAGGTCAGGAGAAAGACTTTTTCCCCAAGACCAATCAGGCCAGATACACAGCAGACCTTTTAAATCCATTCACTCAGCAATCATTACTGAGTGCCTAGGAAGCGCCAGGTACTGCTCTAATCTGGGGGCACAGCAAGCAAAAGAGAAGGCGTTCCTACACTTACCAGCTGAGCTCCAATACATTATTTTGGTTTCACAAATCACACCCCAGAGAGAGAAGCTGTGCACACCCCTTTCTCTCTCTCTCTCTCTCTCTCTCTCTCTCTCTCTCTCTCTCTCTCTCTTCTCTCTCTCTCTCTCTCACACACACACACACACACACACACACACACACACACACACACTTTCATCTGCAAAACAAGGAGGGAGTAGGTATAGAGATTATAGCCTCAAACAACCAGTGGTCAGATTAAAAATTAGAAACTCAAGATCCCAGGAGCTCCCTGCCGGAGGGGGCACCATGGGGAGACCTGGCCCGGCCCCTAGCTCCTGGCTCCATTGCCCCTTCCACCTTAGGCTGTGCCCTGCATCCCGAGGACCTCACACACTGCATGTGGACCCCTCAGCCTGCAAGTCCACCCACCACCTTCCACTGACAGCCTCCCCTCTGGCACCGCTGGTTCTGGGAATGATTTGGGAAGATAGACCAGGGAGGCCCTGGGATCAAGGACAGGACGACTCAGGGAGGGAAGCCAAGGGCCCAGGTTTACAGAGGCCCTCCCTCCTGGTCTAGGGCCCTCCCCACTGGTCTAGGACCCCTCCCACATGGTCTAGGGCCCTTCTCACATGGTCTAGGGTCCCACCCCCTGGTCTAGGGCCCCTTCCACCTGGTCTAGAACCCTCTCACCTGGTCTAGGGCCCTGCCACCTGGTCTAGGGCCTCTTCCACCTAGTCTAGGGCCCCGCCCACCTGGTCTCAGCCCCTCCCACATGGTCTAGGACCCTCCCACATGGTCTAGGCAGGGCTGCTGGTTGGTGTCCTGATTGGTCCCTCATAGACTCTTAGTTCACCTCCCTGGGGTCACATTGGCTCAGAACTCCCAAGTCACAATATTATTGGGAAATAAGCTCTGAAAACATATAGCACGAATATATAGAAAATTGCTCTAGAAATATATAGAAAATAGCTCTAGAAATATGAGTTATTCTTTGAAAATGTAAATTATATTTACCTGAATATATAGTTTAAGTACTGCTGGTCGATGTCACTAAGGGATAAGAAAAAGACAAAACATAAAATAATACAAGTGTTTTATGTATAGAAAGTAGTCGCTATCCTATGTTAATAAATTATAACCATGTATAAGTTACTGCATTTATAAATTATCAATAAATGGTCTGAAGAGTACTTCATACTCAAAACTAAATTCTGGCTCATTTAAAAAACACGTTTCCTAGTCTGGCCACACACACTCACCTGTGGCTGATTATTTCTCACTAGAGGCCCAGTGCATGAAATTTGTGCACTGGTGGGGTCCCTAGGCCTGGCTGGCAATCAAGACTGATCAGGTTCCCCACCTCCCCACTTCCCCTGCTCCTCCTTCCCTCACCACCCATCCCCAGTTCCCCCATCTCAGCCTGGGGCCCAGCCCTGAATGGGTTATTGGGGCCTGCTGGCGGGGCAACTCCTGTGTTGAGCATCTGTCCCCTAGTGGTCAGTGCGCATCATAGCAGCCAATCATTCCATCACAATGGTCAGTTAGGCTTTTATACATATACTAGAGGCCCAGTGCACAAAATTCATGCTCAAGGGGTTCCCTCAGCCGAGCCTGCATTCTCTCCAATCTGGGACCCCTCGAGGGATGTCTGACTGCTGGCAGTCGGATATCCCTCTCACAATCCTGGACCGTTGGCTCCTAATCGCTCACCTGCCTGCCTGCCTGGTCACCCCTAACTACCCCTCCCCCTTGCCGGCTCATCACCCTTAACTGCCCCCCACCTGCCAGCCTGGTTGTCCCTAACTGCCCTTCTCGCTGGCCTAGTCACTCCTCACTGCCCCCTCTGCCGACCTGGTCACCCCCAATTGCCCTTCTGTTGGCCTGGTCACCCCCAGCTGTCCACCCTGCTGACCTCGTTGCCCCTCACAGCCCCCTCACTGGCCTAATCACTCCACACAGCCTGCTAGTACAGTCATTTGGTTGTCTCTCACTAACCCCCCTGCCAGCCTCGTCATAAGCAGCCATCTTGTGATGGTGTGAGAGTTAATTTGCATATTACCTCTTTATTATGTAGGAGTAGAGGACCAGTACACAAAATTCGTGCACAGGGGGTGGGGGGTCTTTTAGCCCAGCTTACATTCTCTTGCAAACCAGGACCCCTTGGGAAATCCTGCAGGGATTCCTGTGGGATCAGGCCTAAACCAGCTGTCTGATATCCCTCTCGCAATCCGAGACCGCCAACTCCTAACCACTCATCTGCCTGCATATTTGATCACCCCTAACCAGTCTGCCTGCCTGCCTGATCGCCCCTAACTGCTCACCTGCCTGACTCATTGCCCCTAACCACTTCCACTTCGTCTGGAATGATATCTGAAAGGTCGTTTGGTTGTCCGGTGTAATTAGCATATTACGCTTTTATTATAGATAGGAGATTGATAGATAGATGAAAGACAGACAGATAGATAGATAGATGATAGATAGATAGATATAGATTCATTGGCCACTTTAAAGGAGTGTCAGACCAGGGCACCAGCTCTAGGGTTACTGTATTTGACCTATAAAAACATAGGGCCCCAAAGAAACCAGAATTTCAAATAAAGAACAAAGTTTCATTATAACTATGCTCTAATTATTGTATGGCACATACTCACACTAAAAAAGATTACTCACTGCTTGTCTGAAATTCAAATTTAACTGAGTGCCCTGTATTTTATCTGGCAACTTCACTGGCTTTTTATGGCAAAAAATACTTTATTAATAGCACAATGTGTGCTATAGGCCCCAGAGTCACACGTTCTCAGGTGTCACCTGCTCCTGGATCCACTCCCTCCGCACCTCTCCCCTCAGCCTTAGGGGGGCCTGGGACCCAGAGCCAGATGGCTGGTTGGGGTTCCGACCTCACAGCCCAGCCCAGCCCGGCCTGGGTTCCCTTCCTTCACATTCACTGAGGCCGGCCTCACGTTCCCCGCACAGAGCCGTGACCTCACGCTCCCCGCGCAGAGCCGTGACGGGGCTTTGGGGTCTGACCCGAGTCATGCTGGGAGGGTTGGGGATTAGGAAAAGGAGCGCTGAGCTGAGGGAGTAACCCCTGAAGGAGGAGGACAGACTTTCCCTCTCCGCCCGGTGCTGACGCTAGCCTGTGCCAGGCCCTGGGCACCTGCCTGGAGCAACTCAAAGACAAAAGGGCTCTGGGCCGAGCCTGCTGCCCTCTGCACCCAGCTGGCAGTCTGCGGCCAGGAGCAGCCCTGGCGCCTGGGTCTTACGCTGCTCCCTAACCAAACCACAGCGCCACTCCAACGCTTACCTTAACGCACCGGGTTTCGGGGACTTCTGGAGGATCTTATAGGCCCCTGGAGAGGAAGCAGTGTGTTACTGGCACAGGGCACTCTGGTAAGGGGCTGTCTGCACCTCCAGGGAAGGACCAAATCCACAGGGAGAAGGAGGCTCTCTCCCCTGCCGGGTCCCCCACACCCACAGGGGCCGCCACCACACCGGGAGGGTTTGGGGTGGGAGTGGACAATCTGGGTCATGGTGCAATCAGCACAGAGATGCTGGGGAGGCTGGTGCTCATAGGGTGTGATCAACAGGAAGCTATCGAGTGATGCGCAGGAGAAACTCCGGGCGGGGTGACTGGCCGTGGGTGCCTCGGGGCACGGTGCCCCAGAACCACAGACAAGAAGCACCGAACGTACGACCTGAATAGTCAGACGGCCCTTTTTCACCCAGTCCTTTTTTTGTATGTTGATGGACTGTCTTTGGCACAAACTTCTGGGTCTCTTCTCACCTGTTTAGAGAAGAAGGACCAGCCTCCCATGAGGGACCTGAGCAGGCAGAACCGTGCAGGTGAGTTTGTTCCTGTCTGTCCATGAAGAGAGGAGACCTCTCAAAAAACCTCCCAAACAGGACAGTCAAACAGAGAACGTCCATTTATCCTAACCTCGATGTGTGTTTCATCTTCTTTGTCCAAAGTCACTAAACAGCGGATTCACAGTAAGATCTAAACACTAAGCCTTAATCACCATAGCAAGCATTCTTTTAAGACTTACCTACACAGAGCAAGTGAATCACAGCCCAGAAGTACCCGTCCGGATCAAACTATAACACAGGATTTAAGGAAAAATGGCTGCAGGTTCCCACAAACAGTCCAGCCTGGCAACCAGCAACCCTACACATCAATGCACATGCCAGGCATAGGCGCCAGCCAGGGGCCCAGATGGGACGGTGTGGCCTGGAGTCAGGGTCTTACCCAGGTTCCTGCCACTCCTCCCAACATGCTCCCTGTTCCCACCCCCCTGCATCTCCCCATTCCCCCAGGCCTCTGGAAGGCCACCTGATGGTGTCACCAGTGGTTTCAAATCCCTCGGCAGTGCTCCAGGGACTTCAGGGTAAATGCCAAACTCAGGGCATCTGGCATCGCAACAAGCCCCTGCCCGCTCCAGCGCACCCACGGCCCCTCTAAAGAGAAAGGGAACTCTCCCTCCCCAGCCCCAATGCTCCCCTCGACTCAGCCCTCCTCCCCTCCCCTTCCCGTCTCCACAGAGCTGCTCATCCCACAGATTCCCCATCTCGGTCGCCTCCTGCACCTGAACATAAATTCCAGAAGCCAGTGACCAGCCTGGAAGCACACACGTGTGTAGTAGGTGCTCAGTGGAGTTAAGTCCCAGCATGGTTAGGGCACCCCAGGGCGGGGCCCACCCCTGCTGCTCCTGGCCAATCACCTCTCTCTTCAGGATTAGGTCCAGAAGCAGGGCCTGGCCAGCATCAGAAAGAACTGGGTTAAACTCTAAAAGCTCATTCCATCATCAGCCGGTGGCCTATGGGCCGCCTCAGTCTCTGGCTATGACACGGCGACACCAGCGACCCCTGTGGACTTGGCGGTCTTCAATGGGCACAGGAAGCACTGGCCAGAGCCCAGAGCACAGCAGGCTCTGGAACCGCTAGCTTCCGTCCCCGTGTCCCCGGTCTCTCAGGTGCTCACACATCCTACGTCGCCGGCACAGCACAGCGCTGGCCACCCTGCTGTCCGAGGAATTCTCTCAACCATCTGCCCTCCTCTCCTTTGCTCTGACGAGACTGTGCCTCTGTCTTCACCTCTTTGTGCCCCAGAGTCCCGGCAGGCAATGGGAGGACGACTGGAGTGGGGTGGCTCTCAGCCACAGAAAGAAATAGGGGGCAATGAAAGTCCTTCTGCAGAGGGGGCCTTGGGGAGAGAGGCAGCTGCGCCCAGTGTGCAAGGCTTGGGTAGCTCGGGTGCTGGCTGCAGGCTCTCCGAGAACCTACGGAGGCGGACTACGGCAATCACATCACCCACCGCGGCACCAGAGGCCAGAGCTCTGGCCACAATGCGCAGCCTCGGGTGGAAGGTGGGGCCCCAAGGGAGCACGTTGGCCTGGCCAGCAGGCACCCGGCCTGAAAGACTCAATGCCTAGGCAGGTCAGGCTTGTGCTGACCCAAAAGGAAGGACTGGGGAACTGCTCCCATGAGCAGGCTCCATAGGAAAAGGTCTTCAGGGAAAACACGCCCACTGAGCTTACCTGGGCGTCATTGAAGGGGAGGCTCCCCACTGCGGCCAGCAGCAGGAGGGCGCTGTAGAGAGAAGAAAGACAAGCAGCTTCAGGGCCCAGCATCCGCGAATCCTCGAAAGCGTGGGGCTAGGATACACAGACGGAGCTCGGCGGAGGCCACCGTCCCGCGAGACTGAGCCCAGCCCTGTCTACTCTCAGAGCCCATGACTTCTGCAGTTTTCAACTGAGTGCCCACCAACCACCAGCCGACTCCCGGAGATGGGCCTTGGCAGGACATTCTCAAAACCCCAAAAACGTAATTAAAAAATTTAACATGCGCGCGCGCGCACACGCACACACACACACACACACACGCACACGATCACAATGCGAAGGCAGTGAAACACCACAGAAGCAGAGGAACCGGTTCGTCCAGACTGGAGAGCACGCAGACACAACACCTCGGGAGAGATGACCATGAAAGACCACATCGGGACAGATGGCCAAGTGTGGACATGGACTTCACGTGAGGGAACAGGACTGTACAAGATACCTATTTCCTAAGTTTAATAATTGCAGCTTAGCCCTGACCGGTTTGGCTCAATGGTTAGAGCGTCAGTCATAGGACGGATAGGTCCCGGGTTTGATTCTGGTCAAGGGCACATACCTCGGTTGCAGCATCGATCCTGGGCCCTGGGCCGAAGGCCTGGGGATTGGCATGGAGGGATTTCAGAGAGTGGGGGCAACAAGACCTTGAGAAGGTCAGACAACATTGGTCATCCTGAGGCTCAGAAAGGCTCTCCTCTCCAGCCCCTCCAGTGCACGCACACACATACACAGAGGACTCCAAGGCACAGACTGCCCGGGCTCAGAGGCAAAGGGCTGGGTGGAGGAAGCTGTCGGGAGGCTTTGCTGGGCTGCCCGGGACGGGAAGGCTCAGCTGGGAGGAGGAGGCCCCTGATGAGTCTGGTCTATCTTCGGATGAAGGCTCTCCAGAACACAGGGGGCCACCTCATCCCAGGCCATGAGCAGGAGGGTTCCCTCAAACTGACGACCCCCGGGCTGAGGGAGGGAGACAGCCCTGGTTTCCCACCAACCGCAGCCCTGGCAGTGCCTAACCGCCTCAGTGTGGGTGGGCTTCCATGCCTGGTGGGCACCTGCTAACCTTTTTTAAAAAATGTTTTACTGACTTCAGAGAGGAGGGAGAAGAGACAGAAACATCAATGATGAGAGAGAGAAACATTGATTGGCTGCCTCCTGCATGTCGCCCACTGGGGATAAAGCCTGCAACCTGAGCATGTGCCCTTGACTGGAATCGAACCCAGGACCTTTCAGTCCACAGGCCGACACTCTATCCACTGAGCCAAACCTGCTAGGGCAGCACCTGCTAATTCCTTAAACAAGAGGATGAGTCCTGATGTTTCTTTTTTTCCCAAGTAGCAGCCTGTAATCAAGTAAAAAATAGGGACTGAATGGAAGCCCAGAAGTGCTGGGAACAACAAGCCTCTCGCTGGGTTTCTAGCCCGGCACAGAACTCCTGCAGAGGGGCAGGAAGTGCACTAGTCGTCCGGGTCAGAATCAGCGCCCTGAGTGTCCTGCTGGGGAAACTGAGGCACAGAGGAGGGGTGGGATGGCACCTGCCCATGCTCACGGTGCAGATCCCACTTGCAGGCCAGTGCTTTCTCACTGGGAATGCTTTCAAACCCCACAAACTGATCGCTATTTTCACATGTTTGAGCCATCCCATGTTTTCCATTCCACTCCCCATCGGTATTGCACAATCTGTGTAGTTCTGGGCATCAGTATCTGAAACCAAGCAGGGTTGTTTTTGCCGCAGGAATAAAATATTCCAGAAAAAGAGGAAGTGAATTTCAGAGTAAGACACAAAACAGGAATACATGAGTATTTATAACAAATTCCTCTGTCAACTCTCAAGTATGAATCTTCCACAAACAGTGTTACCATCGAAGTTAAAAACCAGGTTAAATCTTGTATTTTAGAGGTTTGTGGGTTTGTTTGTGTGTGTGTTAAACTTACCTACAGATCTTGGCAGGAGGCGTTTTCTGCATGAAAATAGAGACTTATAATTAGTCTTTAAAACCCTTTTCCTTAAAAGAAAACGTGACGATCAAGTGTACTGGGGCCGAGCAGCAGCTGCAGAATGGTGCTGAGGCCTGGCTGCTGGGCCCGAGGAAGGATGACTCAGCGCTCAGGCTGTCACCTCGGCAAAGCGCCTGTGGGTGCAGTGTTCCCCATCCCAGCCACCATCCTCCCCCACCCCCAGCCCTGTCCACAGACGCCCCATGTGAGAGCAGCAAGACATGGCCAAACCTCCCGCCCCATGCCCCACGGGAGGGTGGGAGAGACCCATGTGACTATGATAAAGGACTGAAGCCTCTGTCCGATTCCCAGTCCAGCCATCTCTTTAATTTTCCTTCCATCAATCCAGCTCTGACTCTCGGCGGTGCTAAAAATTCTCTGGCGTGATGTGTAAATTAAGAAACAGAAAAAAAGAAGGGACATTGGACTCCACTCTTACCGAGAAGGAAAAATAAGAGCAGGAATCTCAACTTGGAGCTCAGCGCTCGGGGAAATGAAGATGTGCTGATGCGGACACTCCCTGACCGCCTCCTGTCTGTGTGGGTTTGGGGCTGGTCTCTGACTCAGGGAAAAAGTCTGCAGGGAGGAGCACAGACTGCTCAGTGCTTCCAGGGGATACAAACGAGTAGAACAGGCGAGTCCTGAACATTTCAGAGGGGTTATGTTGCTGACCGAGGACAAACTATACTTTTAAAATTTTCATTTTTATTGATTTCAGAGAGGAAGGGAGATGGGAAGAGAGATAGGAACATTGATGAGGAGAGAGAACCATGGATAGGCTGCATCCTGCACGTCCCCCACTGGGGGTTGAGCCTGCCACCCGGGCCTGTGTCCTGACTGGGAATCAAGCCCTGGCCTCCTGGTTCATAGGTCGATGCTCAGCCCCTGAGACATACTGCCCAGGCCTAACATAACTTTCTGAATCGGGATCAAGTGTGAGGTGTGACCACACTGGTTAAAGAGCACTGACCAGAGGATGCCTGGTTTGCTATGAGGAGGCCAAAGTCTTCCACATCACTGAACAGCCCAGCCTTGTGTTTCAGTGCAGTCTTCTCTCCTCACCTCCGCGGGCCCTGCCTCAACAGCGCAGGGGACAAGCTAACCTTGCCTCCACTGCCCCCTGGTGGCGACACCTAGCCCTTCAGTACAGAAAGAATAAACCAGCACAGGTGACTGCTCCTGACAACTGGATAAGCGTCCCAGGATGGGGAAAACGTGTCCCTAACAGACTCTGAGCTAAATATAACCAACATCTCAGGACGGTGGAGGTGCAGGGACAGGGAGCAGACACAGCTCTCCTGAGGGACATGCTCACCCCACTGTCCGGGGGCTTTGTTACAGGTAGCACTCCAGTCCATGCCTCAGCGAGCGCACCATTCCACAGAGGAGTACTTTTTTATTTTTTAAAAATATGTTTTTATTGATATCAGAGAGGAAGGGAGAGGGAGAGAAGGAAACATCTACGATAAGAGAGAATCCTTGACCGCCCGTCTCCTACACGCCCCCGACTAGGCATCGAGCCCACAGCCCTGGCCTGTGCCCTGACAGGGAATCCAACCTTGACCTCCAGTTCATGGGCTGATGCTCCACCCTTGAGCCACGCCAGCCAGGCATCCTTTTTCATTTTAAACCTCAGACTAAAGGAGCTCAGACCTGAGACAGAGCCCCATCCCCCAAAGTTCCAGGAACAAACACGTGTTGGGGTGTCATCCAGGATAAGTCCTGGTGCTGACCCAGGGCTCAGATCGGGTCAGCACACGCCTCCAAGTCACTGCCAACGTCACACACGAACCTCGCGTGGCTGGGTCAGCTGACTTCCTGCCACGCTCCTCGCTCTGGCCGCCGCTATCCTCACGCTCTGCCAGCCCTCACTGTGTCCGAGTTCATTAGGGTCTTGTGCTCTGGGCTACACGTGAGGACACCGAGGCCCCGAGAATTAGGTCAGCTGCCCAAGTCCAAAGGGCTTGGGACACACGACCTAGCGCCACAGCCTGACCCTTTATATATATGACCCTGCTTGGCCACAGCCCACCAGCCAGCCCTGTCTCTCTCCCCAGCCCCATAGCCCTTCCAGGCCTCAGCCTCACGTGCTGGTTCTGGCTGGGGAGACGTGATCAGGCTGGGAGAGCCCAGTGAGCAGCGAGTCTGAGGAAACACACCAGTTCCATTTGGACCCGTGGCAGCTCAGCTGCCAGGAAACACCCACAGGCCCCAGGGCTGAGCTGAAGAGGCAGCGCTGGTTTGGAGGCAGGGACTTGGGGTCACCAGGAACTGAAGGCAGCTGGTGCCACGGGGGAGGAGGTTGTCCAGACAATCTGTGTCTGGTCTCTGAGGCTCCTAGGAGGCCCTGGAGGGCAGACAAAGGAAGAAGGACGGGCGGCTATGAAGAAAGAGCCAGAGACTTGGGAAGAGGCCAGCAGGGAGGGGAAGGAGGTCATGTGAGCTGAGAGCTGAGAGTGGGGTGGTGGAAGGTGCAAAAGACCAACAGCGTCACAAACATGAAGCATCAGGGGCTTCGCCAGAGCAATTGCAGGGAATGGTGGGGGCAGAAGCAGGAAATGTGGGAGGTGAGAGCGACGGGAGGATGTGGATAGCATGGACTCGGTGTGGGCAAGGGCCAGGACGAGAAGAGTAGAGTGGGGGTGGGGGGTGTGCACGGGCACAGCAGCGTGCTGGCTTTCCTGTCCAGTTTTGGTTTTACACACACAGTTGATAAAAAAGCTGTCGTGTATCTACACCATGGAATATTACGCAGCTTTAAAAAAGGGGTCTCTTACCCTTTGAGACAACTTGGAGGGGTCTGGACAGTATTATGCAGAGCGAAATAAGCCAGTCAGAGAAAGACAAGTATCCATGACCTCACTCCTACACGAAATCTAATGAACAAAATAAACTGATGAACAAAACAGATCCAGAGACACAGAAGCATGGAACAGAGTGCAGAATCTCAGAGGGAAGGTGGAGAGGGTGGGTGGGGAGAGATTAACCAAAGAACTTATGTGTACACTAGTGCCCTAGTGGGGGGCGTGGCCTGCTGGGATCAGCCTGCAGCGGGAACAGCCACTCATCCTGGTCAGCCAAGCAGCACTCTCACTGTGGGAGCATACTGACCACCAGGGGGCAGCTCCTGCATTAAGCATTTGCCCATTGGTGGTCAATGCACGTCATAGCTACCAGTCAGACAGTTGGATGGTCCCTTAGCCTTTTATATATATCGATATGCTTAACTATGGACACAGACAGTATGCAGTGAAGGCCCAGGATGGGGAGTGGGGGACGGGCGTGGGGTAGAGTCAATGGGGGGAAGGGACATCTGTAATACTTTCAACAATAAAGATAAACTTAAAAACAAATGAGCACAGTTTTTGAGGGGGTCTCCCAGGACATGCTCCACCCCTGACTGAGAGCACTGAGCGTGTTGTGGGCTGAGGGAACAGCCAGCAGAGCAGGAGGGTAACTAGAAGGGGGAGGAGGGCAGGTAACCCAGGAGCTGCAGGCAGGCATGACAGGGTGCATGGGTGCGCAGTGGCCTCAGCCACGGGAGGGAGTCCTCTCTCCTGCCCACCTGTAAGAAGTGTGCTGCCTGAAGGGCTCACCAGCCTCTCTTAACAGTTCCAAATTTAGATATGGAATCATTTTAAAAGGGAAAATGTTGGGGGAAAAGTAACTCCTGGAAGAGGGACCGAGTAAAAACCACCACTAATAATGTCAACCAATACAGCTAACATACAGAGCACCTACTATGCGCCAGACACCATGGGAAACACTGATGTGTGCTGCACTGCGCCCTCCCACCAGTGCTATGAGCTGGGTGAAGCCACTGCCCCTTCAAGACGAAGGTATAGAGGTGGAGAAGCATGTCCTTGCTGGTTTGAGGCTGAGCTGGCACTAGGAAGGGAAAGGAATGTCTGTCCCCGGGATGGACAGTGGGCAACGCCCCAGCGCCCTACAAAAAGCTTGGACAGGGGCGTCCATGTGGTGCTGGGAGGTGCTAGGAGGAGACCCTCCAGGCCCACCGGGGATCCCTCCTGGCATCCCGAGGCCCTGGCTCGGGCTTGGCCTGGAGTCCCATGGGGTCAACATGCACTCCCACGTATGTTTGGTGGACTAACGGATATCAAAACCATGGTCCTCAAAAATACTAACCCCTGTCCGGCAGTCCTGACTGGCAAGATATCCGGAGAAGGTAGACACTAATTTCAACCATTAAAAAAAAAAAAAAAAAAGGGCGTGTCTTTGAAATTTAAAGTGAGGGATGTGAGACTGGCATCATGCATTACCATTTACCTCTTTCCGGAAACACATCCCGTGCCCACAGACGATTACTTCAGCTGCATTATGCAAAGTGAGAAACACAGGAATGGCCTGAAAGGAAACAGAATAAGAAGCATGAAAATATTTTCTGTGATCTCATAATTACATAATTCTTGATTTCTGCTTAAAAATAAAGACCTATGGGAACATTTGGAATTCACATATCCTAATAAAGAGGTAATATGCAAATTGACTGTCACGCCCTTGCACAACATGGCTGCATCCATGTGGTCACATGTAATAAATAGCAGAATCATCTCCAGCAACACCCCTCCTGCATGGACTGGTGCTCTGGGTCAGAGTCCTATGCTAGGGGAGGTGGCTGCAGAGGCTCCCTCCCCACAGCTACTCCATCACCACACAGTCACTAAGCATCTGCTGTGTCACCACTGTGCAGGAACAGAGGACACATCTGTGACTAAGGGCACCCCACAAGGTGGGCTGGCCTGCTCCCGATGCGAATGCATAGGTCCTAAAGGGCCAGTCTGGAAAGGCGAAAGGCCAGAGGAGTTGCCACTGTCTAGACCACTGTCCGGACCACTGTCCAGACCACTGTCTAGACCACTGTCTGGACCACTGTTTGGACCACTGTCCAGACCACTGTCCTCTGGTCTGGAACCAGAGGCAGAAAACCAAGACTTGAAACACTTGAGTTCCTTCTTCTGCCAGGCGGTGACCCTCTGCCTCACCCATCACCTATCAGGTGACTATGAGAAACACATACAAACATACAGGAAAAAAATCACTCTAGAAACATGTGAAAAAGCACTGTACAACAAAAAAATATTATTAGTACGACACCTTTGTTATTCAAACTTCAAAATTCTGGCCTAACTCCCCAGATCCTACAAAATGTTAAAACCTCTGGACAACACCTTTTTTACCCAGTGCTCTGCTCTGAAGAGGAGAGAAAGCCCAGGCCACGGGCTGCGAGGGAGGCAGCAGACCAGCCGAGGGCACAGCACCCAGCAGAGCCACACGGCCAGCGCAGCCAGGTCTGGCTGAGCACTGCCTGGCACTGCGGGCCATCTCTTAGCCCACCCAGGACGTCTCTCACCCATGGCACACAGCATCCCATCCATTCAGGCTTATAAATTGTGAAAGAAAAATGCTGATTTAATTTATAAATTACTGCTGCCTCGGGTCTAGGGCTTGCTCTCCACTTGGCTGTACCCTTACCAAAGCGACTACTTTGTTCCATTCATCGGATGCAATAAGCTAACAGGCAGGGGGGCAGGAGAGAGAAGGGCTGTCCCCCAAAACCTCCAACACTCACCAGTCTGGATAATGCTCTGGAACCAGCGTATATTATGCCCACAAACAGCACCGAAGCAGGAAGCCACGCCAAGACATTGTATCTAGAAAGAAAAAAAAAGGCCATAATACTCCCGTCTCTTTATGTCCAAAGCCTTCGTTGGAAGGAATGACCTCAGGTGCCCCAGATGCAGTGGCAGCAGCTATTACAGATCCCTGGAGGAGTTGAGCAATGTGACACGGTATTGCTGAGCAATGGAGGCCACTCGGCCACCTACCTACCGGCAGGGGTCCCACTGCGGGGTACAGGAGAGCTGGACATGGAAAAAACCTCCTGCAGGCTGGGAGGGAGAACAAATCTAATTTTTAAGGGGGCAGTGAACATTACTCTTTGGATCTTAAGCAGCCAGGAGTTGGAGTTTTGAACTTAAACCATATTATTAAAAATTTTAAAGGCAATACACCGAACAGCTCCATGGAACCACAACCAAAGGACCCACAGTGTCCAAGGACAGAACGGGCAAGTGCAGCAGAGCTGGAGCCAGAGCTGGGGGCCACGTGCCAGCTTCTCCGACCATGAGCCCCGAGGGCCAGCTCCAGAGTCCAGAGGACCTGCTTCAGCCGTGGCCACACCAAGACCTGCTTTTTCAAGAACGTTTAGCATCTTGCTTTCCCCAGAAAAAGCAAAATCCAGTTTATATGGATGCATCTCACCAAGGCTGCAGCTTGCTGCCCCATCAGTGACAAATGCATTCAGGCCTCAAATGCAAATCTGAGTTATTCCAAAGACAGGTCCAAGTACATGAAGCCATGAACAGGACATACCATGATAATCCCAACTAACCAATGGCCTGCTCTCCGGATGGTGCCCGCTCAAAGTGATCCTTGTTGACTTCATCAGCATGAGCAGCACCCCTCCCTGGTCAGACCTGCCTTTGTCCAACTTCCCAGGGAGCAGGGCATTAAAATGTGCGGTCTCCCGGCTGGTGTGGCTCGGTGGTGTTTGTTATGGCAGCTGCCCTGATGACTACACCTCCTTTACAGCTCTGGCAGGCAGAGTTCTAAGAGAACCGTGGCCTGCACCGTGGGGACAAAGGAACACATCCTGTTTATTAACGCATCTTTCTTTCTTCAACTTTCATTCCCACGGTGGCACCATCCAGACCTCCTGTGCTGGCGCGTCTTCCACTATCTCCATAACAAAGGAGGCCACAAGGCATTAAATCCTGGGGTCCTGGCTCCCTGTGTCCATGAGCCTCCAGGGAGAGGCCGAGCTAGTGAGTAGGTGTGTCTGTAAGTGTATGTATATATGTGTGCATGTGTAAAGGAAGTGAATAGGTGTGTGTGTGTATGTGTGTTTGTCCATGTCTATGTCTGTATGTAAGTATATGTATGTGTGTCTGTGTGTATACATGTAGGTATGAATGTGTGCATGTGCCTGCAAAGGAAGCAAGCTCACAGCAACTCCTGGGGGTAAAGATTAGATGGTACAATTGCAGAGGGCAGTCCCTGTTGAAGGACCAGATGCCGCTGGACCTGGTTTGAAAATCTTGGTGCTACCCAATTGTTCTCACAGGATTTATAAGCACAAATGCTGCACCTTGCTGGAGTTGTGGGTCTGCTTTGTGTGTGCACCCTGGAGAAGAAAGCATTTACAAGCAGCATGTGAAATGCTGGCCTGAAGGATCAAACTTGTTACTGAGATGAAGACTGATTAAACTAAAGCACTTGTTTCTCAGACAGAGCACACATGACTGAGGGTGTACCTGCTCCTGGAACACTCCGTCTGAATGCCTAAAGGGCCCCTTGGGCTAAATTCTTGGAAACCCTCTTGTTACACTGACACCCAGTGGACAGAGAAACCGTTTCCACACGTGAGAATAGCTAGTGGCCAAGACACCAAGGTAACGTGGTGACTGTCAGAACGCCTAACAGCTGTCAAGCCACCCTTTGTTTCACAGGTTACAGGACTTCCAGCTATATTGGCTCAATACTTACAGAAGGCCCCTAGACTCCATTTTTGGGGGGTCCATTAATAGTGAATATAGTCCCCAAAGAGTCTTATTCTCTCTTCTCCTCCCTCCTCCTTTTCTTAGGCCTTTCTCCTCCCTCTTTCCCCTTCCTCTGACTCACAGAAGGACACGTGCCCCTGACAGAGCTCAACCCCGATACTACTTGACCCAAGAGCGCGGTGATGATCCTCCCTGTCACAGAACACAACCTAAAGTTGGAGTCAGCAAGCTAAGGCCTGTGGGCCAGACCCACCTGCTGCCTCGCTCTGCAAGTGTGTTGTGAGCACATGACCATGCCCATCCACTCAAGTCCATCTGCAGCGGCTTACCTGCAGAGGCAGAGGAGCAGCTATGACAGACGTGCGCCCACAAAGCCTAACGCCCTAGATTCTCTGTCGCTGGCTACTGGTCTACAGGAAGGCCACCTGGTCCCCGCCTCCATTACCTATGAGCTGGGGGCCGAGGCGTCCCACACGGCAGGATCCCTGGCTATACAGACCGGACCGCTGCCATCTTTTTGGTAAAGTTTAATTTTTCAGGGCACTTTCATAATGGGTTCTTCTCCTTTAGAATCATCACTTCTTCCCATTTCCCATTTCACTGGCCTGGGAGTCTCACAGTTGGATTCCCGGTCAGGGCACACGCTCGGGGTGCTGGCTCGGTCCCCAGTAGGGGGCGTGCAGGAAGCAGTCCATCTGTGATCTCTCTCATCATTGATGTTTCTATCTCTCTCTCCCTCTCCTTTCCTCTCTCTGGAATTAAATAAAATAGAGAAATAATCCATCATTAAAAGAAAGTATAGTCTGGACCCTAGCTGATTGTCTCACTGTTCATTTCTTTAGGGACAGAACTGAGTACCTTTGGGAGTTTCATGGAAGACATTTGTTACAGTTCTCCACAAAGACACTCAGTGCAAAACTAAGGGTGGGGCTTCTCTCCCACCTGGGAGGGAATCTGAGTAAGGAGAGTGGAAGTTCTTTATATTATTCCTAATTCTTCTATAAAAAAATAATTTCAAAATCTACTAAACGTGTTTAAAAGCTTATTTACAAACTCACTCATAGTGGTCTTCTGATCTAAAACAAAGTTAAATTAATATGGTATCATACACTATATATTTCAATTAACTTTAATACCATATTAGTGGCATTACTAACCAGAAAAACACTACTTGAGTTCTATTTGATTATAAAATCATGGCACCTTAAAGGTAGAAGGGAACTAAGAGACCAAACAACTCAAATAAACATCAGTGTTTCCCAATACAAAGCCAAAAGAGATTACAGAAAGAGGAAGCAGGTATGAGGCAGGAAGCATACTCAAGGTTCTACCTGGAACTGCTGTTGATCTCCACCCAGCCCAGTCTCCATGACACATGAAGCAAAAGTCCACCAACTAACGTCTGCCACCTGAAAGGAATAAGGGTCATTTGAATTTTTTAAATTTTTATTTATATTTTCCCAGTCTGAATTTGGACGTGTTGTACGTGGGAGCTTATGGGTTTGGGGTGAGAAGGCGACCGGGAATCGTCAGTGCAGAGGAATGGGGATGCAGGTGGCTGTGGGGAGTTGTAGGGCAGGTCTAGGAAGGAGAGCCAGGGGTCAGCTCGTGGGTTCCAGGGAGTAAGTGGAAGCTGGGAAGGACGTGAGCATTGGGGTGGTAATCAAAAGCCATCGCCCCGAAAGGAAGATCTGTTGACACACATACACACATCCACCCTTCTGGCCTCCCCCTCCCCCTCTCTCCGATTACCACCCCAACGTTCATGTCCTTCCCAGCTTCCACTTACTCCCTAGAACCCATGAGCTGACCCCAGGCTCTCCTTCCTAGACCTGCCCTACAACTCCCCACAGCCACCTGCATCCCCATTCCTCTGCACTGACGATTCCCGGTCGCCTTCTCACCCCAAACCCACAAGCTCCCACGTACAACACGTCCAAAATGCTCCCTGCATTTCCACTTTCACCTGGCCACCTTCCCACTCCCCCTAATCAGCGAACCAGAAGGCTAGATGCCATCCTAGCCCTTCCTCCATCCTCACCTCCCTCATTTACTTGCAAAATCCTACTGATTTGTCCCTATAACAGTTCCCACGTCGGAAGCCCTCCTTCCATCCTTACGCCTCTGCCTCCTCAGACTCTCACAGCCTCCCACCTGAACCCCAGCACCAGTCCCCCGTTCAGGGCTGCCAGCCCCATCCAGTCTCTCCCTTGAAGCCAAAGGATTTGTTCTGAAATGCAAACTTCAACATGCTATTCGCTTGTTTTAAAAATGGTCAAGCCCAGCTGCTGTGACTCCATGGTTGAGTGTCGACCTACAAACCAGGAGGTCACAGGTTCAATTCCAGGTCAGAGCACATGCTGGGGTTTCAGACTCGATCCCCCGTAGGGGGTGTGTGGGAATAGCTAATCAATGATTCACTCTCATCATGGATGTGTTATGTCTCTTTCCCTCTCCCTTACTCTCTGAAATCAATAAAAATCTATATATATATATAAAAGCCTAAGCAACCATTACGACCAGTCGCTATGATGCACACTGACCACCAGGGGGCTGATGCTCACAATCTGGGACTGCTGGCTCCCAACCACTCGCCTGCCTGCCAGTCTGATCACCCCCTAATCACTCTCCCTTGACAGCCTGATCAATGCCTAACTGCTCCCCTGCCAGCCCAATCACCCTCAACTGCCCTCCCCTGCCGGCCCAATCACCCCCAACTGTCCTCCCCTGCCGGTCCAGTCAACCCCCTACAGGGGATGTGCCCACAACCAATGTACATGCCCTTGACCGGAATCGAACCTGGGACTCTTCAGTCCACAGGCCAATGCTCTATCCACTGAGCCAAACCGGTTTCGGTGAGCCTTGTTTTTTTATTTGCATTTGTGTAACACAAAAAAAGAAGAAGAATGATGAAGGGCTCTACCACATATCTAAATGCTAATAACTAAAACAATTTAGCGTAGCCCTTTTCCATAAAAGTTGACAAAGAAGCACTCAGTAATATACCCTGTACTAGGTTTATCAGGGTGATTGATTCATAAGATATGTCTATTCACTATATTTGTACACCTGAACAAATATTTTATGTCGACTGTAACTGGAAAAACTAAGAAAAGGAAATGTATTACCAAGATAACACTTAAAAATAAACCCCAAGAAAATAATCTCAGCCCTGGAAGCGGGTGCAGTGGTGACCATCCCATGCACCAAAAGGTCACCAGTTCAATTCCTGGTCAGGGCATATGCCTAGGTTGTGGGTTCGATCCCTGGTTGGGGTACATGGGGGGAGGGCACTGATCAATGTTTTTCTCTCCCAAAGGCAAAGAAAGGGTTATAAATAAAACATAATAAATGGGAGGCCTTCTGGGGTGGTTCGGTTGGTTGTTCATTGTTCTGTTCACAAAAATAAAAAGGCAGAAAACAAAATAAAATTGCAAAAATAAAAAAATAAAAATCCAGCTGAAACCAGTTTGGCTCAGTGGATAGAGCATCGGTCTGCAGACTGAAGAGTCCCAGGTTCGATTCTGGTCAAGGGCATGTACATTGGTTGCAGGCACATCCCCTGTAAGGGGTGTGTAAGAGGCTGCTGGTCGATGTTTCTCATTGATATTTCTATCTCTCTATCCCTTTCCCTTCTTTTCTGTAAAAAATCAATAAAATATACTTTTTAAAAATAAAATAAAAATAAATAAATCTAATAAACATAATGGACAAGTGGTTGGCATACTTAAAATATGAGGGTTTCATTAAACTGCTAAGAAAAATATAAAAATCCCTTGTAAAGATAAAAGTATAAAGGCAAATATAGACAATTCACTGGGAAAAAAAGATGAGTAATAAATGTAAGAAAACTGTCCAACTTGATGAATAATTTAAGAAGTGATAAAACAATGTGATACCAATTTTGGCTCATGAAATCAGCAGAGAAGAAAAAAATAGTCATGGTTCTAGTATAATAATACAGAAATTTTCATGTACAGCTTGCTTGATGATGTAAATTGGTAAACCATTTTTGAAAAAGATTTTGTTAAAATCCAAAAAATACTAAAGAAGTTCATATTTTTTAACCCAAATTTCTAATTGTAGGTATGAATCTATGCCAACAAAATAGTTGGAAATTTGGCAAAGTTAAATATAAAAAAAGTCTGATAACTCTATTGTATTATACCACCCAACTGGGACACAACTTAAATGACCATTAATAGAACAGTTAAATAAATTACAGTATATCTATTTGGTGAAAATTCCATGCAGTCATTAAAAATGTTTTAAAGATAAAAGGTAAAGAAGGTCAAGTACTTGGTGACAGGAGATTTGACTTTGAGTGGTGAACACACAATGCATATATAATAAAAGGGTAATATGCAAATAGACCAAATGGCAGAACCAATCAAAGTGTAATATGCTAATGATATGCTAATGTTGCCCAACAGCTTGCTATGATGTGCACTGACCACCAGAGGACAGATGCTCCAACCTGTAGGTTAGCTTGCTGTTGGGGTCTGGCTAATGAGGACTGAGCAAGATGGGCTGGACACACCCTGGAGCCCTTCCACGGTCCCTCCTCGGCCCAATGGTGCACTGGTGGGGTCCCTCAGCCAGGCCTGTATCCTCTTGGACTCCTCGAAGGATGTCAGAGAGCCAGTTTCAGCCTGATCCTGCAGTCCACTCCCCTTAGGAGGGCACCAGATGCAGGGCTCATGGCTGGTGAGTCTCCCGATTGGGACTGATTGGGCACGAGCCCGTGGCAGGCACAGTGAGGCCGGGATGAGTTGGAGTGGCAGGCAGGAGCTGCAGGCGGTGTTGGACTATGTGTTTCAGCCCAATCCCTGCAGGCCACCCAGAGGAACCCCACCTGTGCATGAATTCGTGCACCGGGCCTCTAGTGTATTATAAAATCGTGAGCTTGAAAACTGTGTAATTTTATTAACCAAGGTCAGCCCAATACATTTAATTAAAAATACTTTTAAACTTATATTTTAAAGACGACTTGATGATGATCCTGATAGAACATTTCATACAAATGTGTATGAAGAGCATAGCAATACTCACCCTTGGAACAATGTAGGGCAGGTGAATTTCAAGACAGACAGGACGTACTGAAAAACAAATACCAGGTTAATGGGTGTTTTAAAATGATAGAGAATTCAAAGAAACCACATAATCCAGAAATCTCTAGCAAAGAAACCTAAGAAGACCCAAGTTTCAGAAAGGCCTTTATTCCCATCCCTCCCCCCCACAATCACACACAGAACAAGAACACAACAAAACAGAAAACACCTGCCAAGCCCTGCTCTAGACAGCGGGCCTGCCTGCCTCCCCGGTCCCCAGCAGCCTGACAGCCTCATGGGACGAAGGGTCAGCAGCGGGGTCTGATGCCAAGATGGCTGCCAGCGTCTTCCCGGACCCAGAAGGGTTTAAGCGGTTTTTTAAAAACCAGCTCAGCTAAGGTCACCTTGTATTTCTATTGTCTTTCGATCGGATTGACAGTACTTTACGAATGGGTATGGATATCTTTCCATAAATCCATAAGGACACCATTTACCAAAAGGTGTCCTTATGGATATCTTTTGCTACTTCTTCTATTAAACATTTTAAGAATTATTAAATAGCCTAATCCTACTAAAGGGCTTTAGGAAGGACACTACTGATTCCTCGCACGCTCTGAAAAATGGAAGAGAAGGGTGTTGGGTCCCCCGTGGAGCAGCCTGCATATAACTGCCTGTGTGAGTTCCTAAATGCCACCATTCTGGCTCCTGCCTGTGCACTGTTCATTAGGAATGACCTTTACTCTTCTCTGGTCTATTTACTCCCAAAATTCCATGTCCCTCCCACTTTCCCAGTATTTCCATTCTAAAACAGACACAGAGAAAGGATTGTGAGAATATCTGGGCCATATCCTGCATCTCCCTTACAACCCTCGTGCAGATAACAAATATTTGCTTAGTTTAATGTGTGCTGAGCTTTGTCCTTGATCCTGGGGAAGACAGAGAACGCTTCACCTCCGGCAAGAACAGTGAGGAGACAAGGAAATCTCCGAGCAAAGGCTGCCTCTCCTGTCAGCAAAGTGTTGCTCAGACAGAGGCCTATTTGGAAGAGGAGCAGTAAGAGCTTCTCAAGGGAACAGGATCAATTTGGGGGCCTTTGCAAGGAGGACGGATGTGGACTTTGCCTCCAGATGGAAGGGCTAACACCTGTGAGGGAAAGGACAGGTGGCTGCCTGGGCCCAGGCCGGCTATTGCTGGACCTCCTGCAGGATGGCGGAGTGTGCCACCCTCACCAGGCCGGCCAGGCCAAGCAGCACCTGCTGTCCAAACTGAGCAAACATCAACCATACTTCCATTTATTTACTAGAGGCCTCATGCACGAAATTCTGTGCACAGTGATAAGGGAAGGGGGTCAGGGGGAGGGGGAGGGAAGAGTCCCTCAGCCTGGCCTGTGCCCTCTCGCCATCCAGGCCCCTCCGGGGATGTCCAGGACCCCTTGCTCCTTACCACCCACCTGCTCACTGCTCCTTCCGCTCAGCTTGCTGCTCCTTAGCACTGCCACGGAGGCAGGAGAGCCCAGGGGGAAGCTCCTGAGTTGAGCATCTGCCCCCAACCACCTCCCCACCCCCCCACCCCATGGTCAGTGCACATCATTCTACAGTTGGGTCGATTTGCATATTGGGCTTTTATTATATAGGATTTTTTTTGTTCATCCTCACCCAAGGATATTTTTTTCCATTTATTTTTAGACAGAGTGGAAGGGAGAAGGAGGAGGAGGAGGAGGAGGAACAGGAGAGAGAGGTGGGGGGGGAGGGAGAGAGGGAGGGAGGAAGAGAGAAGCACAGATGTGAGAGACATACCGACTAGTTACCTCCTGCACACACCCTAGACCAGGGCCTGGGATAGAGTTTGCAACTGAGGCACACGCCCTTGAATCAAACCTGCCACCCTTCAGTTCATGGACCAAAGCACTAAACAATGAGCCAAACTGGATGGGCTCACCACCCTTTTAACAGTAATGAGACTAAGGAATGAAACTAAGATGGGCAAGACTTTCTTAATGAACTTCCTTTAGACAAACAGAGAGGGAAACAGTTTGAGAAGAAAACTACAGAAAAATATGACATCAAAGAAATTAGCAAAGAGTGTTCTAAAAACCTGAAGAAAAGGTCCTCTCCTGTCCACACAGAAGGACTTCACTATTAAAGAGCATTCCTCTGGCAGAAACTGGATTCAGAAGCACACGCCCAGGGGGTGCCCACCCCTTTCCCACTCGCATGGGCTGCCACAGGAAGCACCCTGGCTGAGGAGAAACAGTAGCATTGCCTGAGCGTTACTATCGATAAGTCCCGACCAGAGTCCCAACCATCTCTCCCATCTCTACCTGGGTTTCCCATCTGCTCACCACAACTCTTTAAAAAAAAAAAAAAAAAAAAAAAATATATATATATATATATATATATATATATAGATATATATATATATATATATATATATATATATAGATATAGATATAGATATTTTTATACAGAGAGGAAGGGAGAGAGAGAGCTAGAAACATCAATGAGAGAGAGTCATTGATCAGCTGCCTCTTGCACACCCCTCACTGGGGATATGCCCGCAACCAAGGTACATTCCTTTGACCGGAATCGAACCCGGGACCCTTCAGTCCCCAAGCCGACGCTCTATCCATTGAGCCAAACCGGTCCTGGCTGTTGTTTGTTTTTTTTTCAGAGAGGAAGAGAGAGGGATAGAGAGTTAGAAACATCGATGAGAGAGAATCATCGATCAGCTGCCTCTTGCACACTGCCTACTGGGGATGTGCCCACAACCAACGTACATGTCCTTGACCGGAATTGAACCTGGGACCTTTTAGTCCGCAGTCCGACGCTCTATCCATTGAGCCAAACCGGTTTCAGCACAACTCTTCTTTTAAAAGAATGTTTTTATTGATTTTAGAGAGGAAGGGAGAGAAACATAGATGTGAGAGAGAAACACCGATGGGCTGCCATCTGCATGACCCTGCTGGGGATTGAGCCCGCAACCCGGGCATGTGCCTGACCGGGAATCAAACCAACGACCTACATGAGACAATGCTCAATCACAGAGCCACACCAGCCAGGGCATCTCTGTCACTCTTGACTTTACCTCCTCCCTCCTCTTTATGCGTCTCCTCGCCTCCCCTCTGCCTTCTGCTGTTCTTCTACTCTCCATCCAGCTCCCAACACTCCCCAAAGCACCAGACCAGCGGGAGAAACGCAGAGCGCCGTCTCTGGCTGGTTGATCGCTATTGCTCAGAGTAGATATTCTTGGGGATCCGAATATCTGGGTCATTTTTACGTGGCACCTCGAGGCGCTGCACGTGTAGAAGGTACTCGGTCTTTATTACGTTAGTTATAAAATGCCGTGGTGAAAAAAATAAAATAAAATGCTGTGGTGCCCCAACAAATACAAAAACAATGCCACCACCACACGTGTACATCCAGAGGGTCTGAATGTCAGCGAACGAAACACTGTCCGCAGGCTGGATACTTAACCAAGGCCGTGACTTGTGGGCTATCGTGAAAGACCTGTTACTCTGTCCCTTCTATATTTCTGATTACATAGAAATTAAAGGAAGGTCATTCTGTGTTAAAGTGTAACATCATCAATATATCCATCGAGCCCAGCTGGTGTGGCTCGGTGGGTGAGCATCGACTTATGAACCAGGAGGTCAGGGTTCCATTCCCAGTCAGGGCGCATGCCTGGTTGCGACTCCAGCCCCAGGGCGTGCAGGAGGCCACCGATCCATGATGCTCTCTCATCATTGATGTTCCCATCTCTCCCTCTCTCTCTGAAATCAATGGAAAAGGCAAATGCTGTTGGTTAATGGTTCTTTTCCAGAGAGCAGGAGGGGCTTTGGGGTGTGCAGAGGGGGCAGTAGAGGCCCCATATTGGGGGGCCCTATATTGGGGGGCCTAGTGGAGCCCCAGGGCCACCCTTCCCTGCATGTTCCCCGCCCACAAACAGAAAAGGTACCGCCTTCCTGCCTCTGCGTCCACAGGGGTCCTGACAGGACTCAGGCCTGATGGCGTTTCCTTCAGAGGAGAAGGCCGCACGGAAGGAGCCCCTCTCTTTAGAAACTGGCCTGGGGTCGGGGCCGAGCCGGGGCGGCCTCTCTCCCTGGAGGCCCTGGAGCCGGGCGGGTGGAAGGCGCAGGCGGCGGTCCGGTTCTCCTCCTCCTCCCGGGCTGGGGCCACCCCTCTCCCCGGAGGGCGCCCAGCCCGCCCTCCGCGCCGCTCGGGGTCCGCAGTTCCGCTGCTCCGGGCGGCCTCGGGCGGGCGCGCCCCAGTCTGGCCCCTGAGGAGCCCGCCCAGCGTCTCCGCATCCCGCCCGGAGGGCCGGCGGCGGGCAGTCCCGGTCCCCGCCGCCAGCGCAGGCCGCCTCGCGCTCACCTTGTTGGTGAGGTGGGCCGCCAGGAAGCAGGCGCAGAAGGCGAGGCCCGCCAGGCCCCTCCGCACGCTCATGGGGGGCGACCCCGCCAGCGACCCCACCGCCCAAGGCCGAGAGCTGGACCGCTGCCTGGACGCCACGTGGCTCCGGCTCCGCCAATCAGCGCGGGGACCGCCCCCGGGGACCATCCCCTTGGCTCTTAAAGGGCCAGGCCCCCCATCCCAGGATGTGGCTCACTCAGGTGGGCACCTCGGAGCCAGCGGGCGGGCGGAGTGACCTCGCAGGAGAAACCAGGTCAGCTGAGGTGGGGCTGCGACTACCTGCAGAGAAAGAGCTGATAAGAGTAAAAAAGTGGAAAGTGACCCTAGTGGGTATGGCTTAGAGATCAGAGGTCAAGGGGTCAAGGGCAGGCACCTCAGTTACAGGCTGGACCCCTGGCCCCAGTCAGGGTGAGTGGAAGGGGCACCAGTTCATGTGTCTCCCTCAAGTCTGTATCTCTGCACCTGCCCCTCCCTTCCACTCTCAATGGGGGAAAAATCCTCTGGAGAGTATTCACAAAAATATAAAATAAGTAAGAAGTAAAGAAAAATGCCTATAGCCGCCTCGACATGGTGGGGCTAAAATGTTAGTGATTTATTGAATTTTCCCAATTTTCTTTGTTGAGTTTTATTTTTAAACAACACAAGAAAGCCAACAACGATAATTTTTTTTTTTTAAGAAGATGGGCTGAGGGGAGGTTTGTGTTGAGATTTACTTAAGAAATTCTTCAAAAGTGGGTTTTCACACCCAGAGCCCTGCCCCCAGGTTCTAGGGTGGAAATGGACCTCACTGGCCACGTGGGGATAGACTGTGTCAGGTGCATGCTCGCCACATGCAGGAACATGCAGGTTTTAGAAATACCACACACACCACAAACTCTCTTCCTTCTACCCGCATTTCCTGGTTAACCTGTGTCAAACTATGGCATTTAAGTACCTACTGGATGCATTGTCTCTACATAAAAGACAAATAAAATAAGAAGTTATTTCCTCTTGACATTATTTTAGAAAACCTATTTCAGAGCTAACTTGTCCTTATAAAGAAAATTTCTGACCAATCAAATTTGACTTAAACGAATGTTTGATTTGATTTCCTGAGATTTCCCTGAGCTCTTTTAGTAGGTGAACGAATTCAATTCAAGTCTTATTATTTCCTGGTTATTGCTTCACTTATTTTGTTTGGCAGAATTTGCTTAACAAGCAAAAAAAAAAAAAAACAAAACAAACAAACAAACAAAAAAAACAGCCAGCACAGTTAAGAACCTTGTAAACCTTCTTGTAAACAGAAGGTAACATTTGTAGCAAAGGCGATACAAATCTTGCCAGAGGGAATGATTTTTCCCAAACTGTATATTTTTTCTTCCACAAAGCAAACTAAACTAAGACTGAATCAAAATAAATTCATCAGGCCTTACAATGACAAACAATAAGCTTCTATAAACGAGACTGAAGCAGATATCCTATACATATGATAAGATTAACTACTTAGCCCTAGCTGGTTTGGCTCAGCAGACAGAGCGTCGACCTGTGGACTGAAGGGTACCAGATTCAATTCTGGTGAAGGGCACATGCCCGGGTTGCAGGCTCGATTCCCAGTTGGGGGCATGCAGCAGGCAGCCAATCAATGATTCTCTCTCATCATGGATGTTTCTATCTCTCTCTCTCCCTCTCCCTTCCCCTCTAAAATCAATAAAAATATTTTTTAAAAGGGTTTAACTACTTCTACTGTTAGTTGAGGTCTTTGTGTTCGAAGAATACAGTCACTAATTTATTTTTTGTAATGAATCCGTAAGTGCTCAGGAAATGTTTGTTGAATAAAAAACAGGACCTACTCAGCCAGTGACCTATGAACCAGGTCAAGGCACATGCCTGGTTGTGTGCTCGGTCCACAGGAGGGGATATGGAGGAGGCAGCCTATCAATGTTTCCCTTTTATCAATGTTTCTATCTCTTTCTCCCTAAAATTCAATAAAAACATATTTTTAAAAGAAGAGACGCTTGCATAAAAAATACCTTGTGATTTTTTCCCCCTTACAAATCTATTTTAATGATGATTTTTTTACAGCAAACATGGAGAATTTTCAAAATATGGCAGAAGCAGCTGTATATTTTTTGAAATTCCCTAAGTTCCTCTTCAAAACAGATTTTTAAAAATCAATATTTTTATGAATATAAATACAAAAATCCTCAACAAAACACTAGTAAGTGGAATTCGGATATATAATGAGGGAGAAAAATAAAGCAGGTTTAACCTCAAAAAACAAAGAAACAAACAAACAAAAAAAACCCCAGACACATGACCAAGTGTGATTTATCCCAGGAATGCAGGGTTGGTTTAACATCCAAAAAGCAATTATAATACACCGTATCAATAAAACAAAGGGCAAAAACCACATCATCATCTCAATAGAATCAGATAAGGCACTTGACAAAATGTGACACCCTTCCGTGATCTAAAAAAACAGGATAGAAGGCAACTTCTACAACTTAATAAAAGGCATTCATGAAAACCCTACAGTAGCATTATACTTAACAACGAAAGACATTGCTTTCCTCCTTAAGGTTCCTGAACAAGAGAAGGATAACTATTCTTGACATTTTATTGAACACCAGAGGCCTGGGGCACAAATTCATGCTCTAAGGGTAGCAGGGGCCCCTCAGCCCAGCCTGTGCTTTCTCGCAGTCTGGGAACCCTTGGGGGATGTCCGACTGACAGCATACACTGGCCATCATTCCAACATCCTTAGCACTGTGGCAGGGGCAGGAGAGGCTCCCATCACCTCCGCTGGGCTAGCCATCATGAGCCCAGATTCTAGCTGAGTGATGTTCCCCCTGTGGGAGCGCACTGACCACCAGGGGGCAGCTGTGTTGTGCGTCTGCCTCCTGGTGGTCAGTGTGCATCACAGCAATTGGTAGTTTTGCCATTCAGCTGATTTGCATATTAACCTTTTATTATATAGTATTGTATTTGAAGTTCTAACAAAACATTAAGGCAAAAAAAATTTTTTAAGGCATCCAGATTGCAAAAGAGATAAAAACTATATCACAGGTGACAAGATTTTGAGTATAGAAAAATCTTTTTTTTAAATATATTTTATTGATTTTATACAGAGAGGAAGGGAGAGAGATAGAGTTAGAAACATCGATGAGAGAGAGTCATCGATCAGCTGCCTCTTGCACACCCCCCACTAGGGATATTCCCGCAACCAAGGTACATGCCCTTGACCGGAATCGAACCCGGGACCCTTCAGTCCCCAAGCCGACGCTCTATCCATTGAGCCAAACTGGTCCTGGCTGAGTATAGAAAAATCTTAAAGAACACACTAAAGAAAAACTATTAAAACTAATAAATGAGTTCAGCAAGATTGCAAAATATAAGACCGATCCACAAAAAAAAAAAAACACAATTGTATATCGATACACTTGCAATGAACAATATGAAAATGAAATTAAGGAAATAATTCAATTAAAATAGCATCAAGTAGAAAACACTTAGTAATAAATTTAGCAAAGTAAGTGCAAAATTTATACTCTGAAAACTATAAAACACTATTGAAGAAGACCAAAATGAATGAAAAAATATTCATGCTCATAGACTGGCACACTTAATATTATTTAGATGACAATATTTCCCAACTTGATCTACAAATTCAACACAAAACTTCAAAATTCGAGTAGTTTTTCTGTAGACATTAACAAGCTGATCCTATAACTCATATAAAAATTTAAGAGACAAATGAGAGCCAAAATAAGAACAAACTTAGATGATTCATAGTTCTTAAGTTCACAGATTACTACAAAGCCCTGGCAGTCAAAACAGCATGGTATCCAGATTGCAAAAGAGGGATATGCCACAGATCAATAGAGTAGAGTTGAGATCCAGAAGTGAATCCTCGAATTTATGACCTGCTGATTTTTGACCAAGGTGTCAAGACAATCTGCTGAGCAAAGAATAGCACTTTTCCACAAATAGTGCTGAGACTGCTGATCTCCACTGAAGTTAGACCTCTCTTTTATACCATCTACAAAAGGTAACTCAAATGCTATGTGAAAGAAGCCAGTAACAAAAATCACATGTTGTGTGATTCCATTTATATGAAATATCCAGAATAGGCGAATCTAAAGACGGAGGATAGAATGTGGTTTCCTGGGGCTGGGAGGAGGGGGTAAGGGGAATGGAGCAGGATTGGCCAGGGGCATGGGTTTCTTTATGGGGCGATGAAATGTTCTAAAACTGGTTGTCTTGAGGGTTGCACACTTTAGTGAAGATACTAAAAATCACTGAATTGTACTTACTGAGTTACAGAGTATGTGAATTATATCTCAACAAAACTGCTATTAAAACATCAACAACAACAGAGCCCCTAGCAAAAACATCCCATCGATAACATCTACCTCAAGACTAAAGTAAAGAGGACAAGAACTACCCTCAAGGGTAGCTGTAACTGGAGGGGGCATTACTTATGGAGTGCTGGTCCTAGTCTCTTTCCTGAAGGGAATGCTGGTTTCACCATTACTCAGTTTGTAATATCCAAGTCAGCTGTACACTTACTACTTTGCTGTGTTTTTGTGGTATGAATGTTTGCTTCAATAAAAAGCACACAGCACAAAACAAAGATATGGAAAGTATGAAAAAGTATTAAGTGTCATAAAAGATAGAATAAGATCATTTAATATTAGTTCCATAAAAAGAGGATATTGAGAATGTGAGAGACATTTTCCTCCAGAACTAATGTAAGGCATTAATCCTCAAATACAGTAGGGACAACAAATACCGAGCAAACCAAATGAAAAAAAATCTACTCAGACATATTTACATATTCAAATTTATATTTTACCAGAGGCCCGATGCATGGATTCGTGCACGAGTGGGGACTCTCAGCCTGGCCTGTACTCTCTTGCAATCCAGAACCCCTCAGAGGATGTCGAACTGCCAGTTGCAGGGATCGGGCCAAAACCGGCAGTCCGATATCCCCTGAGGGATGTAATAGTGCCCGAAGCAGCAGGCCAGCAGGGAGGAGCCGGAGCCGGGCAGGCGCTGTGCCACTGCTCATCCCAGCCCCGCTGCACCTGCCGCTGCCGCTGCTCCACAGCGCTGCCGTGGAAGAGGCGATCGCCAGCCATGAGCCCAGCATCTGGCACCCTTCGGTCAGCTGAGCAGGGCTCCCACTGTAGGAGCACACTGACCACCAGGGGCAGCTCTTGCATTGAACGCTTGCCCCTTGGTGGTCAGTGCGGGTCATAGAGACCGGTCAAACGGTTGACTGGTCTGCTTAGGGTTTTATATATACATATATATGTTGTATTAAAAATAATATATAATTTACCGTTTTAGCCACATCATATTGTATGGCACAATAGTGTTAACTATATGCACACTGCTATGCATAAGGTTTCTAGAATTTGGTATCTCACTGAACAGAAAGGCTATATCCAATTCTCTCCCAACTTCCGCCAGCCCCTGACACCACCATTCTATTTTCTAAGAGTCTGACTACTTTAGATACCCCATATAGGTGGAACCCAACACATGTATTTTTTTCCCCAACACATGTATTTTATTTATTTATTTATTTATTTATTTATAATATATCTTTATTGATTTCAGAGAGGGAGAGGGGAGAGAGAGAGAGAGAGAGAGAGAGAGAGAGAGAGAGAGAGAGAGAGATGATGAGAGAATCACTGATCAGACATCACCTGCATGCCCCCTACAGCAGATCAAGCCCGCAGCCCAGGCATGTATCCTTGGACAGAATTGAACCCGGGACCCTTCAATCCGCTGGTCGACATTCTATCCACTGAGCCAAACTGGATAGGGCACATATACTTTATTAAAATATTCTCTTTTTATTTATCCTTTATAGTCAATTAGAAAAATTGACACATTTTAAAAAAATATTGTGCCGTTCTTTTCACTTCCAGTGCTATTGAAAACTCATGTTTAAAAAGTTATGTTACTGTGAGGGGCACAAAGAACTATTTGGGTAATGGAAATGTCCTACATATTGTCCATACAATTGTCAAAAACTCAACAAACGAAACCCTTAAAGATCGGTACACATTGCATTTAAAGTATACCTCAATAAAAACCATCACATTAAAAAAACATTTTTCCGTAAAGGAAGCAAAACAAGATAGATGTTATTTTTAAATGGCCACGAGTGACATAGAGTCCAGAACTGTCGAGTCTCCTATGAACCTGACTAACGCACATGTGTACCATTTCACTCTAGTATTTAGTAACCTCTAGAAACTCTCGGCTTATTTACAACTTGGTACTTGGAGGCTCCACATTATAAAAACAGTCATGTGATATAAAGTATGGCATAGTCAGTAATCCCAGCTAATAAAAGGGTAATATGCAAATGAACCATCAATCTGTCACAAAGATGGCGGTGCCCATAGCCACAAGATGGCAGTGCCCAGTCCCCTCAGCCTCACCGAAGTCCCCCAGTCCTGGGAGGACGGGGGGCGGGGGGGGGTGGTCACTGAGAGTGGGCAGCGTAAGCAGCCTGTTGGAATGCTTGCTTCGTCACCACAGTGATGAAGGGCCTTTGGCTTCATCACTGTGATGATGCCCCGACCGTGGAGGGCATCTGGAGGACAGGGGGGCCGGCCCACAGCCTCCGCAGCTGAGCGCAGGCCCAAGTAAAACGTTGACAGCAAGTCCTTTCAGTATAATTGGGCATTAGAGGCCACAGAATGATCATTTCCTTTTCTATAAGAATTATGTATTTAGCCGAAACCGGTTTGGCTCAATGGATAGAGCGTCGGCTTAGGGACTGAAGGGTCCCGGGTTCGATTCCGGTCAAGGGCATGTACCTTGGTTGCAGGCATATCCCCAGTGGAGGGTGTGCAAGAGACAGCTGATCGATGACTCTCTCTCATCGATGTTTCTAACTCTCTATCTCTCTCCCTTCCTCTCTGTACAAAATCAATAAAATATATTTTAAAAAAAAGAATTATGTATTTAACAAATGCAAAATTTTGTCTTGACACAATAAAACAAGAGATCATTTGATTCTTCCCTGGAACACAGAAAAGCACAAGCTTGAATCATGGATGTGGTTTAGGCTAATTTCCCAAATAGTGTTAATAAAATTCACGTAGGGATCATCACAGAGCCAAGAATCCTCCCTTTCAGGCCTACATACTCAGCATCTCCAAGGAGGAGGCCTGTTATTCTGTTTGTTTTGTTTTTTAATACTCACCAGAGGATATTTTTCACTGCTTTTTAGAGGGAAGGGGAGGGGGAGGAGGAGGAGAAGAGGAGGGAAAGGAAGAGGGCCTGTTTGTGGCTGAGGGCAGGCCCTCGCGCGCAGTCCCGCCTCTGTACTTGAGCTGCAGAGGAAACACCATTTCTGGCCACTCATTGGCTAAGCTCCCTGTAAGCCACTCACAGTGTTCCTGGTAACTTGGGTTTTAAGAATCCAAGAAGGTGATCTAGGGTTTTCCACCTCACTCCTGGAGGAAAAAACGAAGGTCCACTGCTGGAGGGGCTAAGAAATGTCATATCCTGCCCTAGCCGGTTTGGCTCAGTGGATAGAGCCTTGGCCTGCTGACCGCAGGGTCCAGGTTTGATCCTGGTCAAGGGCATGTACCTAGATTCCTCCCTGGCTGGGGCACGTTTCTCTCGTCTTTCCCTTTCTCTTCCATGTTCTCTAAAAATCAATCAAAAAATATCCTCAGGTGAGGATAAACAAAAAGAAAGAAATGGCATATCGTATGAAAGAGACATCTTGAAAATGCAGAAAGAAAGTTGTCATTTTTTCATGGTGAAGAGACTGGAGTCTGTGTTGATGAAAACACCTTGGCGGCTGTGGCAACCACCAGTGGCTGCAGCAGTGGGGTGATGGGGGCAGCACCTTCCCCTGATCAGCCAGACTGCCTCCTGCAGAAGGAGCCCTACTGACGGGAGTGGGCCTAAGCCATCAGTGGAACATTCCCTGAGGGCTCCCGGGCTGTGAGAGGGGGTAGGGTGGGCTGAGGGACCCCTCCCCCTGCATAAATTTCATGCACCGGGCCTCTAGTCCTATATAATAAAAGCATAATATGCAAATTGTCCCCTTGGCCAAGAGTTGTTTGGGAGTTTGATCAGGGGGTGGAGCTGGCTGGGGGGAGGGCCAAGGCCTCAGTGGGCAGCTGGAAGCCACTAGGGACCTTACCAGTGCGTGAATTTTGTGCACTGAGCCTCTCGTATTGTAATAAATATGTCTGGTGTCAGATGGGTACCAGAATTATCACAGGAACACTTCATAAGGTCTTAAATGTCTAATCACTCTGTTGTACTTTAATGTAATATTGTGTGTCAACTATAGTAGGAAATTAAGTTTAAAATATATATGGCAAAAAACACACAAAACGAACAATAGCTTCTCTTGGTTAATCCTTTCTCCTATTCCTTTCTTATCCAGAAGTGAGAGCTCCATTTAATTTCTGGTTACAACCATTTGTCCTCAACTATCTATTCCTTTGAACACTGACTGTAATCCTTTAAACACTAAGTGGGAATACAATTCCCCCACACATTTGCAAATATAAACATTTGCCAAGCACAAGTCTGTATCTTATTATATGGCCACTAGAGACCCGATGCACGGGGGTGAGGGAGACAGTCCTTCAGCCCAGCCTGCACCCTCTTGCAAACCAGGATGGGGTCTAAACTGGCAGTCGGACATCCCTTCTCGCAATAACGGACTGCTGGCTCCTAACCACTGGCCTGCCTGCCTGCCTGCCTGATTGCCCCTAACCACCTCTGCGCCTCTGCCACACTGCCCTGGCTTCTGCTGAAGGACTTCCAGAGGTCGTTTGGCTGACTGGTCTAATTAGCATATTATGCTTTTATTGTTATAGGTAGCTTTGCCTTATTTTAGTTTGGAGTTTTGGAAGATTCAGAACCGTTCTGACTGGAGTGGGAAGGAGGCAAGGGCTATGCTACTGGAAACAAGGTCAGGACGCAGGGGTGTCAGGCAGGGCCTGGCTCGGCACCCCAGCTGGGAAGAGCGATGCCATTTGTGGGGAAGATAGCCGGTGAGAGCGGTGGCCAGACCCAGCCGGCCTGGGTCACTCCTCCTTTCCTGCAGGACCGGAGCTCGGACTTCTAAGCCCTTTGCCTCAGTCTCCTTGTTGGTAACACCGCGATAAACGATACAATTTCCCTCGGGGTATTCGGAGGCCTGGCGAGTTGGCACAGTACTTGGCACAGTGCATGAATATAGGAGAGAAATGTAAGGCTTAACTGTTCTTACCCGGTCACTTTATGAGAACTTCTCCGCAAAATACGGAATCAAAACTGTTACTAGGCAGTCCCATTTATGTTTAATGTTTTCTAACATTTTACAACTTTCCGTATTCCGTCCCCGCCTCCAAAAGACAAACGGAATTAACACAAAACCTGATGGTCTTCCTCCGCTGGCTGCCCCGGCCACTGCCCCCTCTGTCCAGCTCAGGCTGAGGCGGGAGGTAAGAGCGGACGGACAGAGTTGCGGTCCCTCCCGCAGTCACGGTCCCCGTGGTCTCATTGCGGTAACACTTCCGGCGGATGTCCGGCCTGCCGCAGGGAGGAAGCGGCAGGCGGCTCGGGGCAGAGAGGCCCCGCCCCGCCGGCAACCATCCGCAGTCCTAAACCCCGAGCGGCGCCGGAAGTGCAGCCCTCCGGGGGCGGGCAGAGCGGAGCCCGGGACGCTGGCCAATCGGATGCGGCGGTCCCCACGGAAAGGGAGGAAGCGAAGAGGTCCAGTTCCGGACGCGGCGGCAGCCGCCGCCATCTGTCACCACAACTTCTGCTCCGGCTCCGGCCCCGGCTCCGGCTCCCCCGTCGCCCCCGCCCCGCCTCCGGTCTCCGCGGAGGCTGCTCCCCGGCCCCGCCATCGCTCCCGTGCTCGCGGCTGGCTTCGTCCCCATATGGATCTGGTCGGAGTGTCATCGCCGGAACCCGGGCCGGCAGCGGCCTGGGGACCCAAGAAGGTGAGCGACGCTCGGGCAATGGCACCTGCCTCGGTCCCCTGGCCGGTCCTGGGAAGGCCCGGAGGGCTGCGGAGCGGGGGTGGGAGGGGCGGGACGGGCCCAGCTGCCAGACTCGAGATCTTCCTCCGGGTGCACCTTGCGCCCCAAAACGCCGGGCACATTTGTGGGCGGGACCCACTCAGACGCCGTGACGTTGGCAGACAGCCCGCTCGGACTTGTTTTTCACGGCCCGTGAGTCAGCCCAATCCACCCCGAACCCGACGCAAAGGTAACAGCCCCGCGCGGGCCCCCCGCAGTTTCTTGCGCGGAAGAAGAAAGGTGTACAGGGCCCCCTCTCCGCCCAGGCCACGCTGAAGTGCACAGACCGGTGACGACTCCGATCGTTCTGGCGGTAACGTTTATTTCAGCTTTTCCCACAGTGGCTTAGTCCACATTCGGCTCCTGGGTTTCAGGCTGCTGCTTTTCATAATGCTTTCACTAGAAGAGACACTTTTGTCACTTTATCGAGGGCTTGCTTGAAAATAAGATGCTTCAGTTGGGATTTTGTGTTCCTCAAATTAAAGTTAGGAGGGAATCCAACTTTTTTAGCTTCATAGTTGTTCTTTATATGCCAACACAGAACATTTTTTTTCGTGTAAAAGGGTCACTTGTTAACCTTACTGGATGTTCAGGCCATGTCTTAACAGAAAAAGAGGGAATAACTAGCTACGAAAAAGGAAAATTAGTTTAAAAGCATAGGTTAGCGTTGTACAGACCCAGCGACTCTGTCTGGAGAAGAAAAGTTGCCTAGAGTGTGTCTAGCTGTCATCGTCCTGTGGGTTAGGGTCTCTCCGTTTGCTTGAAGTTGTGTGCCCACTTCATATTTGCTCTTTTTTACTGTTCTTGATTCTTCCCCCTATCTGTCTGCAGTAGAGCTTTAAGCAAAAAAAAAAGTGGGAGGTCAGCTAGGGATCATCTTTTTTTTAAAATATATATATTTTTATAGATTTCAGAGAGGAAGGAAGATAGAAACATCAATGGTGAGAGAGAATCATTGACTGGCTACCTTCTGTACTCCCCCTACTGAGGATCCAGCTGTCAACCTGGGCACATGTCCTTGACCAGAATTGAACCCAGGACCCTTCAGTCCACAGGTTAAAGCTCTATCCACTGAGCCATACCAGTGAGAGTATGGGGATCGTCTTCAGGAGATGGGCAGGGAGAGTGTGGAAGCAGTGACAACCCCCTACTGAGCAGAGCCAAGTGGTGGCCATTTCCAAGGGGAGTCTGGGGCTCTTCAGCAAACAGCAAAGAATGAATCAGGGACTGGTTATGGGCCTGGTGTGATTGAAAGTAGAATAACTAACTGGAAAGGACTGTGTGGGTTTCCTGTCTTGATGTAATGGGGAGTTTATATGGATAAAGGAATAGTGGGAAATGATGTTGGACAACAAAGATAGAGACGATTAGGAGGACGTCTTAGATTTATTATTATTCTAACACTTAATAAAGTTTCTCTAAATAAGAGTGTCTGATTTACTGGAGAGTTGCAAGATGATGAGGATTCCCCTACATACAGTAGGAGAAGCCCTGGTAATTTTTCTAAGCCTCCCATGGGATGATAAACCGCTTGTGCCTGTGTGGTGGACTGTCAGCTTAGACATTTTTCTGGAGGACTTTTGACTTCTGATTTGATGAGTTTGGATTTGATTAAAGTATGGGATTGGCAACCTTTTGGAACTCTACTTATTTGCCCTTACCCAAGGAAGGCAGCCCTGCTGAACTGGTCAGCATAGGTACGGGGAAGGACGCCTCTGGAGTCCGGGCTCTGAAAGCAGGAGCAGTGGGAGTGGCAGGTGTCTGGTGCCCACTGAGCTCTCCCTTTCCGATTCTGTCTATGTTAGAAGTAAATTTCTGCCTCAAAATTACACAGGACTGCCTATCATTTATGCCTCTTCTAAGGAACTGTCAGCTAATTTCACGTTTCTGGAATTAACTGATCTTGACAAAAGACTAGAAACATCAGAAGTGGCCCACCTTCGAGATGGAAAAGGACTTGTAATAGTAGGGGTGTAGGAAAGCGCCAGGCCTTCACAGCCCAGGGACGACCTGACAGTTGGATGGAGTATCTCCAGGGTTTCCTGTGAGCACTTACGCAGGAAGTGCTGGAGCGCCTCTTACAGCTGGAACTCGGTGCTGGGCTCTGGAAATGGAAACACCCGCCTTTCAAGGCTCCTGCTATGTTGTGGTTGATGCAGTAGCGCCAGTGCAGTGGTTGGTGCTGCTCACACAGTACACAGTGGAATGGGAACCAGAGGATGGAAACTGAGACAGCTGGAGGAGGAGGGTCGTTTAATTGGGGAAACGGGAGGAAAAGGCATCAGAGAAGAGCATGTGCAGGTGTGGAAGGGCATATGATTAAGTGTTATTGAGCATAGGGTAATGAGAGTAGAAAGTTAAATTAGGTCAAGTTTTGAAGGACGTTGGTTGCTGAGGAATTTGTTTGTTTCTCATGTCCCAAGATAAGATAAGATGATTAGGGAAGCTGTGTAGCAAAATACTGTGCGTGCAGTCTAAGTCCTAATCGCAGCACTTCTATCTACACAAAACCTTTCTGTATCTCTGTTTCTAAATCTATAAAATAGGGACGCTATTGAAACTGCTCAATCGTGACTTTCATCTAGATGATATATATTTAATCAAGTGACTAAAATATAGTGAATTATTGTCTTTACTAATAGTCATTGCAAATGTGATTGGCAATTCATTGCAAATGTGATTGGCAATTCTGAGTTAGAGAATACAGTCATTTACCTCTTGGAACCTGGACTTTGAAACTGATCACACCAAACATTCCTAGGCAGCATTAAGTCTTCCACTGGAGGGCGTAAGAGGAAGTCAGCAGTCATGTGGCCAAAGATGAGCTATATTCTCCTGATTAGAGCCTTCGAGATTCCAGGCCTCAGAGCCCTCCAGGAGCGGCACGCCAGCCCTGAGGAAGCCGCCTGTTTTCTCCGGCCCATTCCTTCTGCTGTGGGCAAGTGCAGGTGGGCAGAGAGCTGGGCGCCTCTCCTCTCAGGAGGAGACAGGTAAAACTGGATTCTGATTCACGTGCTCCACCCTGACAGCCTGAACCAAGTAGGTTTCTAAACCTCAGTGCTGTGGAACCTGAACAAGGATCAGTGGCCCAGTTGTCCTCAGAGTCCCGCCAAGCCCTTAGGCCAGCTAGAGATCTTTACTGGCTAAATTTGATTAACAGTTTGTCTGGCTAAAACATCACTTGCTGCTTCTAAATTAGACACTCAGAAATACTACGTAAGGAATGAGTTTGGACTTGACTTTGAAGGCGGCGGCAGGAAACATTGAAACAATGAAAGAGGTTTAAGTAAGGAACCAAGCCATGAAATCTGCATTTTTTGAGGGGAAACCACTGTTGTGTTTGCTGCCTGGCAACAAGCAGGGCTGGAAGGAGAAAGACTGGTTGGAGTTGCTTACCGGAGCTTGGTGATTGAGCTTGGTGATGGCGCTGATATCTGGGGGAGAAACTTGGGAGGGGAGCTGGATGAGTTCAAGAGAGATTTAGACATCAACTTAAATAATGGTGGTCTAATCAAATGTAATCGTCAGCTGCTGCTAAGTAAAGTTGCCCCTCAGAAATGAAGAATTGTGATGTTTACCTACGTTTTGTATTTCAAGAGGGCTGAGAAATGATGTCCTTGAGGAAGGCTGACTGGCTAGCCACCTGTCTCACAGAATATCTGTTGGCTGTAGTGTGTTGTTGCAAGACTGTTTTGTGCAGTTGGTATAGACCATCCCTATAAGATTCCTCAGGGGACGCCATTATCAGCAGAAGGCTGCTTGTGAGTCAGCAGGGATGTGGACCCAGGGGCGTTCCATGAACTCATGAGCTGGTGTGGTGATGCTGGGAGCCTTTTCCCTTCAACTGAGAAGGACCCTATCGATTTGAGCTGGAAGACATTTTCACTTTGAGTTGATTCAACTAATTTTATTTGCAAAAGATAACCTTATTTCCAAGTTTGGGAGGTATTTAAATTTCATTATTATGATTTGAATTTTTTTTATAGTGTCCATGGGCTACTCCTCAAAAGACAATATCCTGTTCTTTGGCTGATGTCATGAGTGAGCAGTTGGCTAAAGAGTTGCAATTAGAAGAAGAAGCTGCTGCTTTTCCTAAAGTTGCGTAAGTAAACTTCAGAAAGAATCAATTTGTCTTAAAGATTATCACAAGGTTTTAGGATTTGATTAGTGCTTGTCATCAAAAAGGATTAAGAAATACATCTAAAAAGCACAGTAGAAAGAGTGCCATCCTGGGAGTCCACTGATGTTTGAGTTTTGGTCCTGACTCTGATGACTTTTCAGTATTATTTTGGGAAAAATCCCTCCATTTCTCTGATTTATCGATAGTTATTGCAACAGTTGAACCAGATGGTCTCCAAATGATCAAATAACATTTTAATCCAGTGCCTGTAGTTTTATTTTTTTATAGATGCTCTCTCTCCTTTGACCAGAACAAATGAATTCTGGGTCTTGGTGTGGATTTTATATAGACCCTTAGCTTTCTCTATCCTAGTTGGTGCTCTCACAGGTTCCTGCCACTAATCAGAGGGTGCCTAGGCAGGAGAGGTGCTTTGGTCAAGTTTTTCCTATTGTTTCTTTAGTCCAGTTTTTAACAGTGAAAAAGCACATCCTACTCTCATATTGGTAGCGTGTGTTTACAGAAGCTCAGTATGTTAGTTCATTTGCCTTATTTTGAATAGTGTTGCTGAAGGACCATTTCTTACTGGAGAAAACACTGATACTTCTAGCGACCTAATGCTGGCTCAGATGCTACAAATGGAATTTGACAGAGAATATGATGCACAGCTTAGGCGTGAAGAAAAAAAATTCAATGGCGATAGCAAAGGTACTATGACCTCATTGTGACAACTGCATTGGATGGTAGAAAATGCTTGGAAAGTGCTCTTACGGTTTCAACTATTTTTTCCTTTTAAGTTTCCATTTCCTTTGAAAATTATCGAAAAGTGCATCCCTATGAAGACAGTGATAGCTCTGAAGATGAGGTTGACTGGCAGGATACTCGAGATGATCCCTATAGACCAGGTATCAATGCTTTTATTTGATGGGACCATGGGAACGCTAAATTTTCCAATGAATCCTTATACTTTTATCTTTGAAAAGCACTTGGAAATTTACTATTAGGTTCAGATATCTTTTCAGACAATATTGAATTCAGAAATTTAGTTTTTGCTATTTTTATATACTTGTCTTTAGCAAAACCAGTTCCTACTCCCAAAAAGGGTTTTATTGGAAAAGGAAAAGACATCACCACCAAACATGATGAAGTAGTATGTGGGAGAAAGAATACAGCCAGAATGGAACATGTAAGTTATAGAAAGTATTATCTCTGAAAATTTTACTAAAATAAGTTAAAAACATGGGATTCTAAATACGATATCTTAACTTTCTAAAAATGCTCTTCATCCTTTTTAAAGATGTTTAAAATTATAATATGGTAATATCATGAAAACCCTCAGCCACTGATGAGAATATAAAATTCTATAACATTAAGAAAAATAGTTTGATTTATATTAATTCTAAAATTAAGAAGTTGTCTTCCCTAATTATTTATTTTCAGCACATTATTTTTCATAAAATAGCACCCCTACCCAAGAACCGATAACAGTGGTGATTGGGGAATAACAAGAAGAGAGAAAAAATACTGTCTATTATCCCCTTCAATAGTTTTTACAAGTTTTATCTTATGCCTGAACTACCCTCTGAAAAGTCAGAAATAATATGTAAATTTTTTTAAAGGGGAAAAATAGCATGTTTCCTCTTTCATAAAAATTTGGTGAATATAAAACATTTAGACTTGAGGGCACAAATGATTGTTACATAAACATACTATTAAATTCCAGAAACAGTTCAGATCTGACTCTAGAACAACCCTGTCCAATAGAACTATTGACAGTAGAAATGTTTTATATCTATGCTATCTAATATTAGGCCTCTGAGAGGATTGAGATTTGGTATTGTAATTGAGGAACTGCCTTTATTTTATCTTTTTATTTTATTTTATTTTTTTATTTGACTTTATTTTATCTTAACTTTACATACCCACATGTAGCTAGTGGCTGCTATATGGAACACTGCAGCTCTTGAACATAATTGCTATGAAGTGGGCATAGCTTGTTGTACTAACCACTCCTCAGAAATAACTAATTATGAAATGTATAACTAATTATAAATACTATACCAAATCTAACCAAAGAAATATTATTTCATAATTATATTATTTAAAATATATGTGTCCTTTGCAAGGTACAAAGAAACGCTGCAGTAAAACAGCCTACTCCTTTTCTGTTGGTTTTAGTGACTCCTTGTATTTTCTCTCTAATACCAATACATCCTGTTTTCACAGCCCAACTGTTTATTGAGTAGGTGACCTGTTTAAAGTATTCAATGTTAATTCTTTTTGGCAGTTTGCACCTGGGTTTCAGGTAGGAGATGGAATTGGAATGGATTTAAAACTATCAAACCATGTTTTCAATGCTTTAAAACAACATGCCTACTCAGAAGAACGTCGAAGTGCCCGTCTCCACGAGAAAAAAGAACACTCTACTGCAGTAAGTAATCTTAAACTTTCTTCTGTTTGCTATTCCCCCCCCACAAGATTGGTTTTTCAAATCAAAGATGTAAATAAACTCATTAGCTTTGCTTATTAGACTTTTCAGATTTAATATAATGGTTATTAATCACTTATTTATAATTAACATTTTAGTGGTCATAATTGGAACTGTATAGTTTCATTGCATATTAATGTTCAAAGAGTTTATAGAAATTATGATATTTGTAATAATTTGTAAGTCTAATGTTTTACATTGACGAAGACAGTGTCTAATCTTGAGAATAAAGTAATTTTTAAACCTTTAGAAAAACAAATTAATGGTAAGTACAATGAGGGAATTGTTTAAACTTTGGAGATAAAATATGATTTTAATTAAGCTAATGTCTGACTTCTGATGTTCTTTCAGATATTCATTTTCAAAGACATTAAAATTAAAGGGATGAATTGTACTTTAATTGCTAATCTTAAGAGCTTGTTATAAGTTTTAACAAAAGATATATATTTTAAATGTTTGTTATTAGCAATGGCTCAGGTAATGTTATGTGGTGATCATTTTCACCCTTTGTGCCGTATCTCTTGTAGGAAAAAGCAGTTGATCCTAAGACACGCTTACTTATGTATAAAATGGTCAACTCGGGAATGTTGGAGACCATCACTGGCTGCATCAGCACCGGGAAGGAATCTGTTGTCTTTCATGCTTATGGAGGGAGGTGAGTTAGCAAAATACAGCACCATCATGGCAACAAAGCTTAGCTCCATCTCCCCAGTGAGGGGATTTACACAGAATCAACTCCTGTGGCATGTAAAGCAGATTAATTTAAGAAGTGTTCCTGTAGAATGTCTAGACAATATGAGAATGTAGAAAGGAAAACAATCTTCATCCAGCATCCAGAGGTAACCATTAATTTATGTAAACTTTAATCTTTTTCATGGATATACTTCCTACTTTATTATATCATAAAGGCAGCTGTCAGTAGCAGAACAAAATGTGTACCTGGGCTTGTCTCAAAACCCTAGTTTTCCATTGTGGGCCCATTGGGTACCAGATCAGACGTGCTTTGTCAGTCACTGATGCCTCCCTCTAATGAGGATGCTTACTTTAAGAAATACCAGCTTTCAGTAATGCTTACATTGATAAGAAACGTCTTTGAGAGATCTTACGCTGTTTGGATCTTTCCCACTTCCCTCTGTTACAAGGGCTTAGATGAGTCAAGAACTGCTTGAGAAACAGAGGTTTTTGAAAGTGGAGCCTGTTAAAGAACGTGCCAGGAATAAGAAATCATCTGATTAATTACCATGGAAGCCACAGAAAGGCTTCCCAGCTCAGCTCCTCCTTTACATTAACACTGTTTACAAACACAATGTCAGCCGAAACCGCTTTGGCTCAGTGGATAGAGTATAGGTCTGCGGACTGAAAGGTCCTGGGTTCGATTCCGGTCAAGGGCACGTACCTTGGTTGCAGGCACATCCCCAGTGTGGGGTGTGCAAGAGGCAGCTGGTCGATATTTCTCTCATCGACATTTATAACTCTATCCCTCTCAATTCCTCTCTGTGTAAAATCAATAAAATACATTAAAAAAACAAAACAAACAAACAAAAAAATACAATGTCAAAACTGATGACAGAAACTGTTCTTGTTTTAGGGTTAGAAAGTTAGTTACTGTGACCTTAGGGAATTCAAACTATTGTGGGTTAAGTCCTTACCTTAGGTTTTCTTTTCTTTTTTAAATTTTATTTATTGATTTTAGAGAGGAAGGAGGAGTGGGGGGGGGCGGGGGGGAGAAGAGAGACATAGATTTGTTGTTGCACTTCTTGATGCATTTATTGGTTGATTCTTATAAGTGCCCTGCCTGAGGATCAAACCCACAAACTTGGCGAACTACCTGAGCTACCCTACCAGAGCAGGTTTTCTTATTTAATCTTCCTTTCCGGATGAAATATACACATATAATTATAAATTGAATTATACTGTTAAGTTCCAAAAGGAAGAATAAAAATGAATGTTTTTCAAGTTATATGATCTGGAGCAAGATACTAAACCTCAGTTGTAAGTTGACCCTTGCTTCATAGGGTTTTTGTGGGGATAAGAGGGAGTCATACCTGACAATACCTGGACTATGTTAATCTTAATATATTTCTTCCTTATTTTAAGCTTTGTTGCCCTCTTTCCAAATTAAATTTGAGGGTATCCTAAGACCAGGCAAATAATAACTTAATGGCACAAATTATTTCAAATGAAAGATTACCTGTGGTGGAATGAAAACTTTACAGAAAGAATTAAACTGAAAAGGGTCCTCCATCTTACCAACTCTCATCCCCCTCCCCCACCCAATCTCTTCTCTAAAACTACTATTAACAATTTTTACTCGAATCTTCCAGAAATTTTTATGCATCTGTTTCTTATTTGGTTAATATAAAAAAGATTATACTCTCCTTTCAGGATCTTAGTTTTTCAGCAATATACCTTAGATCCTTCTGTATTACTGGCTTACATCACCCGTTTCTGTGTAGTACATTCCACTGTGTGGACATATAGGAATATCCTTGTATATCTACTGTGGTGTGCTTTTGCCAGTATATCCTTAGGCTAAATTCCTAACACTGAAATTGCTGGGGCACAGACTATGCACTCATTTGGAAAACCTACTTCATTATATAATGGACTTTTGGCTTGGACACCCTGTTGCCCAATTAGTCCATTTTATCGAGGTTTTGTTGTGCTTGCAGTTAGTAAAACTAGAGTATTTGGTTCTCTCCAAGTGAGAGTTGAATGCTTTTAAAAGGTTAGTTTTCTCTGCTACATAACAAATCACCACAGGCTTAGCAGCTTAAAGACAACCCATGTATGAGCTCCTAGTCTGAGTTGGTCGGAAGCTCAGGAGGCCTGGCCTGACTGGCTCCCTCTGCAGGTGGGCCCTGTTCCCTTGGCACAGGCAGCTCCTTGCAGCTGCAGGACAGGGTCTCTGCCTGTTGGCTGTCAGGCGAGGCTGCCCTCAGCTCTAGAGGCCCTGCAGCTCCTGGTCGTGTAGCCCTTCCACATGGTAAGTAGGTAACATTTTCTCGGTCAGCCAAGACTGAGTCTTAGTGCAGTGTAATCCTCTGCCATATAATGTAAGCTATGGAGGGCGTGGCTGTGTCCCCCACACTCCAGGGAGGGGATTATTCCAAGTGCAGTCCTTGGTGGGGCTGGGAAATTGGGAGCCACCCTAGGATTCCGCCCACCACAAAGCTGTCCTGGTTTCTCCTACTCACAGGTTAGCCTTGTAATCAGCAATTAATTGAATAGAACTTGTGCTAGATTTTTTAGAGAATAAGTGTGACATGTGTTCTACTCTCAAATAACTTATGGTACACCCAAGAGGAGGACATTACAGCAAGAACTGTTATGGTCAAAAAAGAGAATTAGGTAATAGAATACCCAGGATGTGAGTGAGACTGGTAGTATGGGATACGGAGAGAGAACACATAGTCTGTGCCCCAGTCATGGTCAGAGAAGGTAGACCCACCCCCGCACCACACAATCTTTATTTTGAAATTGGTTTACTGGTGAGCTGGCAACTTATACTAACTTAATTTTTTTTTCTTTCCACTTAGCATGGAAGATGAAAAAGAATATAGTAAATTTATACCTACAGAATGTGCCATCAAGGTATTTAAAACAACCCTTAATGAGTTTAAGAACCGTGACAAATATATTAAAGACGATTTCAGGTTTAAAGATCGCTTCAGTAAACTAAATCCACGTAAGATCATCCGAATGTGGGCAGAAAAGGAAATGCACAACCTCACCAGGTAAAGACCCGTGTGCTAGAGGCTGGAAGTCAGCCGGAGTAGTTGCCTTGTTGTTAGTTGCTAAGTTCTTCAACGCAGCAGCACTTCTGAGTGTAGAATCATGTCCCAAGAGGCATTGCTGGCCTCCAGTCTCCTGTACAGCTGAGCTTTCACCGCTGCCTTTCCTAAAAGGGGGCTGTTGCCCTGTAATCTTTAGTCTTTAGTGTTGAGTTCAAAGTCCTTTTGTGATGCGGAGCCTGCCTGTTCTGAGCCCTGAGCCCCGTCCTTCCTCCTGTTCAGCTTCCAGCTGTGCTAGTTTACATACATTCCCCCAGCGGACTGTCCTCTGAACGCCTCCCTGCACTTCACAAGCTGCTTCCATCCTGGGACCAGCATGTCCCCACCTGCCCATCGGGCTGATTCCCTTCGCCTGGTTTCCTAGCCTTCCTGGATGTTGTGAAGCCCACAGATCCTGTCCCACCTCAGCCAGTACTCTGGAACCATCTCCTCACAGTCTGCCTTCCGTGTGCGTTACCCCAGCTCAGTGCAGGCCCTTGTTATATGTTCAGGTAAAACATTCTCTCCTGATCTTGACATTCGTAATCGTTTCTTTCTGTACAGAATGCAGAAAGCTGGAATTCCTTGCCCAGCAGTTGTGCTGCTCAAGAAACACATTTTAGTCATGTCTTTCATTGGCCATGATCAAGTTCCAGCCCCTAAACTGAAAGAAGTAAAGCTCAGTAGTGAAGAAATGACAGAAGCCTACTATCAAACTGTTCACGTATGTGTGCCTTCCAGAGCATCACGCCAGCTTCTAAAAATGTTTCTTCTAACCCTAAAAAGGTTTCCAAAAATAGTCCTGTTTTGTGGGGATATAATAAGCCAAGCTGAAGTTTGGGAAGGAATGTTCACATTGAAGTGTGTTTATACCACTGTGTGTGAGTTGAGTCAGTTTGGAAATTGACATATGAAGCAAGTGAAGGCAGTTGTTAGCATCAGTGACCTAGAGACATGAAGCTGTTAAAACTTCATTAAGTAAGTTGGATCTAGTGCCTAATTGGTTTTCACGTCTTCATGAATGATACTGCTCTAACTGCAAAGAAATTAGCTTTCTTGTTGGGAAATTTGCAGGCAGTAGATTTGGACTCATAGGAAGTGCAGCTGAAAACTAAAGATGGAGGGAGTGGTCTCCACTCAGCAGGTGATAGGGTTGCAAGGACGAGTCAGGAACTTCGGGACAGCAGCTGAATTCAGTCTGGGGTTCTTCTAGCATAAGAAAATGTTCCGAATATTGTGATTTTTCTGTATTTTTTTTTAACTGAATAGTGAAGAAACAAGCTTTTTACAGTCTCGGCATGCGCTTTAGTGTCAATTCAGCAGTTGATGTGAATACAAAAGTAATTTTTTAAGATCCAGCTAGGGAGATAATCCAACTTTCTTTGTCTCCAAGTGGACAACATCCAAAGGAAAATGAAATTTCTTTTTTGGTGAAGGAGTGGCTGGGGAAGAGATAAAGTAATGATGTACTCTTCTATTTGAATTCTGTTAAGGTTGGGAAACAAAGCATTAACACTGATTGCTACAGTAAGGCTAGGGCTCACCATCAATCTGAACATAATGCCACAGGATTCGCAAGGAAATTTCTCCCCCTGTATCCGGCAGGAAGTACTATTTAGCCTGGGAGTTGTGTACATCCCATATTGGTCTCAGTGAGCCCTTTGCCCATTTGGGAAGGGCAAGCCTCAGTCTCCGGAGTGATGAGCACACCCGTGGCTGCTCTCTTACTCCTGTGGGGTCCAGGTGTGGCCTGTGGCCCTCTGGCCTCATTGTCGTCGGGTGGACAAGGAGGTGGAGTGTCGCCCATCCCCTCTGTTGTCTCAGTGTCACACCTGCCTTAAAAGGAAAGCTCAGTCCTGGTCTGTAACCTCGTCTTGACCTTCCTGGTTATGGTGGTTGAGCACAGACATTTTAGTTGTGGCGGTGAATTAGAACAATTTCTTTTCCTAAACATCTGCCTTGCCTCCTCACAGCTGATGCAGCAGTTATATAACGAATGCACGCTCGTGCATGCCGACCTCAGTGAATATAACATGCTGTGGCATGCTGGGAAGGTGAGGAGCATGCTCTGTTCATGTTCACATTAAATTACTTGGTGTAACTTAGTGAAGGTCAGTCACTATATGCTCTGTATTTAAATAGGTTTGGTTGATTGATGTCAGTCAGTCTGTAGAACCAACCCATCCTCATGGCCTGGAGTTCTTGTTCCGTGACTGTAGGAATGTCTCACAGGTAGGCATGTAAACTAATACGGTTTTTGCCCTAGCTACTTTGGCTCGATGGATAGAGGGTCCCAAGTTCGATTCCAGTCAAGGGCACATACCCGAGTTGCAGCCTCAATCCCCAGTAGAGGGCGTGTAAGAGGCAGCCAATCAATCTCATCATTGATGTTTCTCTCCTCCCTCTCCCTTCTTCTCTGAAATCAATAAAAATATATTTGTAAAAAAAGTAATACGGTTCTTGTAATGGGATAAGAGATTCGTATAGTATTCTCACTCCCAGTATAAGCAAGACATTCTTAGAAATTGAAGGAAAGATTTTGTTCCTGGCTGCCTTCAAGATAAAGATACAAAGATCAATTTGTCAGATTTTATTTTCAGCAAGAATTTGATTGCATGCCTTACATTTGGGTCATTGAATTAAATGTGCAATAGAGTGAGTTTTTATTTTGGCTCCAAATATTTGAGCAGCCCATAGACAGTGCAGTGTGCATGCCACTTCAAGGAGCTGGTCTGCAGGATGCCCGAGTCGTGTGTCTGTGAGGCAGAGGAGACATCAGGGAAGGGAAACCTTGGTGCTCACAGAGTTGGTCACATTTATTTGCTGTTTCTATAGGAAATTAATTGTTAGCAACAGACCCAGATGCTAATGATCTTCTGAATGATAGAATAATTTCAGCCAAGACCGGTTTGGCTCAGTGGATAGAACGTCAGCCTGGGGACTGAAAGGTCCCGGATTCGATTCCGGTCAAGGGCATGTACCTTGGTTTCGGGCACATCCCCATTGGGGGGGTGTGCAGGAGGCAGCTGATCGATGATTCTCTCTCATCGATGTTTCTAGCTCTCTGTCCCTCTCTCTTCCTCTCTGTAAAAAAAAAATCAATAAAATATATTTAAAAAAAGAATAATTTCATACTGGGAATAACTTAGATCCCATTTTAATTCATGGGATTTAGTGAATGTTTTGAGTCTGCCAACGGTTTTATAAAGCAGCCATTTTTACAGCTTTAGAAGGTGCAAACTTAACCCAGCTATAGATTGTCACAAACTTCACTCAGCAGACGGTGGGTATGTCATGACTGAGAACAAGGAGAGCCGAGCACAGCCAGCCTGAAGTGGGAGAGCTCACAGGTGCCTTAAGAGAATTGCTAATGACTGCCTTCCTTATATTCCTTTACTAGTTTTTCCAGAAGGGCGGAGTAAAGGAAGCACTTAATGAACGGGAGCTCTTCAATGCTGTGTCTGGTTTAAACATCTCAGCAGACAACGAGGCTGACTTCTTGGCTGAGGTAAGCTGAGCTGCTGTTCTCTGCTGGAAATGGAGACTGAATATAGCAGATACTGAAACCCAGAGTGAATTTCATCCTCCCCCCTCAAAACCAAAGTGAATTTGAGATTTGTCTTTACTGGAGACCTTTTCCAGACTTAACCCCTAAGATAAACAGAGCAAAGACATTTTTTTCAGGAGTTCACAGTTTGAGATGGAAAATAACACATTTCCCATATACTGTATTTCCCATATTTTATGAAGTTAAATGGTAAACACTCTGTGTGATACAAAAATTAGTAATACATGGTCCCTGCTTTTAACTGAATATAGAAAGCTAGCAGTGGCCATCCTTAGAAATACCCAGTCATTACAACATGGATCCATAGAACCATTAAAAACAACAACACAAAACTCCCTCAGAGAAGGTCTCTTAGAATGAACAAAAACTAAAAAGCAAAATAGCAGCTAATTATTTCTAACGATATATCAAGACAGTGAATGATTATTATGGAGTCTAGGGACAGAGAAATACTAGAAAGATGGCAAGTCTAGCATCTAGCTCAGTATAGTTGCTGAGTAGGTGTTGCTGTGGTTGCTGGAAAATCCTTTCCTGCCCCTGCACGCATTATGGAGCACACAGTAAGATACAGCGTGGTTCCAGTTGCTGACTTGGTAACTAAATTTTGATCCTGGTAATATAATCAGGTAAAAACATACATGTATGTTATGCTCTTATGTATGTATGTGACACACTGAAATTCTGATTGAAGGCCAACATTGTTAGGAGTGACCTTGTTTTGTTGTTGTTTTTTAAAAATATATTTTTATTGATTTCAGAGAGGAAGGGAAAAGAGAAAGGTGGAAATATCAATTATGAGAATCATCGATCAGCTGCCTCCTGCACACCCGACACTGGGGATTGAGCTCCCAACCTGGGCATGTGCCCCTACCAGGAATCGAATCCTGACCTCCTGGTTCATGGGTTCATGCTCAACCACTGAGCCACACTGGTCAGGCAGGAGTGACCTCATTTTAACGGAGTACACACTGGCTCAGTCTGAAGTGTGGTTTCAGGGAAGCAGGTTTATGACAAATGGATTAAATTTTAAATGATATTCATTTTGTAGATAGAAGCTTTAGAGAAAATGAATGAAGATCACGTTCAGAAGAATGGAAGGAAAGCTGCTTCATTTTTGAAAGACGACGAAGGTCCTCCAGTTCCACACGATGAATAGCCCCGATACCCGCTGCTCTCAGAGGTGACCCAGCGGCAACTGCCAGCTGCCAGTGCCTAATGAAGTTACGGGCAACGTGAGACCCCAACACGAGGAGTGTACAATGGTGCTTCTGTGCTTTCCCCCAGTAGCCCTGCGCCAGATGTGTGCAATTTTTAGCTCGGCATTGAGAGAATAAAATGTCACTACCTCTCACGAACAAGATAATATAATTCTTTAACAGCTACAGTTATTTAGTTGAAACCGACCGGATTTTACAGGATTCGTGGTGTAAAGTGTTTTGATGAGAATTTTTAAAATGTGGTAACGTTTTCAGACATGGGAGGAAAGGCAGACGTTTACAAGGGAGGCCATTATTGCCACCTACTTGTTCTGGCACATCCTGCTTTGAGTCTCATCTTTCCGCGAATATTTTATTGGCCTGAAATTGGCCCTTCTCAATACTTCTCCAGATTGTGTCCATGATTCTAAAGGAAAATATCTTCTTTAATAGGTGTTTTCAATGGAAATCTGGTTTCAAAATGGCTGATGGAAATAGACATAAGCCAAATACTTTATTGGTACATCATGAATATGAACTGAGTTCTTTTCCATGTTCATAGCCAAGAAAAGGATTGTAGGTTTCTGAAAGACATATATATGAGAACCACCCAAATTCTTAAAAATTAACTTCCAGCATTTCTACATTTGGGTGAAAGGGATAGAGCGTGACGCATGGTGCATTTGCTCTGCATTTATAAGGAAAATGTAAGCTATCTGGGAAGGTGGGATGCTAAGATTTAACCCGTTTGACACATTTTAATGAAGTCAGTGATACAAAGTTCAGTTTCCATCACTCAAACTCTGTTCTTGCACATTTTGAGAAAGATACCAAATTAGATGATGAACACTGAGTCTGAAACAAGTTGGGCACCAAATTAACAACTGACTTGAACCATCTGACCTCACTTTTAATAATTTTTAGACTGGTCAAATGCCACTTCTTAAGTAAAGCAAGCAATGTATTGGCTTTGCTAGGCTGAAGTTCATTAACTACAATGTAATCATTCCTCCTATTGCTGATTTCAGACTGGAACCACTAGAGACCCAATCTGTTCACCGAAAATAAAGATCTAAGCATTACTTACACTTGAAAGTTTCTCCTTTAATATTATTTTAAAATGCCAAATATGTTCTTTCTTGAAAAAATACTTTTTGTTTCTGTTGTATACATTTTAAGAGAAGTGTGATTTGGGGTCAATACTTATTACATTTCTTGTTTACTACTATAAAACAGATTTCAATGACTGATGATTATTGGTTTTACAAAAATTTCAAAGACCTATTTTTTAAAAACCATTAACCACTTACTATGTTTTGTTTTCTGACATACTCTAAGAGCAGCAAACTGTTGTTGTATAGCATTCATAGAGTGTGCTGTGAACATGCTTTTTAAGAAATTAAAAATGAAGAAATCATTTTAGAATGGTTCTTTGTGTGGTTTCTTCCTGGTCCTTATATTAACTTAGGTCCTGGCGCCAGGTTATTCCTTTTGCATAAAAATAGGGCAGTACTATTTTAAGCAGTTATCCCCCTCAACTTCTCATATGTAGATTTCACTTTTAAATTACTTCACATCACAGATAGGTTTTACCTTTCCTATAGCTCAGACTGTAAATTTTCCACATAGAGGAAAAAGAAAGTGGAAAACAGTTTGCTAAATAAAGAATACAAATGGAGGAAAAAACAAAATATGGAAATAATATTTTGCCTCACTTTAATGAAAGTGAATAATAAAGTAAGTTATCAAAACAAGGATGACTGTGTAGGAAATTTTTATCTCAAGAAAATTTATTGCCAGTTCCCTCATTATAAAAAGTCATTTTTTTAATGCTTACAAAACGGAGACATGCATAGAAATGCCATGTCCTTTATATTCTGAAAACCAGTTCACAGTGTGGGGTACATTTTTGCTATTCCCCCCTCAGCACGTTATTCTCTTTGCTTTGAATCTGAAGGAAAGCAGGTGGTGTGAGGGAGGCAGCCGACAGTGAAGTGCTGGTCATGGGAGACCCTCCTCCAAGGAGGATGGAGACGGAGGCCCTGGCACCTGTAGAGGCAGTCCATCTTTCTGCTGTTCATTTAGGCTCAGCCTCGGAAGAGATTGTCATCTGCACCTTTTAAAATTCTGAGCTGTTTGTTCTCCAGCACTTCAGAAATTGGATGGGAAAAGCTCGTTTGATTGTATTTTCAAACTTCAAAATATATTTTTGAAGAGACAGTCTTTAATTGGCATTTTAAAGGGGTTTCATAAAAATTAAAGAATGGTTTAAGTTTTGTAAGTTTATTTTATACTTAGAGACATCAGTTTATTTGCAAGCCTCTTGTTTTTTAAATATATTTATTGACTTTTTATAGAGAGGAAGGGAGAAGGATAGAGAGCTAGAAACATTGATGAGAGGGAAACACCGATCAGCTGCCTCCTGCACACCCCCTACTGGGGATGTGCCCACAACCAAGGTACATGCCCTTGACCGGAATCAAACCCAGGACCTTTCAGTCTGCAGGCTGATGCTCTATCCACTGAGCCAAACCGGTTTCGGCAAGCCTCTTGTTTTTACTCTTGATTTCCGATTTGTTTCCCATTAAAAGGTTACATTTGGGAAAGCATTATTTTTGCTATCCTAGGCTTTCCAGTTTTCTCTCAAACATAGCTTTTTGAGGGGTTAAGTCAATATAGTAGAAAGATAAAGTAGCAAATGTGGGGGAAGGTGGGATGTTCATTACAGAATAAGAGCTACTACTTAGAGCTCCATAAATTTGAACAAATCTAATGTGTTCTGGGACAGAAAGAACACAATTAGAATACTTGTCACTGTAAGAATAGTTGGTCCAACCAATAGAGCCACCCAGCCAGGGCAAGCCTCAGACATGCTAGTATTTAACGAGGGCCTTGGCCTGCTTGGCATGCTCTTCCCTCAGCTTATCCACAAGTCTCTGCGCAAATGTCATCTTCTCAGTGAGTCCATTCAGTACCTAGAGCTGCATATCAAACTACCTCAGAACTTAGTGGTTTAAACAACAAGCATTATCTCACACAGCTGCTGGGAGTCAGGAATCAGAATGACCCAACAGGGTGATTTTGGCTCAAGGTGTCAAGGTGTCAATTGAGGCCCTGGCTAATGTGTGCAGTTGGTTGAGCACTGTCCTGTGCACCAAAAAGTTGTCGGTGTGATTCCAGTCAGGGTACATGCCAAGGTTTTGGGTTTGACCTCCAGTAGTGGGTGCACAGGAGGCAGCTGATCGACGCTTCTCTCCCATTGATGTTTCTCTCTCTCCCTGTCTTCTCCCTCTCAAACCAATAAAAAAATATTTAAGATAAGGCTGTCAGTTGAGACAATCATCTGAAGGAAGGACCGAGGGAGCAGAGGACCCCCTTCCCTGACAGTTCCCTCCCATGGCTGTTGGCGGAGACTGCAGTTCCCCACTGGCTGGTGGAAGCTTCAGTCCTTGGAGACAGCAGCCTTTCCAAAGCCCTACTTGAGTATCCTCAACGCTTTCCCCAAAGCACTGATCCAAGAAAGAGCAAGGCAGGAGCCACAGTGTCTTTTATAGCCTGTCGTCAGGAGACAAGCTCTGCCATTTGTGCAATACTCTCTTACACCATCAGCCCACTGGGCCCGGAGGGACTGCACAGTCAGGAGTGCCTGGAGGCGGCAGTCCCCAGGGCCTCTGAGGGGGCTACCACAGTACTGAAGCTTTGACAAGTATCATCCTGTCCCTTGGTCTATTTCTTGTGTAGAACTTATTCCTATCTGACATGTTACTCATTTTATTTCTCTTCATTAAACATTACTTTGTGAAAGGATTTTTGCTAGCTTTATTCATTGCTGTATTCCATACACTTGAGTAAAAGCTCAAATATATTTTGAATGTCTGAATGCATAGTCACGTGGTTCAAAGGTTAAAATTGGGAAGACTCTAATCCAATTAGGAAAGATTTTCCTAGCTGGGCTACAAGGGGACACTATATCATCGGAGTTACCAGAGCTGGATGACCTCAGATGCATTTGTTATAGAGGAGCATCAGATGGTTACTTGGATTTTTTAATATTTGTGGGCCTTTCTATGTCTTCTATTACTCTTATCTTTCAAAAAACTTTTTTCTGCTTATGAATACACACGAATGTTTAAATTCAAATAATGCCAAAGGTGGAAAAAAGAAAACAAATCACTCACAGTACAACATAACCACCATCTACCTACATTATACCTAATGCTTTTTACATACATGTACACATAACTGTGTAAGGACACATACATTTACACACGAAATACTCATGAAATGAAAAGAAGGCTGCAAAATCATGATACATAGTCAAGATTTCCCTGTAAATATGGTTAACTTTTAAAAAAAGTTTTTTATAAAAATTACTCATGTTTACTTTAAAACCAAACCAAATTTAGAAATTTCAAAGAAGAATGTAAAAGTTATGTGAAAACTTGCCAAGCTCTGAGAACCACTATTAAACTGTTGGTATATATCCTTTCAGACATACAATCTGAAAAATAATTAAAACACAAAACTAAAAAAACAAAACATAGAAAAGCCTGTGTGATTTTTGTTAGGTTTTACCAACTGCTAGAAGCACCTTTTAAAGTCCAGGAGTTACACTTCTCAACGAAGGCCCACATAAGAAGGAAACAAACCAATTATGAATGTATGTCCTGTGGACTCACAAACACCCAGGGGTGGGCAGGGCAGGGCAAGGCAGGGCAGGGCAGGGCAGGGCAGGGCAGGGACCTTACCATCAAGCGGCAAGCTGACTGGGTCGGGGCTGCACTCCCGTTCTCTCCTGCCCGTTGTGAGCTTACCTGCTCCAAGGCTGGAGTGCCGGGCTGGCCCAGCAGCCCTGCCTGTAGCTCACAATGCTTTCTGCTTACCTTTCCACAGGGGATCCAGCCTCTCAGCCTCACTGGGAGAAGCAGTCACTGGAGCAGAGTGGCAGCCGATGTCAGGT